GTTGGAAGTTGCGTGACGGGGTGTGGTAGCGCAATCAGATTCACACGTTGTGACGAATCAGGACAATCTTTTGATATCATAACTGTTTCTCAAAAGACATGCTGTGTTGAGATGACATATTCGTGCCCCCTGCGTTGATGATTGCACGGTCTCCGATCTACTTGCAGACAACCTCTGATGATGGGATGAGGCTAAGCACCGATGGAAGTCTCAAACTCTAGCTGTATTTATCTCAAAGTCAAAGCACTGCTGTAAGCGGTCGTCAGATTGGAAGTCCAATTCGACCTCGAGGCAAGGGGCCCGCGCAGGGGCCACGTACAGATCGTACTTACGAGGACCCCGGGTCTGCCCAACCTACAGTTAGAACCTCCCTTTTACACCCTGACGCAGAAGTTAATATATATCAATTTGACCTCTTCGTCAACTCACGGTTCGAACCAACTACCCTGTGATAGGGATACCAACAGCGGTCTTTCAGCGGACAAGTCGTAAATAAATTTCTGCAGGCTACTAATCGAAAACAGTGTGTCGCGTGGGAATTACTATAGGTCCCTTAGCACTCCTTGATGCCTTGGGACAGTTCTCCCATCAAAAAATTTGTTCGGGTAGTCATCACAATCCTGTACAGGGCGTCTATTCGGAACGTGTCTGGAATGGGAGCTTGGGCGATGGACTTGCACATTTCGCTTAGTCTACATGCACGAACCAAGGATTGATATCAGGAGAGTTTCCCGAGATGACACTTACTTGGTAGTTATTAAGAGGACGGCAGGATCATTCATTTCACACATCACAACGTTGCATGTCGATATTTCTCGGTCAGGTGGGCCTATATCATGGACCTTCTTTCTCACATGCCAACTCGACAAGAGGCTTCGTGCTGTTTGAAGATGAGGGGCTACCTACCGTATGACCCAGTCCCTGTCCTTCAAATTTTCTGACATCATGGGTAGGTCATCATTTCCCGAAGGACACTTTCACATTGTCGAAATATTGCAGTTGTGCTCGGTGCATTCCAAAAGTCGAAAGATTTTTGTCTGCAAACTGAGAATGCGGTTCAATCGCGAACTGGTTATGTTCGAGGGTAAATTAAGCAGCGAAAGTTGAAGTAATTAACCAAAATACAAGTTCAAGGACTAACATTAGTGTTCATGTGGTCTATGCTTGAAAATACGTCGGATGGAAGCGAACCGCAGGATGATGTTTTGGGATCGTTCACGTGGGAAGGCTGCTCTTTGCGTGCTCCTATTGGCCTGCGAAAAGTATAGATCATAATAGATCATACACAAGAGTGGGCCGTTTGACTCGTCAGATCCGTGGAGGACAAAAGTGCAGACTTTCTCTACTGCGTACTGAGTGTTCCGTACAGCAGGGATTTAATTGTATTTACGGCGTCACCGACAAGTTATTTGTGCAGCCTCACGGCACGAGCTTTCAAATTGCTCGCACGAGTCAGACTACCCCAGCAGCGGCCAATCATCGGTACGACCGACAGCTGGACAGGACATTACCGCACTGACAAATTTATGGCAATTGATTAATTCAAGGGATACTCAAGGAGTGGCAGGCCCGCCAAGCCACAGTGTTGTGGGATGCCGGTGGTGAAGGATGCTTAATTTGGGTACAACGGCTTTGATCAGAACCTGGCTAAGGAAAGATAAAAAGATAAGCGCTTCCGGGTAATAACAAGCTTCTTGTCCTAGGTAGCTACCGCTCAACCTGTTCTACTTAGTTCACGCTCTTTGCCCACACCCCGCATACACAACAATCTCGTCCGCTCAGCATCAAATCAATTTACCTGGATCGTCTATTCTACAGCCAATTGCATACAAACATCAGCCACCAGGTCAAAAAGCAGGATTATCTTCATACAATGCCCGTTATCCAACACTTGGCTCGTGCAGCCTACAACATCCCTGTCTCCCACTTGTTAGCTCGCGATGGCGATTCAGATGACAACGATAATGATGGCGGTATCCGCATCATTCCCGGCGGAATAGTCGCCATCATCATCGTCTGCGTTCTTGCACTCGTCTCTGTAGTTGCGTGCTGCTGTTGCTGCCGCAGGCGGAAACGCAGGGGAACCGAAGGCGATAGCAAGGAAGACAACTCCAGCAACGGGAACAAGACGGAGCTCGATCCGACAAAGTACATCAAGAAGGCCATCAAAAAGTGCATGAAGAAGATCAAGAAGATGGTTTCGAGGAAGAATAAGAAGGCGAAGGGTGGAGCGGCTCCCCGACAAGCCGGAACTCCATACGGCCAAGGAACTCATCCTGGCTATGGGCAGAACGAGCGCTCAATGGGATACAGCGGAGGATACGACAGACTGGATGGTGATAATGAGGAAAGAGTTGCGTTATCGTCAGCACCTTACGGAGCGAGGAGCGACCATTAGGGAAGTGTTCTAAAGAAATTACCAAAAATATGATTCCTTTCATACTTAATGTGTTCTCGCCGAATAGCGGCTTCACACTGTACTAAAGCCTGGAACTTGTAAACAAATGCTAGTCATAGTATGGAGATTGGTGAGATAATTTCGTTGTCAGCGCAATTTTGACCTTTAAGACACACCTGACGATTCAACAATGCCATAAAGCTTATGACTACACGCTAAGTCTCAAAAGAGGAACAACTTCTGTCAAATTACTGGGTTGTTTTCCGCAAGGTCTTCGGAAAAGCAGCGATAGATAGTGGATAGAGTTTTAAAGCTTAGTGGAAGTATTGGTCATGATACGTAAGACCGTTCACTGTGAAGGAAAGTGCGTTGCTCGGTGGGTAGGAAGAAAGAAATGACGGAGAATGCACCTAATCCCCCCGAGTTGAAATGACCTAGGGAGCTCCTGGATCCGATAACCTTGAGCGGCAGTGAAGATGGCCTCACAAGACTTTACATGAGATGGTTCGGTGTTCCTAGCTGGAGGGCGAATGCCTACATGGACTAAAAGTCAGGTCGAGTATATAAGAGATGTAGGTAGGTGGATAAAGTATGAAAGAACCTATTCCGTGCTCCGCAGGAAGTGGCATTGGATCAGCTGGTGTTCACCTTCTTACGTACGACACATTCTGAGAGGGGTGTTGCTGCAGGACCACACGTGGCGCTGCCGATTACTACCGTACGATACCGCTTTCTACAAGCCGATTACCCGTCTTATACGGGATATACTGTAGATATGACCCTCATGTGGGTCTTCCACTTTGAGGAATCAAGCCACTTTCTACTACATGTCTTGCACTTGCTTTCTCGCTTGGTGATAGGGGTTCTGCTTTCTCTGGAAATGAGATACGAGTAATAAGCCACTTGTGTTTTTAGGAGTTCAAAGATGGGACTGTGTCCATCTGATCGCTCTAACATCTTCTCTGACCATTGTGGAAACACCAGGCCTAGTCTCAGCGAAGTGATGTGTCTCTTCTACCAAGACCACCTCCTCTTGAGCACACGCCCGGCCTAAGATGGCATTCTTGTGCGTATGACCTTCTGTATATGAGCCAGTGGTCGTCTAGCAGTATGGACGACCCTAAAGCACATTTCTGTATCGTCGGAAAGACGACCCGGCTTGGATGACCCTTGGAAAGGCCAACGTATCCGATAGAATCTCGGATCGCTTTTCACGATATAGATCCATCGATCAGCTTTTCTCCTCGGCAGCTTTTCGTCGTTATTATGTCGATTCAAGCGTAGTGTCTCGATCATCGAGTCTTTCACTATGTACGAACGGGCATGGAAGAAAGAACATACTAGGTATCAGTGCTCGAAGCTAGCCCCCGCCCCTTCCTAGCGTTTCCAGGCATTCGGTCCTTTTGGAGCAGGCAAGACGAGCCACGAGTGAGCGAGTTGATGGGAGACCGACCCAAACAAAAGGCGTCGGTCCAATAACTGTCGACTCCCCGGCAGAGCAGTCTCGGCCCTTGGCCGAGGAGCAAAGTCAGCCCGAGACACTTCTCGGGAATTTATGAGTTCTCAGGATGAGGGAGGAAAGACACCATATCCGGCATATCGTATGGCGGTATCTTACAGATGGCGACAAGTGCTGCGTGCAGTCCACCAAGCCACTTGAGCCTCAGGTGACTTGAGACCGGGCGCATTCTTCGTTAATTCTCGGCTCAGGCTATGGCACTTGCTCTTGTCAAGATAGAACCCATGAAGTCTGGAGTTAGAAATGACAAAAGAAGGTGGTCGGTCAAGGTTCATGGTATCTTGATGCAGGTTTTCCTGGCATTTGAAGCGAGAAAGTCAGAAGGCGTCGTGCTTTCGTGCGAAGAGATGCACAAATCTTCAGATCACTTGGACAGCAGGCCGCAAAATTGAATAACCCTGCCGTCCATGTTGTTAGCATGCAATTGAACTGGAAATTGGGTGATAAGTGGTTTTGATTCTCAACGTTGGTCCTTTTGGCCTTTGTAAGTACGAGGGATGGAAAGACTGTTCATCACTATGGCACTTAGCTTAGGTAAATGCCCAATGGAGTGAAAGTTACAGGCCCTGACAGGTGATTGCCATGCAAGAGCGGGTATTCGGGACGCTGGAGTATGACTTTCTGGAATCGTAGGCAAATCTCGGAACGGTCTTCGAGACATTCTGGCGCAGCACAGCAGGGGGATTGAATACACATATTCATATCCGCCCCTGGCCCTTAGGTAAGCACGTAAGGTACCCAAAGGCAGAATAAGTGGGCCTATCCGGCACATAGCAGTTCGGGATCCGGACTTGCTCCGAGCCAAGGTTTCTCCGAAGGCCGAAGTCGACTTTTCGATTAGGTAAGGTCCGGTGGGAACCTGATACCGTGATTTGGACTTCACGGCAGCAATTGCCTCCCCCTTATTGCGTTTAAGATTCCACAGCCCTGAGAATTTGACCCGGATCTGGCAACTCTCAATATAGACTATCTTGGGGTAATCTGAAAGCCAACGCTTCCGTCACCCACTATCAACGCCCATCTGTCGTTCTCGATGGACTCATCATTCCGTCGATCTCCGAACATCCCGAACGATGACCGCTTAGCCCTCCGCGAACTCCTCAAATCCCGTCAACGGAACCGCAATGGCGTCCGTGGTAGCCCTAAGTCGTGTGTACCATGCCGTGAAAGAAAGGTCAAATGCGACAAAGAGTTGCCGTGTTCGACCTGCGACAAAAGGGGACACCCGGATCTATGCGAGTATGAAAGTCCCACACAACAGTCGCTTGGTATCCTGCGGTCGTCAGCACGATCTGCGAGAAGGACTTCTGTAGTCATTCCAACTTCGAGCAGATCTCAGGAATTTGAGGAAGCGGACGCGATCAGTTTGGATATTGTCGAGGAACGGGTAGAAGATCACACCCCTAGTCAAGGAGCCCATAACGCACCGGATCCACATGCATCGGCATCGTCTAACAATATATCCACTGCGCACGAAGGTAGTGACCGACTATGTCTAGCCGATAGTTCGGTGGTAGGCATGGTCAGACGGCGCTCATTCCGGTCTAGAGAGGATCCAGCTCGACAATCTGCTTTTGAAACAGGCATACTACCTCTCCTTGGCGTCAGCGAAGAAGCGAACACGTCCGTATCGTCCTGCCAGTCTCTACCAAGCGATCAAGACATTGTCAGGCTGTTTGAATTATTTCGCCGTCGCGTGCACCCCTTCCACGTCATAACTTACAATTTAGATGCCATCGAGCAAAGAATTTGCCGGCTGATCAACGCAAGGAGAGGACCGAACTTTGGTTCAGAGTCGCTCGAAGACCCCAGGTGGCTCTCTCTACTGCACGCCATCTTGGCGGCTGGAGCACAATTCTCCGATATGAATTTACAAGATCGTCTTGCAATGTCTCAACGACATAGTATGTCATGAATCGCCCCATCATTCCATCCACGTTGACAAGATGCTGATCAGCCACAGCGAAGCAGTCGTTTGATCTCCTGCGATCAACAGATTATCTCGCGGCTCCATCCAAAGAAGCTGTTCAAACACTCCTTCTCTTAGGGAATGTGCTTCAAAATGATATGAAACCTCAGGCGGCTTGGGTTCTCGGGGGCACAACCATCCGCCTCGCGCAATGCCTGGGTCTTCACACGAAGACAGCCCATCCAACAAAATCTCCGCTCCCGGATGAAGAGGCAAAGCATTTGAGGTACATCATATCTGCACCTGCTGTAAAAATAAAGTTGTTAATTAGTGGTCAGATTGGCAATTGTTTGGCAAGATGCCCTCCTTGCGCTCGCTTTTGGTCGCCCACCAGGCTCCTATGAGCTGGATTGCGAAGGCGATTTACCTCAACTCTCAGAGTCTGTCGAAGGCCCAGGTCTATCCTATCTGCAAGCTATGAGCTGGCTATGTCACGTCACACTGCGCCATCTCTCGTTCCATTTCCAATCATCACTCAGGCCAGTCTCAGTACTCGACTCTATCAGATCCATCGAAGCCTGTCTTTCGCCCCACTTAATCGATCCCACAAGAAGCGCGGCAATACCGCAGATTCAAGAACACTACGCTTTCGAACTTCACCGACATTTTGTCGTAGCTACTCTTTGTCGACCTCTCGTAGCGAGGAGTGGATCAACGGGGCTCAGTGAATATGACAGGTCGAACGTCCTCGAGCACTTTCGAGAATCTCTCAAGCGCAGCGTCCGGGCTTATGTACGGTTGAGGTCAATTGCAGGGCATGCAAGGCGGTCTTGGGCCTTCATTCATAATGGGCTAACGTCGGTTCTTCTCTTAAGCTTAATGCGAGAGACAAGGTATCTTGCCGAGACTAGGACCCTGCAGGACGAGCTCATTGCAAGCTTTTCAGAAGGGGAAGCCGACTCCGCCTTGTTCACGGAATCTGGAACCAATGGCCAGCTCTCAGACACACTTCAGAAGGCTTTGAAAGCTCTGCAGACTCTTCGAGCATTAACGGAGCGTGATATCAGTTCGCGTGGCTCAACGCTGGAGAACAACAGCCAAGCCATTGCAACTCCTGGTCATCTGCCCGCTGTCGGCGAAAGGCCTGCAACAGGCCAAGATAATGCGTTTCGGGTGTCAGAACAAACCGAGTAAGTCAACTTCACTCTTGAGTCTCTGGCACGGGTTTTAACAAGCCACATGCAGCTTTTGGGACATGGGCGACGCTCAGTGGGAACTTCCTATCGATTTCGACATGTCTCCGCTCGGAGCTTTTGACTACATCATGTCGGATCAGCACTATGAAAACGATGCATTTCCGCCCACTCTATTGTGACATTCAAGGATGGGATTATGTAATCATTTGTCTCACTTTTATCATATACTCTCGTAATGTATGTAGTATTCCACCATCTTTCATATGGAAGCGAATCCAAATGACTCCCAGCGCTGCAGCACCCTTTCCTGGACATCAACCGGGTACGACTCCTGGAAGCTCGCAGCTTCCCAGTCACGGCCGGTGGTGTACTCGGTTGGCATTAGACAATCGGAAACAACCTTTCCCCCCATGCGAATGTCACCGTTGCCGTGCGACATGTATGGAATCAACGGGAAGCCGCGGACGTCCTCAAAATGGTATTCATCTAGGCCAGGGCGGCAGCGGGTGGAAAAGGCCCAGATTATGTCCTTGAAGTTGTACACGTCGATGTCGTCGCCGACAATGACGAGGCGGTGGATCGTGTAGCCGACCTTATCATTGAAGACCACGTCGCCGATGGATCGGCAAAAGTCCCTCGCATTGGTCTTCATGGCGCGAAGCTTTTCGGTGTCGACCTGGAGGGCGACCCATGTCACCTGCGATTCGAAGGGGGAAAAAGCCTCTTTGATGGGCAGACCCTTTGATTTGAGGAGAAAGCCGATCTCGGCGGCGGCTAGGGGTCCAATCATGGTGTGCTGGTTCACGTCAGTTTTCCACTGCTGTCAAAAGAGGGTATCAATAGTGACCTACTGTCTCATCAGTTAGTCGGCCGCAGTTTGAGACCGGAAGAATGGCGTCTTTGCGGTGTGTGATGAGGTCGACCCTGTACTTCGGCTGGGGGTGGGCATCGCCAGGGAAGACATATCTACAAGAATCGTCAGTATCTTTGAAGCATTCTCACTGATAATTCGAACCAGTCACGTACCCGTGCATCTCTCCGAATGGACCCTCGGGTGCCGTCTCCGTAGCAGAGCAAACGCCCTCAAATACAATCTCCGAGTTAGCAGGGACATGCAGCCCATTAGTGTCACACTTCACGACCTCTAACGGTGCTCCGACCAGTGATCCGATATACTCCGCCTCGGACAGACCGCCCGGCAAAGGCATGCTCGAAGCCATGATGGCAGCCGGCGGCACACCAAAGACCAACGCCCAAGGCATATCTCTACCCTTCTTTTTCCACATCTGATGGATCTGCCAGATGTGCTGCGGTTCGATAACTAGCCCCGCGAGGTGGTTTCTGTCGTATACCATGGCGCGAGCGATGGACCAGTTCGTCCACTTCCCGTCCGGCGATTGGACAATATGCATACCGTACGTCTGGATGTACTTTCCGCCGTCAGACCGGTGCAGCATCGGTGCCGGTAATTTGGTGAGGTCAAATTGCTCTGGAGTCAAGCGAATCTCCTTGCAGGGCCCGGTATCCGAGACAACGGGAGGGATTGGGGTCGAACTCTTGGCGGCAATCATCTTGTCAAGTATCTCCTTCATAGTCGACGTGGGAGGGAGACCGAGGTGTCTCGCCAGTCTTCCAAAACGCTGGGAGGGATCGGATCGCAGCGAGTTTGGCGCGCCGAGGATACGCCAGAAGCCGTTTGCATCTTGACCCTTGAGCCTGTTGAAGAGGGGTGCTCGTTCATCTGTCTCGACAACTTTGCGAATGATGGCGCCGACTTCGAGATTTGGGTCACATTCTTCGTTGATCTCAACGAGGTCGCCGTCGGATTTGAGTGCTTCAACAAAAGAACGGAAGTTTAGGTGCGGGAAATCTTGGGAGCTTGATGGCGACATTTTTACCCCGGCGGGTTAAGATTGGAGAGTTGAAGGTATATGGAGTTCAAGTGTGAAGAAAATTCGATTGGTACATGTAGTTACAATGCAGCTGATGTAGATGGCCATGTCGTGTTGATATACATCGCTTCCATCGACACCGGATGCTGGCATGAAGTAGCAGTCTCCCCGAACTCGCCGAGATATGGGCCCAGAAATCCCCGAGCCAGTATGGTAGTTGGTCATACTTCGTGCCGGTGCCGGAAGCCGAGATTGTGGATTATCTCAGTGGCTCACGTTCCCAGAGCTCGGACACTTCGGCGCCTTGCCATTGGCCATGTCTGAACTCTCCGATTTGGCCGGAAAGACCTATCGTCCATTAAATATCTAGATTATTATCCCTCGAGACTTGAAGTGATCCAGAGGTGAGGAATTATTCAACTGGACCAAACCAAATTTCAAGCAATTTTCGACTGAAAAGATACAATATACCTACGGCACCTTCGGTACCTTCGGCAAATCACTTCAGAGGCCCCACGTCGGTGAACGCCCTTGAAAAACTACCAACAAGAAAGTCATCAACGTGATGAAAGATACAGCACCTCGCAAAAAAATCATCGTCGCCTTGACAGGCGCAACAGGTGCGCAGATCGGTATTCATATTCTCCAAACCCTCCGACGGCTCAACGTCGAAACGCACCTCATCATCAGCAAGTGGGCCGCCGAGACGATAAAGTGGGAGACCGATTACACTCCCGCCGCCGTGAAAGCACTTGCAGACCACGCCTATAGCTCGCACGATCTGGCCGCGCCTATCGCGAGCGGCTCGTATCGCGTGGATGGCATGATTGTCGTTCCATGTTCCGTCAAGACCCTCGCTGCGATCAATGCGGGCATCTGCGATGACTTGGTCACGAGGGCAGCAGATGTTTGTTTGAAAGAGCGGAAGAGGCTAGTCTTATCTGTGAGGGAGACGCCGTTCAGTGAGATACATTTGAGGAATATGGTGGAGGTTACGAGAGCAGGAGCGATCGTTGCGCCACCTGTTGTAGGATTTTACACGCGGCCGTCGTCGATTGATGATGTTCTCGACCAGATGGTTGGAAGGTTGTTAGATCTTTTCGATCTAGATGCGAGAAATTTTGAGAGATGGGATGGACTGCAAAAGAGTACCACAAATAGCAAGTAGGTAATATTGATTTTCATCTACAGTACACCAGGGCACCTTCGCCGGATGATAGTAGTGGGTGGGTGAAAAATCTGAACACTATGGAGTGTGACGAGAGCAGGCCGGATGTCATCTCTGGTATATATAAGAGTCGACCACAAGTCCTAGTACCTTTGGCAAGGTGACGTCTAGGTTGGACCACAATACGAGTCAAGTCCAGCAAAAAGCTGATCCCATCCAAACGTGTTGGCGTCCCCAAGGAGGTCGTTCCACAGGCTGTCGAGACCGAGTGCATCTTCTCCAGTCAAACTAGAGCCCACAGTTCTAAAGGCATCATCAGAAACAGACCTCGATTCGGCTGCTGCAAAAGTTTCGTGGTCCCCGGTCGAGAATTCTACGCCGGTGGACTCTCTGTCGTCTTCTGCCTCTGACGGCGCAGCATCACCTACTCCCTGGACACGATAACGACGCAAAACGCCAGCAAGATTGTCAACAAGCTTCGCAGCAATCATCGATTCTTTTCCTGCCATTGCCAAAGCACGACAAGCTTGCATAACCTCAGCATGTGTCTCTGCTGATGCATCCGATACTAGCCATGGTTCTCTGACGTCTGCTAAGCCTTCACGACTTGAAACGCATCCTGGGTGAAGCGCCAAGATTGTACAAGCCAAGAACATATGGCCGATAACACAGCCTAGGCGGCAGCCAATTGCTCGTGAGCTCAAGGGTTGAACTGGATCTCTAGTCGGCGATACCATGAGCAGACGTGTGGCGATCGCAAGGACCGTTCGGGCTGAGCTCAGACATATTTCTCGCGATGACTGGTATCGGGCATCTTGTTTTTCGTGGAGCAAGAATGGCCGGTGTAATCGAGCGCGTCGCGAGAGGAAACCGAGTAAAACAACGTCTCTTTGCAGTGATAGATAAGGCGGCGCGGTCTCTGGAATGGGGCCGTCGGAACGGAGGAATGGGGGGAAGTCGGCCATGGCATCTTCGAAGAGACCATCTAACTCGAGGACTCGTTCATAGTTCGTTATCTCAGCATCTGGCATTCCTGGTGCTCTGGCATCGATGACAGAACGAGCAATACCAGCTAGTTGTATGCGCCGGATGAAACAGCTCATCGTCGTTGCAGTATCTTTAGGCATGCTGATGGCCTCGTCCGAGAAGCTCGCCTCGTCATCGTTGATATTTCGAGGTTCATTTACATTCATTTGTCGCGGCTGAACGTTATACGTTCCGTCCGTAGGTCCTCCCATGAGACCCAGCATCCTAAAGTATGATGAGCAATGATCGGCTGAAGAGTGATGAGAGTGGTATACCAGTCTGTAGCAGTAATATGCCACCACACTCTTCGCTTGATTTCTTTCATAGCCTCTTCGTCCTGCTTCTCCGAACCAGGGCTGTCGATTAAGTGCAGACTCATCTCTCGAGCGGACGTTAACGAACAACCATGAAGAAACCTGAATCGGGCTGAGCAGCCTTCCATATTGTAGACCAAATAAGCGAGTACGGAACGTGCCTGTACCTCTTCCAGGCAGCTGCAAGCATTGCTCTGTGATATTTCCAGTATATTGAGAGAAGATGTGAGCCAAGCTACGGCGGAGTGCGTAGCTTTTCCCAAAGAGTTAAAGATTCCGTTGGCTTGGGAACCTTCGGTGAAGAAGAAAGCACTCGTTGCTGCGATTCCCAGAATCAGTGCAGCATGTGCTGGATTAGGTTCCCCTCCGCAAGACAGGACGGAATAGAAGTTGACGATCATGGACCTGGCTGCAGTCGGATGAAGAATGGGAAGGAGATGAAAGGGATTGTCAAGAAAGTCTTGTAGTAGTAGTAATGCCTCTTCTTGAGTCATCAGCCAGGTTGATAATCGTGCTTCTGAATTTTGAGGGGGCGTAAGGCCGGGGGTGGTGCTTGCGGGTGTCTTGGGGAACTGAGAGACATTGGCTACGTGGTAGTCCACCTTCTTGTCAAAAGACAGAGTGACCTGAAACAAGTCCGTTAGTATTTCGAAAATCAAGACCCTGATGCTATGTTTCTCACATTTAGATCGTTCCGAGTGAATGTTGAATCGAGAAACTTTGCTGTTTGCTGCCGTTCATTATCCAAGATCCTACGTCGTTGAGGATGCCGTGTTGATGGGCCGAGATTTCGTTGTCGGGATAGGCTTGGACGCTCTGCCCTCTCAGGTTCTACAATATCCGCAGGCTCTTCCATGGAACATCCGGTGCTGGCAGAAGACGCCGGCCCGAACACAGCTTGCTCCAACTTCCGGAGCCGACTCAGAATGGAGTCGTCAGAGTTCTCGCCCAACCTTAGCTCACGGCTACCCGAGGGCCGGGGTTAGCTAAGATAGGCCAGTCGTAGATATGTATGAATCATCTCTGTCATTACCTCAATCTCGCTGTTGGCTTTGGTGACCCTGGCTGTCCTGCGCATGACAAGCCGCGCATCACACAGCTCGAACATGGGTCTCTGCGGTCGCACTTGAGCTTCTTCTTGCGGCACGAGTCACACGAAACTTGGGGTTGACGACGGCGTTTCTGTGGTGCGTTACCGGTATCAGCTTGCATAGAGCGCTTCATGATGAATTTACCGAGTCGGAAAGTTTGTCCTTTGTTTCCTCGGCGGACCTTGCTGGCGTTGACGATGCAGAGTCCAAGTTCGTCCCTGGTCGCGGACTTTCCTCGGATGTTGATGCGTGTCATCCACGGATAATCCGCGGCGCTTACCGACTCCAGCCACGCCGCCTCATCGATAACATGACAATGACATCGAAAGCCTAAATTTTTACTCAATGCACATGAGCAACTCTTGAAATTGATCTTGGGAATCTTGGATGCGTCTGATAGCCTTCCTTCCTTTTGCCGCTGTTTATGCGTACAGAGCGTTTCGTGAGTGGTATTTTATCCACAAAAACCCCCAAATAACATCGTCATGGAGGCATCTCGACCTCCTCCCGGTTAATGTAGGTGAGCTGATGGTTCTCTAGCTTCAGAGTATCAGTATTAGACCATGGCTAGCCGTTTTGCACAGTTGACTTCCTCAATGCATTGAGCATTTTTCGGGAGTATTACCAAACGTACATCAATAAATCATCATCTGTTGTTTCCTAGATCGGGTCCATATTTACCTTCCTCGTCTACCTAGGTGGATCAGTATCAGGTCTTCTACCGACACATTCAAACCCATGGCAGTTCCATACTAAGGTTAACTCTATCGACCTCCGCATTCTAAGATTTACACTTTCCAGGTTCTTTTAGTATGTATTAGCAGCATTAGTCAAGTCTTTACTCTCTTCATAACCTCTCTCTATTAGCAGTACTACAAGGCTTTCGTAGCTTAGTGAGTTTTGCTCGGAGTGGGTATGTCGCTCATTTGCTGGCTATGGTGTCACGCCGCGGGTCTATCAGCGGCATCATCTGGCCGATCATGCTGGAGCAACTGCTGAACAAACGGCAGCTGAGTTTTGGCTGGACGACTGGTATGCGTGCCTAGATCAGTACCTAGGTACCTAGATTACTACGGGCCGAAGCTGTTCCTGAGACACCCAGAGTTCATGTAGGTCGGGGGATTGATGTTCCGCAGAGCCTAAGTTTGAACGGGATCTCTGGTATGGCTCGTGCGTGGCTGGTAAATGTGGCTTTTCGTAGCGCAAGTTGGGGAGTAAAAATATTTCCAATCCCCAGGAAATGACCACAAGCTGGTCTCGCACGATCTTTCTGGACAATCACTTGTTCCCATTTTTTGCTTCTGTCACTCGTTTCATCAAAATGCATTAGTCTATTCTTTGCGTACACCTGTATTGACTTGTTCTTCTGCCAGGCATTGCCTGAGCCTCACTTTCTGACCAAATTTCTCGGACCTGCTAATCCGAATGAGATTGGCCAACTGACGACATTTTGACCTCCCTTACACTGCGTGCCGATTCCGTGGTCTGCGTCTCTTGACAGGTCGGGACGGCTCGGGATGAGCCCATCGCTTGAATGTCCCACCAGTTCCACATCGCCGGCGCGAGCCACGCTCTCCTCGACCCATGGTCTCAAGGAGCTGGCGTGGTGAGGGACGTCCTCACTCGGTGGTCCGAGCTCGACATCACTCAAATTGGCTCCCTGGTTGCCATAGCCGGCACCCTTCCTACGGCTTGGAGACTGATGCAATCTACCTGGCGGGAGGCGTATAGTTGTGTTCGGCACTTTTTTCTCGCCTCTGTCACGATTCCGGGCGGTGACCCGGTCAACCGGAGCGTCGTGAAATGGATCCTCTCCAACCGGCGCCAGCATTGTCGTTCCTTCACCGGCCGTACCGAGGTTACACGCACCAACCCAGACCGTGCTGCAGCTCTGAAGAAGACGCGCCATACCGTTCAGTACTGTCCTCACTGGAACAGACGGTGGCTCTGGTTCGGAGGCAACCTTTTGGTCGTCACTCGTGCCTTTGGAGATTTCAATTCTTCGCTATCGGACCCCAGCTACGATGGCATCGGAGGCGAGGACCTGACCATCAGCTGCTTTGGGTTGTCGGCGCATCCCGTCCAGAATTTCATCGAGGCCTGCCGTGACTACGCCGATAGGCAGACACAATACTTCGTCATCATCTACTCCCGCGACCGTTATGGCATGTCATGGAAACCTAAAGCCCGCAAGCCCCTCCGCCACCTCGACACCGTGCACTTTGACCCCGGCGTGAAGCAGGAGTTGCTTGCTGATATCCGGAACTACCTGGATCCGAAGACCCAGATGCGCTATCAAAGTCGGAGTATGCCGTACCGGAGAGGCTACCTCTTTTACGGCCCACCTGGAACCGGCAAGTCCTCGCTTTCTGTGGCAATTGCTGGAGAGTTTGGTTTGGATCTCTACGAGGTTAAGATCCCCAGTGTGGCAACTGATGCCGATCTGGAGCAGATGTTCCAGGAGATTCCGCCGCGATGCGTGGTTCTTCTTGAAGACATCGATGCCGTATGGGTGGAGCGTTCAAGCAACCCCGAAAAGATCAGCAACTGCAATGGACGCGCACATTCACCGGAGAGCAGAAATGTGCCCAATTGCACTCTCTCCGGACTGCTGAATGTTTTGGATGGTGTTGGATCACAGGAGGGCCGTATTGTCATCATGACTACCAACCGACCTGAGCAACTCGATAGTGCCTTGATTCGTCCCGGCCGCGTCGACATGAAGGTCCTCCTGGGCAACATTAGCCCGAAGTCAGCGGCGGACATGTTCGTAAGGATGTTCTCCCCGGACCTAGGGTGTTGTTGTTGTTGTTGTTGTATTTAACGCCGTGGCGGCCGGGCTAGAGCCCTTACCGCAGACCTCCCGAAGGGTATATGGCGTGGAGGGCCGTGAGCCAAGGCTACCTACTCTACAGTACGTCGTCTCTTTACATCGTCCTCCAAATCATGCCTTGTGGCCACTACGCGTTCTGTCTGTCCCCGGTTCCCGCTGGTGCCCCAGTTTCATTCTTTCCCAAATCGTCCCTTGGAATCGGGAGGTTCTTTGTAGTCCGCACTCACATCTACGTAGGTGTGGATGCTGCTACCGCAGACAGATCTTCTGGAAGAAGTCCGTCACGCGGAGAAAGGCCTCGAAGCCTCGTGGGTCGGTGATTAATCTCTTGAAGTAGGCCTCGAGAGATCCCATAGGGCCTATGGGCTCGGGCATACTGCGAGAGTGGAGGGTCGGCCACCGTTGCCTCCTCGCCAGCGTTAGTCGACAGTAGACCAGGTGGTCCACGTCTTTCGCCTCTCCACAAGAGCACATCATTAGAGCGTCGTCGTGGTTGAAACGTCGGTGATATTGCTCGAAGTCCCCGTGACCCGATCGTGCCGCCAGCAGGTGATGTAACGTAGCCCGCGGCAAGGCCAGTTCAGGAGGGCTGGACAGAGCTGCCTCAAGCCCCAAGTCCGCGTACCGCGGCCTTCGCTCTTTATACCACCATCTCCTGTGCTGGCTTTGTAATTTTTCCCTTGCAAGCCGCTTGATGCCCGCTAGTGTTGCCATTTGACCCATCCGCGCCGGCAGTGTCGTTCCTTCTTTGGCCAGCCGGTCCGCGGCCTCGTTTCCTTCGATGCCCTGGTGTCCCGGGGACCAGTGCGTCCGTATATCAAATATCCTGGCCGCTTCTTGGATTTCGAGGAACGCGTCTTGTGACGAGTCCGGCGCCTTGCCGCGGATGCCTTGTATAACGCTGGTGTTGTCGATACATATGTGGATTGGATGACCGCGATTGGTGAGCAGAGCCCTTCTGAGGCCGGTTCGCGCCCCTTCGACCTCGGCGTCGAACACTTCTGCTAGTCCGAGTCGGCCGCACCCTTGTGCTATGCGTTTGGAGTCTCGGTAGATGACGAAGCCGTACCCCACGGCTCCGTTCGTCGCCCTGGAGCCGTCCGAGAAGACGATCATATGGCTTTCCGGTACTGTCTTTAGCCAGCGCTCGAAAGCTTTCGCAGCCTCTTCTTTGCATTGAACTACTATCTGATCCTGTGAGCTTGGCAGGTACTGTGATTGAAGGAACGCTGGTCTTCCGCATCTTGGCAGAAGTTCAGCCGTCCGTTGTAGTCTCGTCTGTTGCTGTCCCTGCTGGGAGAGCCGCGCGACTAGCGGGTGTCGGCGATCAATCCTCTGTAGTCGGACTGCGGCCCGTAAGCGGACGCCCTCTAAGGCGACTTTGGCTGACGGTAAGCCGGCGTCTCGGAGGAGGCTACTGGTTGGCGTTGTCCTCCAGACAGGCAGAACGGCCCTTGCTGCCGCTGTAATGACGCTGTCGATCTTCTGCACGAGCCCCTTTTGGCCTGTGTTGACGGGTCTTCCTTGGAGAGGCGGATTCGTGTCTGTCTCCGCTTGGCGTCTCGAAGCCGGCTTCGTGATACCTGCGTACCATGTTTCGGCGCCGAAGAGCGCGATCGGCAGTACGCAGGAGACGACGGCTTTTCGCACGGCGGCCGCTGGGAGTCCCCTCTTTGTGTTCGTAAGCTGTCTCAGATGTTGAGCTGCCCTCTTTGCTGCAGCTACTTTTGCGTCGACATGGTGCCGGAAGGACAGTCTCTTGTCGAACCAGACACCCAGCCAGCGTACAGGTTTCGTCGAGGCCTTGACCACCAAATCCCCCGCCCGGACCTCTGGCAGCTCCGCTGGCTGGCCGTGCTTCCTAGTAAAGTGGATGACCTCGCACTTGCTCGGGTCAAAGGAGACCTTGTTCTCCAAGCCCCATCTGAGAATGCCGGCTGCGCTTCGGTTGAGTATTGCGACGTTGCTCTCCAGGGAGGGGCTGATGGCCAGAGTGGCGATGTCGTCCGCGTACCCGAATCGCGCGTTCGGGTCGTCTTCAAGTATCTCTGCGATGTAGAGCAGAAAGGCAATGGGAGATAGTGGTGACCCCTGAGGCAGCCCGCATGACAGCGGGAAGTACTCCGTTGTGCTTTCTTCCAGTCGGACTCTAGCGGTGCGGTTGCAGCAGAAGCTAAAGATCAGTCTGGTCAGGCCATGTGGCCATCCCTGCTGACGCAGTCTAATGACGAGCCGGTTCCGAAGGACGGAGTCGAACGCCCCTTTTACGTCCATAGTCAGAAGTGTCGCCGTGAGTCCTTTTAGGAGGGCCATCTCGATGTCGTGGGTGAGGCAGGTCGTCAGATCGACGGCTGACCTGCCTTGTAGAGCCCCGATCTGTTGCGGACTGATGATGCGCTCGACAATCGCCAGGGACGCCATCCTTCTGGCTATCAGTCGCTCTAGTCCCTTGCCCAGGCACGAGAGGAGCGCGATCGGCCGCCAGGACCCGGGCTTGGAGGCATCCCTGCCGGCCTTCTGGATCATGACCACCTCAGCTCTGCGGAAGGGCAGAGGAAAGTGGCCGGCCCGCATACAGGACTGGAATAGCTGCCTGACCGGTTCCGAGATGACATCCCAGCATGCCTGGAGGAGGCGTGTTGTGATGCCGTCCACACCAGGGGTCGTTGTCTTTGTTAAGGTGGCCGTCTTCACTTCTTCTCCGCTAACATTGTCCTGCCAAGTAATCGCTCGCCTCGGGACGACGGGTACGTCAAACGGGTCACCCGGTGCGTCATCTTCCGCACTAAACCTGTCGAGAAGGGCTCCCCGAAGCGCTTGAGCCTTTTCGTTAGTATCCTCGATCGTCTGGTTGTCCACAACCAATGGGGGTGCTCTGGTCAGTAGGCTCGCCTTCCGCCAACCCATGATCTGGTACAGGTCCCGGTCTGAAGCGACTCCATCGATCTTTCCGGCCCAGTATGCTCGCTTAGCCTTCCTCACCGTGCTCAGGAACGCCTTTCGTTTCTCCATTAGATAAAGGTGCGCATCTTGCTCCGTCTCCCAGGCTTGTTGGTTGCGGGCAGCACGGTATGCTCTGTGGGCCTCTGCGCATTCCTCCGTCCACCAAGCCGCGCCTTTACCATGTTTTCCTCTCTTCTTGCCGACCGCCTCAATGGCTCGGGAGAAGAGCTCGACGATGTGACTTGCCTGCCCGTCCAGGTCTTCCGGAGTAGGTTGATCCCCCAGATTGGGCATCGCAGCTAGCCCCCCTTCGATCAGGTCTCTCAGCCGAGGCAGCGCCGAGTCGGGCACTGACAGTGGCCGTGGCTGCGGGTGGCCCTCTCCCTGTGACACTGGGCGTTTGAGTAGTGGTATGACGGCCACGATGGCCTCGTGGTCAGCTCCCGGGTGTAGCTGTGGGCTGACCTGCGCGTGCGCAAAAGGGATATTAGAGAAAGCCAGGTCCAGGACATGTCCGCAATCCTGGGTTGCCACCCCAACTTCGCTGATAAGAGAGAGATTGTGGCCGTCTGCCCAGCCTGCGATGTCATCTCCCCGGTTCCCGTTCCTCGTCCCGGGCTCCCAAGAGTAGTGATGCGCGTTGAAGTCACCCGCGATCAAAGCTCGCTCCGGGGGTTTGAGTTCTAGCAGTATCCCTGTTGTGCGGCTGTGGGGGTCGCGGGGTTGTCTGTACACGTTGACGATAGTCGTCGTTTTGTCGACCACCAGCCACAGTACGTCTCTCGTGTGGACAGGCCTCTGCTGCTCCACCGTCATCCCTATCCCTTTGCGTGTGTAGGTCAATACTCTTGGTCTGGTTCCTTCGCTGTCCCAGAAGTCGACCGGGACGAAAGAGTCGAAACCCGGGTGCGTGTTCAGTTGCACGTTTCCGTCCTTCCAGCCCGTCCAGGGTTCCTGGACGAGGACCACATCTATCTGAGCCTCCCAGCAGAGCTGCAGGAAAGCCGTGTGCGCCGGGGAGATCTTTCCGACGTTGCCCTGCGCAACGCGTAGCATCCGTGGGGTCGCCGCTCTCGGCTTACGTCTCCGAGTCGAGTTCGAGGTGGGTGTAGGCATTCGCGACGTTGTAGTTTGGCTTCTGTGCTGCCCGTTGGCTCCTGCTTGGCATGGGTAGCACGGGACGGTCGATGGAGGTGTTGTCGGGGGAGTCTTCGCCTTCGCCTTCGTCCGCCTCGTCTTCATCCATGCTGCTGCTGTCAGTGCTTCCGTCACCGAGGCAAACGATCGAGCTTGCGGAGGGCGTTCTCGTGCGCGCGCGCTTGGCGCCGGGTTGCTGGTTCTGGCTGGTGGAGGTAGGGACGCCTGCCGCCTCCTGGCTACTGTCGGATCGAGTAGCCTTGTACAGAGTGTCCGATGCTTTCTGGCCGGCCTTCCGGATCCGAGCCCGCTCCTTTCGACCGGGAAGGGAGACGACGCCGTTTACGGCCGAGGGCCTCGCTGGGCAGTCTGTGTGGCTGGCTTGGAAGGGGCCGCAGCAGTTGGCACATTGGGGCCTGGCCATGCAGGGTCCCGTTTCGTGTGAATCGGAAGGTCTTCCGCAGTTGCTGCAGATCGGTCGTCGTCCGCAGAACCGGTTGGAGTGGTAGCCCTGGCAGCCGGGGTCGTGTCGGATGAGCGTCCTTCGTTTCTTGACGGGCAGAGATCTGCCGCTTTGGTTGAAGAGCCTGAAGGGCGTGACCTCTGATGTGAATGATATGAGCCAAGATATTTCGTTCGTGACTGGGTTGGGCCCAAGGCGGGACGGTCGAGCAAGGACAGGCTTCTGTCCTGTCTGTGCGAAGACCTCATCTTCAACGAGTGTGGCTGGGTCCAGGACGTCCCCGCCAATGCTGTGTAGTTTTGTTGGGCATCGCGGCACAACGTAAGTGTACCACTTGATAGGCGTCTCGACCTGGTGGGCGCCGAGGCATTCCGCCAGCTTTGCCTTACTTGCAAGTAGTCTTTCCTGTATTTGCTTGTTTCGCGGCTTCAGAGAGTAACCTGTGCTGATATGGTAGACGTGGGGAAGGTCCGCTAGCCCCAGGCCAACGGCCTTACAGACGATCTGTCGTACGGCGAACGGTGCGATCTTCCGAGCGGCCGCTAAGCTTTCTTCCGGGACGCGGGCAAAGATGCGGAGGTCCTCCTTCGGCTGCGCCTGCGGCTGATCCTCGGCGGGGAGTGTGGCCTTCGGGCGGGCAGAGCTCTGGCAGCTCTGGCCGCTCCGGGTCGCCGCAGTGGTGTTGCCCGCCATCGGTGCGACGACAGCCGCCCAACTCCGGGCCGCTATTGGGCTTGTCTCGTGATTGATCAGTCTCTTGAGGGTTTGAATGACATAGGCAGTGGCTTCTTTCGCGATCTGCTTTCTAGAACCGTCAAAGCTGGCGACAACGCTGTCGACGGACCGTGCAATGGTCAGAAAGACGTCTTTCCGTGCCTCGTACTGTCTAGCTTCTTCTGCAAGGGCTGTCAAGACGGACCCTGTGGCAGATCCGCTCGGAGCAGATGCGGTAGAGGCTGCGGGCCCCTCGGCCGAGGTAGGGGCGTCGGTGGTGGCATCAAGCTGGCTTCCCGTTAGGCTGGGCCGGGTCGGCTGTGCCTCGACGTCGCGGCGTCGCTTAGCTCTTGAGGTGGGGTTCGGCTCCGGAGGTGTCCCGGAGCCTGGTTCGGGGTCGGCTTGGTCGGCCGACATCAGTCCGGTGCCCGACGGCGGCTGTGAGGCCATCGCGGATGCGGGCTCCGGCAAGGGGAGGTGAAGAGTTTTCGGCTGTTAGTAATTTGGTGGTAGGCTCACTCATTCACTAACAGCAGATGCCAAGAAAAATTAGGCGAGAGGGAAGTTGGACCTAGGGTGTACAACACATCTGGGAATGGAAGAGATTGAGCAACTTTCTGTCCAGTTTTCCAGCGTGATACCGGAAGACACGTTGACCCCATCTCAATTGCAGGGGTTTTTCCAAGTACATTTAGAGAGCCCGCACGATGCCGTCAAAAATATCGCCAGCTGGGTCGGACAAGAACTTGCAAGAGCTCATCTCAAAGAGTTCGAATTTATAACTTCCAGTGGAAAGGCCTAGAGGTGTAGTAGCTAGCTAAAGTACTCTAATGTGATATAGTTTGTAAAATTAGATGTAATCACTGGGTGGAGTTTTTTTCCTTTCCTTTTCGGTTCTTTTTCGTTTGCCGCGGTTGTTTAAATGAGGAGAGAAGGGCTTGCGTTAGATGTTAGCAGTAAATGCATTTCTCAAGTCTAGCTTTTCAACAATATAATCGACGTAGCTAACGGCGTGTAACACATTTCCCCTAATATAAACAGCCTTGCAACGGACGATGGCTGGCCCATTGACCCAAGTTAGGTGGTCTATGTTCTGATGTGATGCGATGCGTAAACCAGTGCTTATTACCTGCTTGATGTGCCTTAGCAATTTTGTAAAAAACACGTTCACATGCCCAAATTCGAAACCCTTAACTAGGAGGAACAAAATATACCCAGTACCTCTGCATCAGTAATGATCGAGGCCGATCTACGGAATGTCGTGATTCATCCCCTCGGTCTATTGGTAAGCTTTCCGATTATGAACGCGGGGACCTCCGTGCCCAATGTGGGAGAATCAAGCTCGCGAGCCCAAAAGCCTAAATATACGAGACGGCAAAGAAAGCTTGAAAGTATCCGAGAACGAAATCGTCGTGCAAGAGTAGCCGGGATGCTCGTGCGACGGCTTTCCATTTGTCGATATGGACAGGGCCATGGGCGATGAGCATGTCTCTGGCCTCCGGCTTTTGTTGTCACCCGCGTACGTATCCGTAGTCACCTCGGGATGACGCCTTGGTGGATGCTGCTCATGCCGCGTGCGTATTGTGACCCATTCACAAGAATAGGGTTTGCTGTAATAACTCTCCGTATCCTGTGATGAATGTAACGAGACAGCTATGTAGAGTTCACGGAGGGCTGTTGGAGCCGATGCGAGAGTGCGTCATCTCATCGGACGAAACCACTCCGAATCTACAATTATCTCGACTTTGCCCCTTGAACGGACATCCGACGAGGGCGAGTGGAAAGCCAAAATGCCTCCAATGTCCTCAGCCCTAATCGGAGTTAAATCATGGCGCTGCAAATTGGCGCCTATGAGTGGTAGCTATCATAGAGAACAGCGGCGTCACGACACGTGCTTATTAGAGGTTGCCCAACCAAAGCATATTTCTGAAGTTGTCTCGTGAATAGGTAAGCAGGTTCTGGAGCAATTTGAAGATTGTAGCCCTTCCTTGCTCATTGTCAGGCCCTCAAAACCGCCGTTCCTGCAAGCTTTGGTATGCTTCTGATGCAGTCTTTGGGCTGATTCGGAGAGCAAACCTTCCTGCCCGTCACCAATCAGCTAGGCTCAAAGTATGCCCTATGACAAGCTGCACTTTTGTCTAACTTTCAACTTTCAACCATACTAAGTCGGGAAATGATTGCCGTAGGTAGTCCAAGCGTTAAGTAACATTGGAAGAAGAATAAAGCGGGTTCCATCCCACTCCCAATGTCTAACAACTATCTGTATTTGATCATTGATGACCCGCATCTCACCTCAGGTCAACTTCGCAAAGTCTACCATTCAGCCCCAGTAATGATGTTCGTTATGCGAATCATTTTCATCCTGCTGCCTTTGGCTGCGGCAATGCCTTCGTCCGACTTCGCGCTGAGCCCTCTTGTCCGCCGACACTGCGTGGAGCCTAAGAATTGTGGAGCCACTATCCAAGGAACCATGTGCAACTTCTGTTGCGCAAAGGATGTCAAACCCGATAGCACGCACTGCAAGTCTGCGAATGCGGCGTGCCAGGCTGGTGGAAAGCCTGACGGTGTCACGTTCAATTGTGATGCCGATTAAAAGAGAAAAGTCGGCTAGAGGTGAGTCGATGTCCAACAAAACATAGGTCATCATCCACCGCTAATGTAGGTTGATAGGCGACAGGGACGTCTCCCGGCAAGACTCTGGACGCGAAATTGGTCATTGGAGCACTACTTGAAGAACAGAGGATGATCCTGGGTAGTGTATTATTAAAGACGAGAGGCCGCTTTTTAATATTGAGACATGTGTTGAATTGCTTCATTTTTTTTTTCCAAGAAAGTAAATCACTACTAGCTCTGAAAGCTTATTCCTTTGTGGAAGGGCGTATTGCGACACGATACGTCCAACATTTAATAAAAAACCTACTTTCAATCAATGTAGTATTTAGAATCCAGTCTACCACTTATACTATATTACAGCCAGCTAATTGTAATAAGGTAAGTTCGTAAAAGTTCAGGCCGCAAGGACTAAATAATAATAATAAAGGTCGTTAAATAACTTCTAAGAAGTTATATCTATAGGTCGTAAATTAAAGCTTTAATACTTAATAATATCTTATTAAAGGGTTTTTAACAAAAATGATTAAAAATAATCATAAGATTTAATATTAAATTAATAATTAAAGAAGCTATGAAAAGTCTTATTTTTAAGCTTAATTTAAATTTATATTATATATAAGTTTTATTCTTGAATATATCCTTTATTTTTTAAGTTATTTATAATTATTTAATTATTTATTAAATAATCGTCCGTTCTATTTATTTATAAATATCCATTTTGTTTATATATAAACGTCCGTTCTTTATTTTATTATATAATTATAATTACGTAACTTATTTATAGTTTTTTAAATTTTAAAGGGAGTTATTTTAAGTCCGTATATATATATATAAAAAGGGGTTATTATGCTTTATAAGCGGTAAAATAATAATGATATTAAAATATCCTCCTTAAGATTTTACTATACCTTCGCAGTAAAATTTCTAAAAAATACTTTAAGAATTTATGGGGAAACCTTAAAGAAATCTCTATAATATTTAATAGCCTTTTACCGAAAGTTTTTAATAAAATCTCGCAGGATTTACTATAAAATCTTTTACTATAATACCGGAGAAATTACGGTAGAATCTCCCTAATATCTATAAAAAATCGTAATAATTACCCTTAATTAAAGAAAACCATTTCGTCCGTAAAATTTATATAATAATAGAGGAAATTAAAATATACCGGTTACGCTTTATAAATTAGTTATTTATAATACCGTACACAAATAAGAAATTAAATAAAATAAATAATTATTTAGTTAAATAAAAACCTTAATTCTTTAATCTATCTATTACTTAATATAATTAAAAATAATACTAGCTATAACGTACATAATAAGCGAGTAGGCCAGATAAGCAAGTGGGCCACCCAACCGCTATAGTGCCACCTACATCATCATAATATGCATTTCTCTATTAAAAACGATAATAATATATATTAAAAATACTTAATTAAACTTAACGGTTTAGGCTATTTAAAAAGACCGAAATCTTAGTATTCGGGCCGCGGTAAAGATCTATAATATTAATTACGTTACTTTAGGCCGTAGATTAAAGGGAACGTTATTACGATATAATAATATACTTAATTCACGAAATTTGACGCTACTAAAAGAAAAAAAGCTGATTAAATATATTCTCGACCTATATACTAGATCTTTTCCTCCCCATTTTTATAATATTAAAGAAATAGCGAATTAATTACTTACTAATCATAACGCACCCTATATTAGGAAGCGATAGGCTTCGAACTTTATAAAGCGATAATTATAATTATAAATATATCGTTTTTGTAAATACGACTATAAAAGGGCCTAATATAAAGATCTAGTCGTAATATTTACTAAAATCTTTAAATTATAAAAAAATCTAATTTAAAAGTAATCGGCCTATAAATTCGTTATCGGCTACAAATAAACTAATAATAGTATAAAGAATAACGATTACGTAGGGAATATTAATAATTCCCTCTCCTTTATAGATAAACGTATAAAAACTAAAGCTCTAGTTAATTACGTTAACCGGACTAATATTAAATATACTAGCAAAAAACTACTTAGATACGTATTTATAAAAAATACGGTTATTAATAAAGTACGTAATTCGGTTATAAAAAGCTATAATAAAAGCGGGGCTTTTGTTAAACTAAGTATTCGTAAAAAAGGTATAAGTAGTTATAAATAGGTTATATATAATAAATTTATCTTTATATAATATACAGTATACTTTAATTAAGGTTTCGATTACTTTATTATTATTAAAAAGCTCGATAATACCGTATTTATTAATAATTAAAAAATAGGTCTTGTTAATTATATTATTAATCCAATATAAAATAATCTCTAATTTACTTATAATAAAGTTAAGAAAAAGTATATTAAGTACCTCCTTTAAATAAGTATATATATTTAGGTATTAAATAAAGATAATAATTATCGCTTTATAGAACTCCTTTATTACGCTTTATATGCGGTGAAATAATAATAATATTAAGATGTCCCTTCTAAGATTTCACTATACCTTTATAGTGAAATCTCTAAGAAATACCTTAAGATTTTATAAGGAAATCCTAGGGAATTCTCTATAATATCTAGTGGCCTTTTGCCGAGAATTCTTAGTGAATTCTTATAGGTTTTACTATAAAGTCTTTTATCGTAATGGCGGAGAAATCACGGTAAAATCTCTTTAATATCTATAAGAAATCATAATAAATACCCCTCGTTAAAGAAAACCGTTTTATCCGTAAAATCTATAGGATAGTAGAAGTATACCGGTTATACTTTATAAATTATTTATTTATAATATATTAAAATTATAAGGAAGTTATATATATAAATAGGAGATTAAATAGAATAGGTAGTTATTTAATTAAACGAAAACCTTGATTTATTAATTTACCGGCTATTTAATATAATTAGAAATAGTACTAGCTATACTTTTATAGTTCTTTTATATATCCTTAGCCGAGGTATAGGTTAGGGGTTATTACTACCTATTTAGCATTATTAATTATAGGAATTAATACACCGGCGTCGCAAATTAATATACCGGCGTCGCTTTTATACTAGCATCGCTATTTAACTCTTTAATTAGTTTTAAAAAATAATACCTCCCTATAAAGACGGTAAGGGTAATTATATTAATATAGCTATTCCTACTATCCTCTCTAACCTAAGCTCTAGTTTAAGATTTATAAATACTAAATTATAATAATATAAGCTTTTATAAATCTTAAATAGACAAGGCTTCCTTTTACTATATATTTAAAATATATAGAGAGTAAGCTGGAAAGGCCGGCATGCTGAGGAGGCCGGCTGGTGAGTATGCATGCTCCGAGTCCTTGTCTCCCGCTCACTCTATCTATCTCCTTCTCTTCCCCTCTCTTTAGAATGCCTATTTGGGGGTTGCTTTCAATATTCTATATTCGTCTGAGTGTTGAGAAATGCGCGCAACTCTTGGCTTGACAAATCTCCTCCTCGCAGTGCCTTCGTCTCCTCGGTCTTCTATCTCTCTGCCTCGGAGTAGGAAATTCGTCTCTGGTATTGAACTATTTTACACACCCCCATCATATCCCGATATATCCAGTAACCGCCGTCTCATACAACAAGAAACTCACTACTATCAAGGTCTCCGCTCGGATCAATGATCCGCGAGCTAGGAACAGGCGACTTTTAGAATACAGAGTGAGAGACAGAGTCTCGAAGCACCTGCCACCGAGCCAACCAAAGCTCGGCGCCACCTCGTCCACTCTCGTGGGCGTCTATTTTCATCACGACCGAATCGCCGGCCTGGAACTTCGGCCTCTCACCTATCAGAGCCCAGCTCAACCTTCGCGCCATCCTACCCTACCACGCTCCATGTAGGAATCTCCCCCTTCCGCTTCGTCCCACTTACACCTTGCTTATCTGCCCGCCCCCATGCAGTACTGCTTCAGTGAGAGGGCCTCTGCCTTGGGTCCCTCATCTGTTCAAGGTTGCCGGCGCCAATTCAAAACTACCTGCTCCCCCGAGTGCCCGAGTTGTTGGACCTCTTTTTTCTCCCTTCCGACAGCTGGTCTCTCCGAAATCTGATTCCTATCGTGCTTCATTCTTGCTTTGATCACCGGTATCTGTTGCATGTCCCGAAGTCGGTCTTACTGTTGGCGACCCAAAGTCTAAGGGGTGCCTTTCCTATATACAAGACACACTTCTCTTGCTGCCACCTCTTCGTCGCCCGGAACACAGTCACATAGCAAAGCCATGGCTTCCCAAGGTATGTCTTTTGCCTAGGTTTGACGATTTACTTCAACACCGAATGCTTACTTACACCTTTGTAACAGAAGATAGAAGGCGGCCTGCCGCCCTCAACCTCGCCCCGACCCGATCAGCTTCCACAGACTCATCCTCCTCAGACTCATCACTCAAGCCCCCTCGCACTCCTCGCTTCGCAGAAGCAACATCAGTTCACTCTCCCGTCGACGGCGTCCGATCACCATTCGCCGACCCCGTCAGATCAGAAGTGCCTCAGTCCCAGCCTGGAGATATCGGGTTCGGTTACATCAACAACAGCGGCGGTAACCGCGAGTCCGTCGCCGTCCCCATGACGCCCAGATCACCGCTCAAGAGCGCCATGAGGGTGCCCGGAACGCCAGCGAGGAAAATTGTCGAGAACCCGCTTAGCCCGACTTTCCGCGAGGAGGACATCTTGGAGAAGCGTGAAGCGGCGACCGACAAGGAGCAAGCACGCGACTTGGTATGTGTGCTCTTGGTCTGTTAGAGACCACATGATGCTAACTTCTACGGTGCAGAAAATCAAGACTCGCGTCCGCATGGCAAAGTTCGCCCTTCGCGGCGTCAGCTTCAGCTGCAGTTTGATCATCATTTCCATGCTTGCCGCCTCTTTCCAAATCTTCAACGCTACCAAGCGTCTCCCTGCACAAAGCGGTCTGCCATCATGGGCTGAAGGAACCGCCATCTGGCCCCAGGTCCTGGTTATCACTAGTAAGTCAATGCCTTTAGACCTGGCTTTTTGCCATTTCTAACAAACTTGGTAGTGTCTTCCATCTCCCTCGCTGTCTGCATCGGCGTCCTCCTCGCCTACTGCCGCGGCGGCCATCAACGTGCCGAAAAGGTAGCAACCTACTACACCCTCTTCGCCATCGGCTGGTTCATCCTCTCCATGGTTATGTGGGCCATCGCCGCCGGCCTCTTCCAGTCGAGCCGCAGCAACGGCGGCGGCAAGGACATGTGGGGTTGGTCGTGCAAGGAGAACAAGCGCGCCGAGGTCTTTGGCGAAAAGGTCGACTACGCCCTCATCTGCCGCCTTCAGAACTGGGCCCTCATCTGCATGGTCATCGAGATCGTCATCGACGTCATCTGCGTCCTGCTCTACAGCATCGTCTTTTACCGCTACTACACCAAGCGCCGCCTCCACAAGTCCATGGACATGCGCGACCGCGCCCGCTCCGACCTCTACCTCGCCCAGCTCCGCACCCAGTCCGCGCCCAACACCCCCGGCCTCAAGTCCCCCGGCCTCTACTCCCAGTACGCCCTGTCGCCCCGCCACCCGGACAAGACGTTCGAGAGCCTGTCCCGCATCGAGGAGGCCGGCGCCTCCCCCTTCACGCCCGGCACCCGCTTCGTCGAGCCCGAGTCCAGCTTCGGCAAGCCCAAGCCCGCCTTCCAGCTCCAGGCGCCCCCGACAAAGGCGCGCGCGGCGACCAAGCCCGGACAGGAGGCTTACACGCCCACGTCACCCGAGGGTCCCGGCCCGGCGTTCCCCTTTCAGCAGCAGCAGTCATCTCACCAAGAGCAGCCCCAGCCTCAGCAACACGCCCCCATGGCCGTAGACGAGCCCGTCTATGACGCCGTGCCGATTCCCGGCGCCTACGCCGACGCGCCTGTCAAGAGCCCGCCGCCACACCAGTACTCCTTTGGCCAAGCAAGATGAAGAAGGCCAAAGAAGAGGAGCAAAAGGAGGGATGCTGGAAGAAAGAAACGGTGTGATGATCATGAGGACGAGTGAAAGAACGTTCGAAACGAAAGCAAAGAGTCTGTGTGTATGTGTTCCTGAAAGGAACAGCTTTTTTTATATCCTTTTTTCTTTGTATTCAGCTGAGCTGGCTTTTTTGAACAACCACAAGACACCCCCCTACGCCATTCTTCCTCTCTTTTATAGGATTTACTTTATATACCATTCTGGGCGTTGGGAAAGGGGGAAATCTCAAGAAACAGGGTCCAAAGACTTTGACCTTGTTGCAATTTTGGGACAGGGATGTATTTTCGGTGGTTTATAGCAGTAATTTCAACCCCAAAACAAAACTGTACAATTTGGAATCAGACCTTGACACTTCCCTTCGCTCTTTCATGTGACCTGTTGTTTGTTCTCTAGTCCATCTTCCTCCGAGTCATGGTTGTAAGTCATGGCGGAGACTGGTGATTCCCCCGGCCCCATTTTACCTACCAGGTCTTCCGTGCCCTCGGAGACCCTCATCCACCACAGACCCTCCACGACGACAAATTCCACAAACACAACCCGGTATGAACCACGTCGTCGCTGTTTGAAGTCACCAATCTTTAAAAGCCTGCCCGGCTAGCTCAATCGGTAGAGCGTGAGACTCTTAATCTCAAGGTTGTGGGTTCGACCCGTAAGCGCCACTGCCTGTCCCAAAGACACTGCATCTGAACCCGATAACTAACATATACTAGCCACGTCGGGCTCAATTCCCGTCCGCGATTGACGCAACATACCTTTTTTACTTCTTGTTGGTAATTTTTACTTGTTGAATTGGTTGTTGACTGTCAATTCCTCTCATTTTCGCTGTGATTTGGTCCTGGAGAAAATTCTCTACTTTGATGTGGTTTGGTGTGTTGAGATTGTATCGGTGAAGACAAATGATGATGAAGTATGAACTATGCCATCGGGTGTCATGGAGTATCAAACTCCTCTCAACCGAGATCACCACCGGGGTTTACTTATACACAGCATTCACCGCCATCACTTGACCTTGTGCGCCTCGTCCAGCACAATGATGGGGAATTGGACCTCAAATATGTCCATCGTCTCGGCACAGAGTGGAAAACAGACTCGCCAGGGCCGCCGGTACTTGACTGGGCTAATGAATTCCTTGGCGATGTGCATTTGCTTTCTGTCAATGTCAACGATCTGTCCAGTATTCTGGGCGAAATCGAGGTCTTGGCTGGCGCCCATGACATAGTTGTAGCTGACTACGACAAAGTCGTACTCGTTGCCAAATATGTCGGCGGCAGAGGCGTTCCTGCCCTTGAGGACATATACGCTTGACCCCTTGAGCTATTTTTAGCATTATATTAGCAACTTCATCTCTATATCTCCCTTTTCTCGGCTTCTTAGGATATATTATCAAAGGAACATATAGAAAGAGAGCCAGAGAAACAGTCTCGTCAATGACAATAAGAGAAGGAACAGCCTTGGTAATAATAACAAGAGCAAGATAAGAGCTTGGATAGATTGAGTGAGAGATGGTTTTTTCGCCTACATTATAACCTCAATCTCGAGACCGTCTTGCGACCGTGGCAACAGGAGGGCGCCGAGCTACTGAGCTATATGCTCAACAGATCTCTACGAGGCGCAGTTCTGGCTGATGGAATGGGACTGAGCAAGACCTTGACCAGCATCAATGTCGCCTTATGCGACCCAAACGAGCCGTACGAAGGGCTCGTTCTAGTCGTAGCGCCTAAGGCCGTTCAGCCCACGTGGTTAGACGAACCCTCCTTCCACTTCCAACAGGTCACGTACTTTGTCGTGCGACGAAGCCCAGAGGTATAAGAGAACACTTTATCACCCACTTTGTAAAGAAGCTAGAGGCTATGTCTGTGAGTTCCTGCGCTAAGGTATGGATCCTTCATATACCCTCAGCGGGTCTCATCCGTCAACCAACTATCACTGGATGAAAACATCCACCCATCCCCGATAGTCTAGTGGTGAGGATATCTGCTTGTCATTACAACTCAGTGATGTTCGCAGGGGACCGGGGTTCAATTCCCCGTCGAGGAGTTAACTTTTGCCCCGGCCCATCATTCTATGAACTATCGTGAAAAAAGGGTGGCATTTGTGAAGTTTTTGTCATGGTTATGAGTCGTGAGAGTGAGTATCGCAGGATCGCAAAATTCACCTGCGCTAAGCCACAGGCAGCGTGGCGCGGTGGGGTACCATTCTGGACCTTCCTTGTAAGAAAGGTAAGCACCACTGTACTTCGGAGGGCGTGCACCTCGGTTCTGGGTGCTTGGCAGGGCGTCTTCTCACATCGCCGTACTCCGTTGCTCTTGAAGCTAGACGATCATCTTATATGTTGAGCACCCAGAAAGCTCAATTGAGTCGTGTTCAACTTTCAGCGGTATTTATAACTTTCAGATTTTTGTGCTGCAAGATTGACGGTAAACGATCAATCGAGGAAACAAGACATTGATCAGTTCATTCCCATTAAGACAACCAAGCAACCAGGGGCACGGCACACCACCGTCGTCTATCAAAAATGATTGTCCCACGCTCATCATGCCGCTTGGCGAGACAAGCTCTCTCGCAGCTGCAGCTTTCACGCCAAACTGTCGGTAGCAATGCGGCCCGTCGTCACATCAGCGCCGCCGCATACCAATCAGGCGGACTGAAGAATCTCCTGCGCGTTTCTGAAGAGGTTGCTGATGCCGTTGCCACAAACAAGCCCGTTGTGGCTTTGGAGTCTACGATCTACACACACGGCGCACTGGGCAATGATCTCGGTCTGGAAGACATCGTCCGTCAGGGCGGCGGTGTCCCTGCTGTGTGTGGTATCCTGAACGGCGAGCCCATTGTTGGAATGACGGAGGCTGAGGTTGCCTTCATGGTCGATTCTGGCACAGCGGGTAAGGTGTCGAGAAGAGATGTTGCTCATCTCGTTGGACTGGTAAGTCTCACTAGATAGCGCCGTGCTGTTGTACAAGTTGATTCGTTCCAAGATGTCTGATCTTCATGTTTGATCCTCCAGTTCTAACATATCCCAGGGAATCACTGGAAAGAAGGTCCACGGCGGCACAACCATTGCCGGGACAATGCTCCTCTCAAGGCTAGCCGGCATCCGCGTCTTCGGCACCGGCGGCCTAGGCGGCGTCCACCGCGGCGGCGAGACCTCCCTCGACGTCTCCGCAGACCTCACGGAGCTCGGCCGTACGCGTGTGGCCGTCGTGAGCTCAGGCTGCAAGGGCTTCCTCGACATCCCGCGCACGCTCGAGTTCCTTGAGACGCACGGCGCCTTCGTTGCGACCTTCGCCGACGGCCGGACTGGTAACGTCGACTTTCCCGCCTTTTGGGCCCGCGAGAGCGGCACAAAGAGCCCTGCCGTCGTCCAGACCGAGCGCGAGGCCGCCGCCATGATCCTCGCGCAGGAGAGCCTGGGCATCGAGTCCGGTATGCTGTTCGCCAACCCCATCCCCGAGGAGTACGGCATCCCCCGCGCGGAGATGGACGCCGTCATCGAGACGGCGGTCACGGAGGCCATTGAGAAGGGCTTCACGGGCGCCAAGAACACGCCCTATGTCCTCGGTAGGATCAGGCAGTTGACGGAGGAGCGAAGCACGCTGGCCAACAAGGCGTTGGTGAGGTCCAACGTGGCGCGAGCTACTAAGATCTCGGTGGAGCTCTCGAAACTCTTGACAGAGGGCGTTTCGAAATCGTAAGTGTTGACTTTGATGTATATAGCTCAGCCGGGGACTTCAACTCTGACTATGTAGATAGTTCTTCGAGCACACATGTTTCTGGTTATGATTTTGCCCCTAAACCTGCAGTCAAAGTGGAAGAGCCCAAGTCTAGCAAGGCCGATGTCCTCGTGGCAGGCTCCGTGGCGATTGACCTAAGCTGCGATTATCATCCTATCGGTGACAAGAAGGAGGTCGCGCCTCACATGCAAACCTCGAACCCTGCTTGTATCAACCAATCCATCGGCGGCGTTGGTCACAACGTCGCCCTCGCCGCTCACAGAATAAGCAAAGACACAACAGTACGCCTGTGTAGCTTGATCGGTGACGACGTGTAAGTTTGCCCCCCCCCCCCCCCCATTTTACGCCTGTCACTGTATCCTTAACCAAAGCAAACAGCGCCGGCGCAACCGTCCTGTCCTCCCTCCAGGCCTCGGGCCTCGAGACAACCTACATCCGCCAGCTCACCTCCGAGTACCACGTCGCGAACCGCACAGCGCAGTACGTTGCCGTCAACGACGCCGAAAAGAACCTCGTCATGGCCATGGCCGACATGGGCATCTTTGCCAATCACTCCTTCCCAGACTACTGGAAGTCCGCCGTCGCGGGCGCCAAGCCGGCGTGGCTCGTCGTCGACGGAAACTGGAGCCCCAAGGACGTCCGGGCATGGATCGACGCCGGCCGCGAGCAAGGGTGCAAGGTCGCCTTTGAGCCCGTCTCGACAGCCAAGTCCATCGGTCTGTTCCCCAAGGAGCACCCTCACCTTGGAGTCTTTCCCAGCCCTGGTATCGATATCGCGTCGCCCAACAACTTTGAGCTCAACGCCATGTACAGCGCGGCCAAGGAGAACGGCTTCTTTGATACGCCCGAGTGGTTCGAGGTCATTGACGCCTTCAACATGCGAGGTGCGCGGGACCGGTTCGTGGCTCTCACGTCAAAGGAGATGACGGACGCTGGCATCCCCGTACAGACGGTTCACCTCTTGCCCTACATCCCTACACTGGTCACCAAGCTTGGGTCCAAGGGCGTTCTCCTGACTACGATTCTGGGCAAGAACGATCCTAGACTCAAGGACAGAAACGAGGAGAAGTGGCTGCTCACGAGGGGGTACGTTGATCATCCCACCGTCGGCGGCGTCTATATGCGCCTGTTCCCGCCTGCTGAGAGGGTCGCCCTCGGAGAGATTGTGTCTGTCAATGGTGTTGGCGATACGTTCTTGGGAGTCCTGATCGCTGGCCTGTCCAAGGGAGGCAAGGTGGAGGACTTGATTGACGTCGCGCAGAAGGCGGCCGTCATGACGCTCAAGAGCCACGAAAGTGTGAGCCCCGACTTGGAAAGGCTGGATGGGGCTCTGGAGGCTTCTGTGAGGAGTTGAGAACATCGTGAGGTTACACATGTAGAATAGAAAAGCTGGCGGCGTTCAGTGAAACTTGAATTTGAACCTACTTCATTATACCTCCCGTTCGGACTACGTGCTTTTATTTGTGATACTACATCCACCAGAGAGAGATAAGCGACCCTGACTATCGAAAAAATCATCGGTATGGGATCTACCTCCACTTTGATAGACTGCCAGGGTTCGTAAAGGGGCCGATGGCCAAAATCTCAACGGGGAAATCAAACACCTTTGAGAACACAGTATAACCTGCTGCTGGTTTTGGTAGGATATGAAGGCCCTGGAGACTTAATTGCCAGGAACACTCACTACGAACCTTTAGAAGCCGGGGGCTGGGGATCAGATTGGAAAGTACCCATTGTGAAGGACGAGCTGCGGAATCCAGCAGGATATAAAGGCTCTCGACACATGGCTGCCAAAAAACTCTCACTACGAGTCCGTAGTGACCCGGTTCCAGGTCTGATCGAGCGGCATGTGAGGGCAGCGTTGCTGCCTTCGTATCATCGTTCTTGTTGAGTGTCGTTATGCTTTTCACCATACTAAGCATATCCTCCCATCGTATTATTTGTTTCTTATAACGCTATCTATCATCGCCGGAAGTCATGACTTTTGTTTTGGCTTACATCCAGGACCACCACGAGGCCCAGGTGTGGGGAAAGATGTGCCACAAGATGGACACCCCTGATATTCTCAACCTCATATATGGCCGAATACCACAACCTTCACATTCATCCGTGCCAGCAAATAGCCACCTAACAATGTATGACCGACAAGGAAGCATTCTCCTTCTTCATCCGCCCATAGCCTCAAACATCCCCAGTAATGGTAAGAGACTGAGAAACAAGCTCTTTCCTTCCTCATCCATCCATACCGGTGAACATCAACGATATCAATACAAGACGAGAAGCAACTTCTCTTCTTTCTCATCCTCCTAAAGAGAGATACCAATCATTACACGTCCGTTCAGAAGACCTTGAGACTTTTGCCACGTCTCATTTTCGAACCAGGAGTTGTCCTTCACCGATCTCCTCAACATGGCGTTACCGCCTAGTTTGTCGGTTGGCATGTATCCGTCCGTGCCGGGGTCGGGACGAAAACAACTTCGTCTCTATGATTCTCCAATAAGGACCGTCGGCATGGTGAGTTCATGATATCCTCATCCATTGTTGACCACTTGCCATACCTGATTCCGCCCCTTGGAATCGGCGTTCGTAGAGGGATGTCTTCTACACGTATCAAGTAACCTATGCTCGATTTGACGATGTCTTTCTGTAAGTCTGGCATAATTGATGGACCGCCGAGGCGGATGTTGGGGTGACATGGAACCGGAATGAATTCCTCCAGCTCTTGTAGGTCCTCGCACTCCCAGACGAGCTCCCTTTTCTTGGCGGCTCTATCCATGAGATTCCTGTCGCGGACCTCTTCTGAAGCTCGGAACTCAGGTCAGTTCCAGTCCAATAGTGTCACATGCTCCTCTAGAGCGTCGATGGTGTCAAAGTCTTCAATGGCGGCACCGTCTGGCGCGACTGAGACGCAGAGTTCACGACGAAATCCCTCCGTCTCGTCCTCTTTCTTTCGCAGCTCGAGTCGACGTTGCCAGGCAGAGTAACCTGCATGAAAATTGCCCCTGCCATGCTGGGTCAGGTGCGTCACCCTTGCTTTCTGTTGCTCACCAATCCTCTCGTCCGCGAAGCATTTGGGACATAGACATACCAAGTCCGGAAGTTTGGGCTTCTCAGTTTCGAGGGGCGTCTCCAGTACTTGTCTGACGATTTCGTGGTACGGGACTTCAGAGGCTTGCTCGCCATGGTCAACGTTCTGGTCGTTTTGCTCCACGAGGTTTATCGTCCCGTCGGTAGCAAAGAGCTCTTCGGCATCGGGTTCCGGTACATTCTCCTCTTCTTCGGCCATGTCAATGTCAGAGTCAGCCCCTTCATCTTCATCGGATGGTGCAATAGTTCCTTGTCCTTCTGCCGCCAGGGATGCACGAGCTCGATCAATGAGTTCTCGATTGAAAGGATCCATGCGTACAAGGGCATTGGTTCCTTGTTAGGCCGAGAGTTCGTCGGTCCTTTGATTTGGGTCCTCGTTGATGCCTTCGTCATGCTTCACTGCTGCTAGCAGCTGCCCGATGGATTGACCGCTCGATTGAAGTCGGTGTGCCATCTTTTCCGTGTATCGCTATCTAGAGGTGGTGGCCAGGGACCTTTTTGTTGCTGAAAGTCTAAACGCGTGGGAAAAGACTGGGAAGAGGAGCGACTGATGTGGGATGAGATGGAAGAGGCTGGTGGGATGACTGACGTTGAATGGGATGAAGAAGTTTTCACAATGAAACGACAGTACATCTTGGAGGTATGGGCGGGAAGGCGACTCCTAGTTCAAGCGGAAGGCACAGAGGAGAAAGAAGGAAGGAGCAGCTTGCATTCTTGCCCCTTTCGTGACTTGAACTCAAGATACAGGACCTCCCTCAACAAGGCAGGTGCCACTGACAGGCTAGAGTCTTACGCTTCCTACTAGAGACACCAATGTACCAGGGAGATTATATAATGAAATCCTTGCCACTAGGTAGGTTATCAGGAAGGAAAGTTGATTGACAACCAAGTCCCGTTGAGGGCAAGTAAATGACGTACGAGTTATTGCAAAATCACGTAAATTGAGTCTCTTACTCATATTCCTTCAGTCTGGCATAGACCCTTGATTGTCTTTCAGCCATACCACGGTACAAAGCCTCCGCACCGACTCTGACAACAGAGATTCGAGACATAAGCTGCGAGTCAAATGCTGCTAGTTATGCGATCTGACCGTTCAACGACCCGGCTATTTATTTAACGCAAGTCAAAGACTCACGTTGTTCAAGACAACAGCCCAATGCTGCCGGCTGATGCAGGTCTGAGTATAAGGATGGGAAACAGAAGAAAGTACAACGTGGCTATTTCAAGTGGCAAGAAAGAACAAGGGAAGAAGCAAAAGATGGTGAAGAAAACTAGGAACACATATCTCGTTTTTAGTGAAGAAATTGATTGTGGAAATGAAGTTGATGAAGATCCGTGCTCATACAGTGTAACTCACCATATAATCAGTCTGTTCAGCCCAATAACTGTATTAGACTGAGATGTCTGTATTGAAATCAAAAGCATCAGTGTCTTTTGAGCGCTGGTTGAATCGATGCACAGAGGTCTGTCTCAATATCGCTTTGGAGGGGTTCCAGATGCCCCGCAATCGAGCCTGGTCACATAAGCACCTCTATTGGTGAATCCTGATCTTAGCGTCTTTAACTAAACCAATCAATTCTTCCATATCTTTGCAAGGCTGAAAGGTCCATTAAAAAAATTCTGGACGTCCTCTGCAAGCCGCCCGTCCATTCCCACCTCGATCCGCTGGTGCGCCCACGACCAAACGAGACAAAAAATCACCACCAACCGGCGACAATGGCAAAAGAGCAACCATTTGAGCAATTCTCCGACGAGGAGGAGGTCATCTCTTCCGAGGAATCAGAACTCGAGGAGGAAATCCCCCGCCAGCGCAAACCGAAGCCCGTGTTCGACGAGAAGGATTCCGACGAAGAAGAGCTCGAGAGGCTGGTCTTGGGAGGCAAGGCCGATTTTCGCGAACAGCTCTTTCGCAACGATGTGCTCGGCGATATTGAACGACTCGAGAGAGAGAAGAACCTCCAGCTCACCAAGCCGGACGACGAGCCCACACTAGAGGAAGTCGCCGACCACGACCTCTTCTTCCTCGACACCGGAGTCTCTGGGGCAAAAGGCGACGCAAAGGCGGGCAGCAAGCAAGAAACAGCGGCCGTTGACGAGAACGCGCCCGCGTGGGAGGACAGCGACGACGAGCGATTGACCGTTTCCCTGGCGACCGCGACGAGGTTACGAAAGCTGCGCCTCACCGAGGCCGAGGACATGGTCAGCGGCGCCGAGTACAGCAGAAGACTAAGACAGCAATTCGTCCGCCTAAACCCCCTCCCGAAATGGGCGCAAGAGCCGTCGTCCGAAGGACGCCCCGCAAAGAGGAGAAGACGCTCATCCGCCGCCGCCTCCGACTCCTCCATCAGCTCCGACGAAGAAGACAGTGCCGAGGACCTCTCCGCGGCGCCCCTCGAGAAATTCATGCGCGATGTCCACCGCCTCGCCGGCCGCGGCGCCGCAAACGGCGGCAAAGCCCGCCTCCGGCCCGAGGTCATTGACATCCAGCGCACGCGCGAGATCCCCGACACTCACAAGGCCGCCGTCAACAACCTCTCCTTCCACCCGCGATACCCCGTCCTTCTCTCCTCGAGCGTCTCCTCCGTGCTCTACCTGCACCACCTCAACCCGACAGCCCACCCGACGCCGAACCCGATGCTCACCTCGGTGCAGGCCAAGGGCGTCGACGTCCGCCGCGCCGAGTTCCTCTACCCCTCGGGCGACCAAATCTTCTTCGCGGGACGGCGCAAATTCTTCCACAGCTGGGACCTGCAGACGGGCCACGTGCAAAAGACGTCGCAGATCCAGGGCCACAGGCTCGAGCACAAGACCATGGAGCGCTTCAAGCTTAGCCCCTGCGGGCGGTACATGGGCCTTGTGGCGTCGACGAAAAAGGGCGGCGGCATCATCAACATCGTCAGCACCGAGTCGAGGCAGTGGATCGCGGCTGCCAGACTGGACAGCCGGCACGGCATCGCCGATTTCGCGTGGTGGAGCAACGGCGAGGGCCTGTCGATCCTCGGCAGGGACGGCTCCGTCGGCGAGTACAGCGTCGGCGAGAAGCGGTTCCTGGCCGTGTGGCACGACGACGGCTGCGTGGGCGGCATCGTCATCGCGCTAGGCGGGCACCAAGGGCCCGAATTCCTCGGCGACGACAGGTGGGTCGCTGTCGGCTCCAGCAGCGGCATCACCAACATCTACGACCGCCACACGCTCGTCAAGGCGTCCAAGGCCGGCGAGGTCGACGTCGAGCAGCGGCCCGAGCCGACGCGCACGTTTGAGCAGCTCGTCACGCCCATCACGGTGTTGACCTTCTCCCCCGACGGCCAGCTGATGGCATTCGGCAGCACAGAGACCAAGGACGCGCTGCGCCTAGTTCACATCCCCAGCTGCACCGTCTACAGGAACTGGCCCACGGAACAGACGCCCCTGGGCAGGATCACGAGTGTTGCATTTGGGCGGAGCAGCGAGCTCCTCGCGGTCGGTAATGATACGGGCAAAATTAGAATGTGGGAGATTAGGAGTTAAAGAGGGTTAATAAAAAAGTCGGTGGCTTTGTCTGTATTGAAGGTTTTTTTATCTGGCGTGAGGGCCTGTCTTAATTCCATCCTCCTGCATTGAACCGGGCCATTCTCTGTGCTCTTATTATGCCGCCCCATCACCTCACTTCCCATCTTAGACTGCCCAAGCATCAAAACCTCATCTTGCGTCGTAGGGAGCGGAGCGGATCGTCCTTGGGAAGCTCCTTGCTAGACATGAACATCTTGTTCTTGCGGCAATATCTTCCAAGCTGCGAGGGATTCTTGAAGAACTTGACGTCGTCAGGCCGGTTGCCGACGCTGAGGAACTGCTTGATGCTGACGTTGACCGTCCTGAGGGCCTTTATACGAGATTTACCATGTCAGCCGATGATCTCTATCACATGGTGTGTTCTGAGTTGCTGGCACTCACCTTTCGGCATTGGGTCTTGGTGGGCAAGTCTGTGTCCAGACCCAGATCACCACAGAGACGCTGCCAGTCAGCCAGCTCTCTCTTGCCAAAGTACTCCTCCCAGCGCGCGACGAGGTTTGTCTGGAGGTTCGCCGCCTCCTTCTGGGTCAGCTTCCTGTCCGTATTTGGTGCGCTGCTCTCGCCATTCGCCTTCGTCTCATTGGGATCAACGCTCTTGGGGCTCTTGAGGTCATCCAACACATCCTTCAGTTCAACACATTCTAAAGCCGCATCATCTCTCTGCTCATTACCGTCGTGGCTGCTGCCGTCGACGACATCCTCCCTCTCGATATTCAACGGGATCATCATCTCCTCAATGTCGTGAAGATCGGCGCCTCCTCCGTTGTTGCCATTCTCATTCTCCTCCACCTCACCCTCCTTCTTGATGTTGAGCTCGCCCATCATCTTCTCCACGTCCTGCAGCTTGGCGCCTCCTTCCTCAGCGGCCCTCTCCCGGGCCTTGCGGGCGGCGCTCTTGGTTCTGCGTGTCATTGTCGGGGGAGGAAGGTACTGAGGCGGGTATGGATGAGATGTGAATATTGTCTGCGGGGTGAGATGTGCTCAACTCAAATGAGCATGAGTATGAGTATGAGCCGATGCCGATGTGACCAAAAGCGGCTTGTGAAGGTGCTCCGTTTGACCCTGGCTAAGAGGCGTTGGTTTGATGAGGGGGAGTTATGGTCGCACCAACCCGTTGCGGAAGGATGGTGATTGCAAAGGTGAGCGGTACGGCGGGTTGGAAAAGGAAGACACTGAATAGATGGAGACAGCTGTTTATTTCCTCGAGTATTCAGGGGAATGTGAATAAACTATGAACATTGCGTCTCAACTTTGGAAAGCCAATTTGGCATCCGGTTTATTCCATGGACCCTGACTGAACAGCAGCTTGAAATTGCTCTCAGGTGCCTCATCACAAACCATGATCCCCGTCACATTGCTTACAACAACAAACTCAAACATACTCAATGCGAGAGACAGTCAAGGACCGCCAGTGCAATGATATTAATATGTTCGTAGAGAGAAGGATTCGAGTTCGCGTTGAGAATGACGTTGGGCAGTATTTCTGTACCGCGTAATTGAGAAGGGTCGACAAGTTTCGAGGTACATCGTGTGAGACAGATTGAAAGACATACCAAGTTCAGAGCAGCCTCAAGACAACAATACCCTGGGGGAATAAACGTTCAAGGTGCCCGAGTGCTTCTATGCCATGTGGGTTTGTTTGTCTACCCTTGCCACGAGTCTCGAGCTTTGTGCCATTGCATTTGCGACTGTTGGTGAGCGGCGGCATGGCGAGCCCACACCCGAGGGCGGTAAAAGCAACACGTGGGAAACAAATGGCTCAGCTCATGTAAAAGTCTCAAACGGAAAAGACTGACCTTGATCAGGACAGTGTCAAGCAGCGTAAACACCAGACCTGTCACACTCAAATCTGCAAGACAGTGTAGTCCACACCGGTTTCTAATTTTCGTGCCATTGAATGCCTAATTCTAGCAACGGCGACGTAGTCATCGTTTTTGTTCAGGCAAAATGAGCCCGTTATGCATCGCTTGCGCGCTTGCGATCGAATCCGCTGTATCAAAACAAAATACCCCGAACGCCTATCCATGCCAACAACCGGATCTCTGTCCGGGTGGCCGCTGGACCCAGCCTCCGTGCCGCCGTCCAATTCCCCCAGGTCATCTAATCATCATTTTTAAAATCCTCCTCTTGAGTCTATGCTTTCCTCCGTCCCAGGAACCCGTTTAAAACGCATAAGCGTTGCCCAGCCCCAAAACACCTGCACCTCCAATTCCCCTGCTCTCGCTGTTCCTTCGACTGTTACCAGGGACCAGGACCATGCCCCTGTCGTTCTCGAGTGCCAACAAAACTTGTGATGGCCGTCGTTCCAACTTCCCCTGACTCTGTAAGGCTCTGATACCGACCAAAGCACCGCGGAGACCGATATCGAGACGACGCGGCTCTTGGAGGCCAAAGAACCCGGCAGTTGGCGATGAAAATTGACGCTTGTGACCGAATGATCCGCCGAAGGATGCGTAACTCGAGCTAGGACGGGCAAACAATGGCCGAGGGATAGACATCTTACGCATGTGACCGAAGTAGCTGTCGCTCGAGTCGTCGAAGTGGTATGATCTTCTCTGAGGCGACCAATGCGAGAGAGACATCGTTTCGTCGTGAACGGCGGCATCGGCGGCATCGGCGGCGAATTCGGGGAACGGTACAGTAGGCTCTGAGGGTTCTGAGTAATCCGAGTCCTCAGTTTCAGTCATCAACGGCGGGGTAGATGGTTCACGAGCTTCCTCTTTGTCGCTGAACGAGGGCGCCGAGTCCGATGTCGGCGTGCGAGGGGCTTCGTCCGAGACGGACTGGGCCTCGGTCAGGACTAGAGGCTGTGAATCTCTGTGTAACTGCTCAGGAGATTCAAGAGTCGGTTCGACAAGTTCCAAGGGAACCGCGGACAGCTCAGCAGCTTCGGGGGTAGAAAGAACGTCGGGGACAGCGGGTTCATTCGTTTCAGTGGCGGAGGAGTCCTCGGCAACTTCGGGAGAAGAATCTTCAGTTGCTTTGGATACATGAGGGAGCTCAATTGCCTCGGGAATGTGCGGGGCAGAGATAGGTTCGGTCGTGTCAGTGGAAGACGTACAAGAATCGACTTTGATAGTCGAAGCTAAAGTGGATGTCACATCCTCAAACAGAGAACCTGACTCCATCACCTCAACAGATGGTGGCAGAGCTCCTTTCTCGAGATCAATAGAAGGCGAAGCTGAATCAACCCGATTAGGTGACGCCGTTGCTGAGTCAAGTATAAGAGGTGAGAGAGGCCCATTGTCGAAGTTGACGGGAGAGTTCAGTCCAGTCTCCGTTGCGGTTGCAAAGCTTGAAGGGCTCGACATGACGGCCATGGCAGATGTGGAGTCTGCATCATGGAACTCGGCATCAGAGTCGTCCTCGTCCTCCTCAACAATGGTTTCAATAGAGTACTCTAAGAAGCCTTCGAAGGATCGGGGAGGTGTGGAAGGTCTAGCGCGTGGTACGTCTGGGGTGATGACAATCACTGGCTGTTGACCCATCGACTCTTCAACCTGTTGCACTTCTGGTTCAAGCGATGCTTCCGGTTCCGGCTCAGCCGACTGTTCGTCGGTATCGACCGGTTCGCAACAGTATTCGAGCCAACCCTCGAGAGCAGGCTCTTCGGACGGCTGTTCAACCTTTGCGACAGGTGATACCGGCAAACAGGCGGCCGCAGACTCGCCTTCGGGCTCCGACTCCGCAACTTCATCGACCTGGATGACCACATCCTCTGAATCCGGCGAAGGCGACGGCTCCGAGTCGGTGAGTGACCGCTGCTCGGAACCAGAGTCGGTCGACACCAGAGATTGTCTGGAAACAGACCGACTGCCTTTGCCCATCAGGCTGAATTGTCGTGGGCCGTTGAAGCGCTGCATCGTCGGTGTCGGGGGCCCTGCTAGGGGGTCGTCGACAAGCTCGCTATCGGAGGTTTCTGAACCGGCAATGTTCGGGTCTGCGTCAAAGTGTTGAGGGGTTCCCGAGAGCGTTCGCATAAAGGTGGGTGTAATCAAAAGGCTGTCGTGGGGCGTGCCAATGATATCGTCGGCAAGGCTTGGAGTAGACGACGAGGATGGATATGTAGTCTCCCCGTCTTCGGTCATCGAGAAGGACAGACTGCTTCGGCTGCAGTCGAGCTGATCTTTGAACGCGATTGCTTTGGCTGGAGTTTCAGGCTGTTGCGAGGGCCCCACGGTGTCATTGACGCTTTCGGCCATCGTTTCAACCCCACTGCTATTCTGAGGCGTTTCATCTTCGAGGATCGAAGGTTCGGACGACTCATTCAAGCTGCCATCGAAAGAGTCCGGCACGGCCCCATTAGGCGTCGGGATCGGGAGCGGGCTACTAGATGGTAAAGCTTCCATTTCTGCAGGGTCATTTGCTGCAGGAACAGGCCGCTCGACAACGCGAATGTTCTGTGGCTCAGAATCGTAGAGAGCGCACGTGTCTTTCACCACCAAAGAAACGTCGGACTGGATTCGACTCTTGAGTTTAGACACGAAATTCTCCTTCACAGTCTCAGGATCTTCGTCTTGGCGCTGTCCCGTCGCGTAATACGGCGAACGGGCCACGAGAGTCTTGTCCAAAACTAGGTGGCCACGCTTGTGAACCATGAGAGTGATACTCATATCGTTGCCTCCGAGGATATCCGCAACGCCAGTCTGCACTCTGTCCAAGATGGCTTTGACTGTTCTCCGGGAATAACAGGCAGTCGAGTCGAGGCAGACAGCAAATGGCTTCTCGATTTTCCAGCCGCGCCCGGACAGCTCATAGACTGTGACTCTGAGGTCATCCATCTCATTCAGCTCTTTGTCAGTATCATCTCGCACCGCTTCGAAGGCATGTTGAAGCTGGTTCAAAAACTGCTCGCAGTCGAGACCGTCGGGGTGTTCGAAAAGGAGCAAGTTGCTATCAAGCTCGCGGCGTAGGTGCCTATGGTCCAGTCCAAGTTGATTCCGTATTTGGAATCCGACGTGAACGGCGTTTTGCTCAGAATGGTGAGACTCGTCCAGGAAGTCGAATCTGTCACGAGATTGGCGATGATGCCTATCAAACGCCATTTTCCTAGCATCCAAGGCACGTTGCATGGCTGTTGACAAAACCCATGCCATATCTTCTCCATGGGATAGGGTCAGTGGGGAGCTCTGCATGCTCTTCAGCGTAATGGTACGTTGCCATTCTCTTTGCCTGCGCGACTTGCATCGACTCCGGAAGGACAGAGTGATCTCGTAGCCGGGAACGAATTCCCAATCTTGTGTAGCGTCAATGAAACGCGATTGGGGGACGTGAAGGAGGGAGACGGGGTTGCTCAAAGGTTTGAGGATTTCCAGCTCGCTAGAGGACCGCTCACGTGTCCTACCATGGGTCCATCTGAAAGTCTTGTCGTGAAGCTTCATAAAGGATCCAATGATGCGGTCTGTTGAGCGAGCGATCTCCATGGCAGATGGCTTATCCATGGGGTACTTCTGGTACGATCTGAATGTCTTCGTAGCCCATGGTTCCGGGCCTCCACAGTAGATCTGGTAAGTTAACTCAAATCGAAGCGGCTTCCCTTCGCCGATCTGCGGGATAGTCCGCTCGAGGGCGGTTGAATCTCTGCGGGTGAGAAGCTCATGAGAGCAGTGGGTTAAGCGGCGTATAAGCGCTTGACATAGTTGATCCGTCGGTTCGAATCCGTATGATGACTGATATTGTCGTTCGTAGGTAAGATCCAAGGACGGCTGGAACTTGATGCAGACTCGGACAGCCAAGCCAGCAGGCGAGGGGTTGTTGAATTTGGGGTCGTTGAGACCAGTTGCGGTTCGAGGCCGCCCCGGGCTTGAAAGAAGAAACCTCCTCTGGAAGCCCGAGGCGCCGGAATGCGACGTTGAAGGACGTACGAGATCAGACTCGGCCATGTCCGTCTAAAGTTGCTAAGGTGAGAGCAGCGCCAATGGCCATTCGGTTGGTAGTGTTGGAAAAAAGGGAGTTTGAATCTCAGTTCCCACCAGACTCAAACCGAACCCGTCAGATGGTGTCCGGGGGAGGGACAACGGGGGGTTTTAAAAAAGCGGTTTCGACGGGGAAGAGACAAAGTGAGGTAGCACTGGCTGGCCCTAATGCAAGCAGTCTCCATCAAGCCGTCCATAAAAAGGACGGTAGCACCCAGAGAGGAAAGGTTGCTAGGGACCAAAGAAAGAGGAACCAAGAAAGTGACGAAAACGGGTAGGGAGAAGCACGAGAAGGAAGCGCAGGCGCTGCAGAAGCAAGAAAGCCAGAAGCAAACCAGCAAAAGGCACCAACCGCGCGGGCGGGTCACGCGAGGGATATGTATGAGATGTTATGGCTACGATTGTGGTGCGGTTCTGACGCGCCGATGCGAGAGGTTGGGCGACCCATGGCATGATACGCCCAGCACAGCTTATTACAGGGGAAGCCTAGCCAACCGGAGGAGCCTCTGCGCAGGAAGCTTTTCTTTGCAGGACAACCTCAAATTACTCTTTGGGTAGTCCGCTGCTCCGGGTGCCTTACCCAACTTGGTATGTCAGTCAGGGTCGTGGTGGTGTGGCCATGTTTGTTTCTGGAGTATCCGTAAGATAAGGCTGATCATGGCTGATGCTGATGAACTGACAGTGAGACAGTGGGAGCGGGAAGCAGAGAGACCCCAGAAGGAATCTGTTCATGAATACATTTGGGTTGTGGTAAGCTAGGCGAGGCGATTGTCATTGCTACCCGTACCCGCATTGCCGGAGAAGAAAGCAACAAGTGAAATTCACTCAATGCTCGGTCGGATTGCCATGGTGATTTCCCACGGGCGGCTGCATTGTTGTAGCGTCGTAGCGAATGACGGCAAGACAACACAACAAGACAACAACATCTCAAAATCCACCATCCATATCCGCTTTCTCCGTTTCCTCGGATGCCACCCGCGCGAAACACAACATCGCAAGCTCAGCAACAGCCCAAATGAGTCAGCGACAGCACAAGCAAGCAAGCAGCTTCAAAAAGATAATAGCAGAGGCTGTTGGTCGCCCGAAATGTGCCGCTTGGCTGTGGGCTCTTTACTGCTGTGCTCCTCTTCGCTGCATGTTGTGCCTTGAATTGCGCTGTCTTGTCCTGTTTCTGAGGCTGGCATGTGCATAGTCTCCTGCCTCATCCAACGCATGGAAATGGAGTCCACGCTTGACATATACACAAGGGTGAAGCGAAAACAGGTGGGGATGAGCGGATTCCGTACCCCTTCCGGCTGCGATTTCTGCAGGCGGTCGTCGGCGTCAGCGACTCAGCAGGTCCATCGACGACTCAGCGCTCGCGTGTCCGTAATAACTCAAGGATTCAGATATCAGGCAATTGGGCAGACGCAGATCCGACTCGGGGGATGCGGGCCTTGCAAGCTGTCGTATGTACAGCACACACGCAGTCTGCAGAAGGCTGGATGCTCCGGGCTGGGCGCCATGGGCTGAACCTGGGCGTCGGGAACTCTCGCTAACGCGCCTGAAGAAACCCGAATCCGTCACCAGATCCTGGCATGATCTCCGTCCAAACCAAGCTGCCAGATGCCGTTCAAGGGTGAGACGTGGGAGAGGAGAATTGCGGCACAGATCGGAGAGGGGCGGGCTCACGGGAATCACTTCTGGTGCCAGATGCTGCTCCCCCTCTGCCCCCCCGGTTCACCGTTCGAGGAGCTTGGGAATCGTGGATATCTCCAAAACGACTAACTGGACCGGGCTGGTTTGCATGACGACAGTCGGACCCGGGCGCCCGTTCTGACCGCTGCTAGATCCAGCCGTCCGCTCAAGACATGTGCCGGAGGTGGTTCAAGAAACCCAAGGGCAACCAAAAGGATTAACCTCTCTCCGCCGGACGGAAACGCTTGAGTCGTCCCCATAATAGCATGCCACCATGCCTACCAGCCAATGGTGACTATTGCATGACTATCAAGACTCAAAAGGTCAACATCGCATCGATCTCTGCGCCCAGTCAACGTCCCGCATTACATAAGTAGGAGCTCCGCATATTCAAGAACCCGAAAAAGGACCCCAGAATGTCAAGGGTCGACCAGAATCCATGTCCGAAACCCACCGACTAACACCATGTCGATGTCGTGGTCTTGCGTCTTGCCCACTCCGATGGGACAATCCACCCATAGTGGGAACCGTGGATACTCTCCTGCGACCACTCAAAGAATTGAGAAAGAGAAAAATTACTCGTCACTTGCAGGCCCGAGTCCTTCTGCGCGTGAAATTTGGCGTCATGGCGCCAGCCACGCGCCTTTTCCGCCCGCCGTCTGTCTCTGGAGTCTGCCGCTACTGGCTCCTTACCGCTCCGAGACCGAGGGTCTTTGTTCAAGCCGGATGTCCCGCTGCCGGAGAGGCATGTGGCCGCCGCTTGTCTCAATAACCCTCACAGTCGTCTAGAATGTATGGTCGGTATACGTCGTCGTGCCATAGGCAATGGGCGTCATGGAATGCATCTAGACTTGGTGCAATGCAAAGTCTCAGGGTCCCCCTCCCCATTCTGCTTCTTCGGTCCCCTCGGCGTCGCTGTTGCAAAAAAGGTCCTCTGGAACTATGTTCGATCTGCCAGATGCTAGTGCAAGTTCTCTGACTCGGGTGAATTGGACGGATGGTGGCCCGTCTGAAGTCGTGGGCAGCTTCGAGACTCCGCCGACGCACAGAAGAGTTCGTCTCGATCGAGCAGCAGATGATGCATCGAAGCCAGGGCCCGAGCTCAAGGCTGTTCGGGATCCTGAAGTGATTCGGCCATCATCCTGGGGTAGTTGACGCCGCGGCGTCGTCGGCCGCTACCAATCGTAGAGTAGTCTTGTCACGGCCCGCAAACGGTTCCCACGCTGCTGAACCTTCAATGTCTTCAGGTGAGCCGCGGTCGTCATCGATGGCCAATCTCGAACCGTCTCTGCGCGGGTGACCCTTGAAACGCCGGGACTTGGACCCTGTCAGTGTGCCAAGCATTCTCCTATCGAGCAAGCTCACTTGACTTGCACTAACAATTGACATGAAGCCCTTAGACATGTAGAGGGATGGTGAGAGCTATGGCAAGCCTACCAACAAGAAACGGAGAAATCGTGACTGTAGGTATTTGGTTCCTGCTCTCCGATTTCAACAGACTGTTCCGACTGGTGGTTAAACCGCAAGCAATCCTTTCCACTGTAGCCGCGAGCGCAGGACGATGTCGGGCTATCAGTTATTAGAGATCGGAGACGTGACTAGCACTAGCGCTGGAGTTACCTACACGAAGTCAGAATCGGCCGTCTTGCCCATTTTACTTACGAATTGTAAGAGGTACCGCAGATGGGCTCATAGATCAGCTAGTCGGGGGCGGTCGTCTTCCCAGCCTCAGGTGTTGGTCATCAAGACCTGCGCTCCAAGAAAGGCGGTTACTCAAACATCCAGAATGCTCAACATCCTCGGGCCTACTTCTTGTTTCTAGCCCACAAGTTCTTCTCGCCTGGAAGTCTTGATTATTTCGTTTCTTCCCACAAGTGTAACTGACAGCTCGTTTGATATTCCTCCTCCGAAGTTGAGGACCTGCCGTTCAAGCTCTGAAAGTGCAAACACGGTAACAACTTGGTCGCTCGCAATGCACCAGAATGATCCAAGAGTACATGACAAATAAGTCTTGTACTTATTGGAGACGGATCCTGCCTCCCAGGCAGGTTAGTCAAGGTCGTTTCCCAGTCACGCATTGACGCAGCAACATCCTCAGTATTGGAAGATGACACCCTTTTGAACTGCCTTGTGGACCACATCGCCGGGATCTGATCTCTTTGATGATCTTCTCGGCTTGGAGCCTCGCCGCCTGAAGCTTATCCACCTCGACCGTCTCTGTCTCGACCTTCTCGGCCTCAGCTGTCTGGCCTTCTTGCAAGCCTTGAATCCTTTTATGCTTCGCTGGCTCCGTCTATATACCTCTCTAAAACGACAGGATAAGTCTTGACAATCTTATACTATGTCCTTGTCTTTCATAGTTACTTATCTCGCTCACATAATTCGTTCATGAATACGTTAATGATGAATGATCGAACTCGATAGACGATGCCCATATATAATCTATAGGAAACTTAGCTTTATACCACTTGCATTTGATCAGCTTGAATGTATTGCAAGTAGCTGTAATCTGTACTTACAGACATTCAAACTAATCACTTAAGATACCTGCTCACAACTTCGATATTGCCAACATCTCTTTGCCTTTGTTTTCGTTAGTGTGGCCAGGGGTCTGTGGCATGGAAGACGTGGAAGCTTTGAGAATGGCAGGGGAGATGGCGACAGTTCAGAGAAATTCTCTTAGCTCAGAATATGGGTTAGGATGAAAACTTCAAGTGTGAGAAGGTGCAGCCGCTACTAGGAAAGAGGCAGGACTGCGTGATTGTGTGATGAGGAAAGTGCGTAGAGTTGTCTTATTGGCAGCAGGTGCGGCCATGAAAGCTCTCCTGAACAAGTCTTCTGACAAAATCATTGTTAAAAAGAGACGATTCACCATCATAACATACCTAGTCTTCCGTAACATAAAGAGTCTCAGCCAACGTGTCAATGCCCTTGTGATGTTGGATATGTTTCTTCGTTGTCGTTCCCATGTCAGAGTCTTGGGATCACAACTAGGTACTCAATTGTCAAAATGGGCTCTCTACTCATGAGAATGATTACCTGTTGCAGTCGAATGACCAAGGGCCTATGGTGTGCTTCAGTGGCCAACTTCTCCCGATGCCAGAATCCATGTCACTTGCGGTCAATATATTTTCGGCCTGTAGTGTTCCCCGTTATGAGAAGTCGATCACCAGACAGCATAAGTGCTTGTAACAGTCTCGATAATATTCTTTGTATCTTAGACACCCACCCCTAAGCAAACATCTTGATCGTGAAATGCCGCTTTGTCGGAGTGAAAAGGAGGTCATTTCTCATCAGCTTTTCTGTATTCCAAACCCGCCCATCCCCCTTTACATAGAGGCTCCATCCTCTCAACAACAAGCAGCGCATCAATCTCACTCCTCTCTTGAGACGGAACCTCATCCTCTACGCTCCCTAGACGTAAGATGCCTCGCCCGCCGCCTCTCCTCCTCAGTCAGAACCCAAATCATACCATCCTCCTCCCCGTCTTCCGGCTGAGCAGAAATCTCCTCCCACTCCTCCTCTTCCATGTTAGCCACCATCAAAATCTGCGAAACCCTCGCAAAGAGCTCTCTGACGCCGTAATTGCCCCTGGACACGGTGCTGACGATGCTGGAGAAGTCGCGCTCCATGCGAATGACGCCGTAAGCATTCGCCCGCGCGTCCCAGACCCTGCGTTCAAGCACGCGCGAGAGGTACCGCGCCGTGAGGTCGTGGAGTGTCGTAAAGGTGTGGGCCGTCATGAGACGCGCCACGGGCTTCATGAGCTGGTCCCAGCCGTGCTCGAAGCGACGGGATACCTGGTCTAGCATCTCCTCCTCATCCTCGTCGTTCTGCTGGGCGAACTCGGCAAGCTCCTCTTCGGTTAAGGAGTAGTCTATGTCGCGGAAGGTGTCGCTGAGTACAGGCCGGAGGCGTGGTTGGATGACCTGCTTGAAGAGAACTTGGAGTCCCTCGTTGAGAAGCTCGGTAGTCTTGGCGGTGAAGGAGCTGTGTAGGGTGTTAAGAGCCGAGGCCACGAAAGCGACGTCTTTATCAAAGGGGAAAGTATCTCTGAGTGATGGCTCATGAGCATCGCCGTTTGCCTTCGGCGGATCGTTTGTGCTTCCGACGTTACTTGTGATGATTCGTCCAAGATACTCGTTCGCAGTGTCGAGACTGTTGATGAGAACGATGAATTGGATAATCCTGTCTTCTGGCGGGAATCCTCCTTGCACAATGGGCTTGGGATAGGACTCGTCTCGCATCTTTCGTTGGATCATACCGACAAAATCTGAGCCGAGGACGCGGCCGATGGTAGGAATGACGGATGAGATGACGTCTCTTTGAGAGGTCGATATTGACTTTTGAATAACGGCACTGACAACGTACATGACGTCGTCAACCGCGGAGATGATGAAAGCTTGGTTCGTGTCGATGTGCTTATTCATGCTAAGAGATAGGCTACTCGCTGGTGACTCATCCAGTTGGAATGCTTTTTCGACTGATCTTCGGAAGAAGAAAGTCATCATGATGTTATACGGGGACGTGAGCTTGTCCGAAACCTTCTTCCTGAGGTTGGACTTGACAACAACTTCCGGCACGGTTAGCGGAGAGTCGTCGGGCGCAGAGGGCTCCTGAAAGTATTGTTAGTGATGTATTCGCAAGGGCAGAGAAGAAATCGACTTACGCGAGTCTTTCCTGCTAAGAACTTGGAGTATAGAGACCACCGGCCGAGCATGATTGCAATCTCACTCAGGAGACCGTCGACCTCCTTCATGTTGACGCCCTCGTCCTCACTGGCTCGCGGGTTCGCGCCGGCGCCCATGGCAGGCGAGTTGACCCGTGGTGTCCCTCCTCTCTGTTGAGGCAGGAAACTCTGCACCAAGAAAGAAAATGGGTAGCTCTTGACGTCTTTCAGCCGCCTGTCGACGTCTCGCTCATCGCTCCATGAGTCGAGGACAATGCCTCCTTGTACGTCAGCCTCCTGCTGCAGCCGCTCAACGACACGAACCATCTTGCCAGAGCCATAGTGAAGCTCAACAAGACCTCCGTGACCTTCCACAATGCGTGCAATATGGTCGAATAATCTGGTGAGAGCATTCGCATAGAAGAAGCCCTCCTTTCTCGCCTGAACACCGGGACTCTCCTTCAATACCGATCTTGCCGTACCGGCCACGCCCTGGCAGACATACCGCCCATAGACGTCCAAACCAGTGTCCCCTCTTCCAATGAGCGGGAAGAGCTTGAAGAACCTCGTCACCTTCGCACCATCTCCCTCCTTGGTCGCCTTCTCAAACTCCCTGAGGAACAGCCCGCATAGACTCTCCTTGGCATTCTCGAGCGTCACCCACGGGGGGTCGGGAACCTCGACGGACGGGACAATCGACGACGCAAACTTGCCCTTGGTTATCTCTTCCGGCACCTGCGCCGCCCGCGCAAGGTACGCCGCAGCTGCTTCCCAGTCCTGCGGGGCACCCATGCTTCCCACGACGCCCTGGACGCAAGCCTTGAGCTCGACGACCTGCTTCACGACCTCGAGCGTATCCTCGACCCGGCTCTTCTCCAAGTCTAGCTCCTTCACCTTATTGCTCAGCCGCCCCGCCGTGTCCGCGGCCGTCGAGAGCATGTCATTGCCAACGGAACGGGCAGCAATGACCTGACTACCAAGCCCCGCGCGCAGCAGGTCCAGTCGTCCTAATTCGCGGGCGAGGTCGGCCTGGGAGCCGAGGAGTGCGTCGAGACGGCTCGTGATCGTCGATTCGCGGGCGTGGAGAGCTTCGAGGGCAGCACGCACCTCGGCGACGCTCGATGCTGCGTAGATGCTGCTGGTGCTGCTAATGCTGGGTCGGGCCGCAGCGCTGCTGTGTGCGCCGTCGGCGGCATTGTCGCTGTCCGCGCGATGGGAGGAGACGCCATTCGTGAGTGTTGACATTGGCGCGAGCTAGCTGACGGGTGCATAGCTACCTTGACCTGCCAGCAGAGGTAGGGGGGTGTTGTCTATGCCGTGAGGGTTGAGGTCCAGGTCAAGGTGTTAGCTGGCCCGAAGTGCAAGGTAGGAGGTTCGGTGAACCTTGCTCACCGATAAGCGAGGTCAAGGTGTGGGCGCAAGGGAGGAACAAACTTTGGGCTGATGTGCACAACTGTCCTGTTCCAGAGCATCGGACGAAAGCAAGGAGTGAGTTTGCAATTGAATTTTGAAAAGGCCGTTAAAATTATTTACCGTATTCAGAGTTTTACACATATGCTAAGGCCGTTGACTGGTACGATTCCCCCGTACCTTCACATGAGTGATGCTTCCGCGTCTTGTTCTACACTGCCTGACTGTAACCGCCTCCCATGCGCCGTCTGGCATACTTCCAGTATTTTCTAAACTCATCCGCCCAAAACACCGTGCTGCAAAGCACCAAAAGCCCCAACAGATCGAACAAGCCCAATGCCTCCGTTTGGAAAACCTCCTGGAGCCAAGGGAAGTAAATGACAAGCAACTGACCCGCAATGCTGAGAGAGACGGCCCAATTAAACAAGGTGTTTGAAAAGAGCCCAACCTCGCCTCGCAAAACCGACTTTGATTCAGATCGGCAGGCCATTGCGTTGAACATGTCGAATAGTACAAAGCAAGTAAACGTCATGGTTGTATCGCGGCGATTAACCTCGCCATCGGCAAGCATCTCACGCCTATATACGAGCATTGTGCCCGCCATAATGATGAATGCCGAGGTCATGACCCTGTAGAGGAGAGCCTTCGTGAGGACTGCATCATTCCGCTTCCGAGGAGGCCGATTCATTACATCGGCGTCAACTGATTCTACGCCAAGAGACTGAGCTGGTGGCCCATCCATGATGATGTCTATGGAATGGTTAGTTTGAATAGAGCCTTGTCTGGAAACGGAAAGACTCACTGATCCAGAGGATTTGCATAGCATTCAGCGGCGATTTGAATCCAAGAATTGTGCAGATAAGTACCAGAGACAAGCCAGCTGCGCTTGTACTCAGCTGGAATGTCAAAAAGTTCTGGATATTGTTGAAGATTCCCTTGCCCTCTTCGATCGCTCGAAGGATCGTTGAGAAATCGTCATCCGTCAGAATCATATCGGCAGCCTCCTTGGCCACATCAGTCCCGTGTAAGCCCATCGAGATGCCGATATCTGCTCTTTTCAGTGCTGGCGCGTCATTGACGCCGTCTCCAGTCATGGCGACGATATCACCCCTGGCCTGGAAAGCCCGAATAATTTTGAGCTTATGGTCTGGGTTCGTGCGAGCAAAGATGGTGGTGTGCTGAATGGCATGGGAGAGCTCCTCTTCTGACATATTATCAACATCCTCTCCCCTCAAGACTGGCCGAACTGCAGCCTGATTGGAGGCGTATTCGATGGGCTTTGCAATCGGCATGCCAAGCTGCCTGCCAATCGCCACAGCGGTCGTCTCAGCATCTCCTGTTATCATAACGACTCTGACACCTCCGCGCAGAAGTCTCCTAATTGACTTGCCAACTCCTGGCCTGGGCGGGTCGCTCATGCCGACTAGGCCAGCAAACGTCAGGCCCCTGTAGGTTTCGTCGACAGGTTGGGGGGTATTGGTACGACTGGTCGGCGCAAGTGCCGCTCTGCCCCTAGATCTAGAAACCGCGCCGCTGGCGAATGCAAGTACGCGGAGGCCCTTTGACGCCATAGTCTCGGCAGCTTGCAAAGCTTCCTCACGACGCGTAGAGTCGAGAACGATCTCTCGCCCATCGCGAGTAAGATAGGTGTCACACGCTTCGAGAATTCGGTCGATGGAGCCTTTCATGTAGGCAAACTCCTTATCGTTAGTTCCAATGGTAACGCCCATCCATTTGCGCTCAGAGCTGAAGGGGGTCTCCGTCAGACGCGGCCCGATAGACTCGCGAACGTCATGCTCCTTGAATCTGTCAAGCAAGTCGAGCATAGCAACATCCGTAGGTTGGCCACACCAGCGAGTGTAAGTTGAAGTGAAGTCTGCCCCTTGAGTTGACGATAGCACAGCTCTCGCAGCAGCACCGTTTTCAGTGTATTGCTGCGCCAAGCGGCCATTGTTCGCAATGTTACCAATCCGTAGAATACGTAAAGTTGCAGGATCAGGCTTTGTTTCCGTTGCCTCATCATCGGACTCAACATCAATGGCGTCGTTAGCACCAAAATACCACATTTTGGCGGTTGTCATGTGGTTCATAGTAAGAGTACCTACAGCATGTCAGTAATCAGTCGGTTAAATCCCCAATCAGTATTTACACCACATACCTGTCTTGTCGGTACAAACGACATTGACTGAACCCAAAGTCTCTACCTTGGGCATTCTGCGCACGATAGCGTTATGGCGAGCCATCCTATGAACACCAAGGGCCAGGGTGACAGTCACGATGATAGGCAAACCTTCCGGAATAGCTGCAACAGCAAGCGAAATCGAAATAGTGAAGATTTCCAACAACTTCTTTCCCTGAAGCCAGCCGACCAGAGAAATGAGGCCAATGACCACGAATGAAGCTTTGCTGAGCTGAGAGCCTAGATCGTCCATGGAGAGTTGAAGTGGTGAACGAGGACTCTCTGTTCCAGACACACTAGTCGCAATTGTTCCGAAGTTGGTTTGCCCACCCGTTGCAAAGACAATGCCTTGGCCGTGACCGGACCTCACTAGCGTGCCCATCCAGGCAATATTGTTCTCGCCACTCCCACCTGCATCACGGTTGTCGGACAAGGCGGATGGGCTCGGGAGCTGAAGCGTGTCTGCGCCGTAAGCCGGGGACAAGAGACTTCGCGCTCTCGTCTCTGCAGTGATTCGCACCGGCTCGTTTTCTCCTGTGAGGTTTGACTCGTCAATCGTGAGATCTGCTGCCTTGGTGACCCGAATATCCGCCGGAATACGATCGCCCGTGGTGAAGTAAACCAAATCTCCTGGCACAAGTTGCGAGGCCATGACCTTTGATGAGGTTGCTTCCAGCATTTCCTCCCCAGGCGTAGTAGATCCAACAGACTCTGTACCATCCATGGGCCCCTGTGGCGGCCAAGTGGGAGTTTTGGCGCTGCCGGGTGTCTTGCTGATAGCCGAGCGGACCAGATGGGCGTGGGCCGGAACCAAATGGCTAAGAGCCTCTATCGACTTCTCTGAACGGTATTCTTGCACGAAGCCGACCGAGACCACGATTGTCACGGCGACCGTAATGCTGACTGCATCATCCATGTTGCCCAAAAATAAGGATGCTCCGGCCGACACGAGCAACAGCAAGATAAGCGGCTCCTGAAATTGTTTGATGAAACGAAGCCACAGTGGTTCCGGGGGTTCGTGAGGAATCTCGTTCGGACCGTAGTCGCTCAGTCGGGTTAAGGCTTCGGTCGGCGATAGACCGTGGGTTAGGGACGTTTGAAGGCGGCTGGCGGCTTCGGTGGAACTCATTGAGGAGAATTCGTCGGCGGTGCTCTACGCAGAGAGGTATTAGCTAGATGTCGAAGATATGGAGAGTTAGAAAGAACATTACCCTTGACTGCGCCGATGTAGTTCGAATGTGGCCTGGCCTGGACCGCGATGATTCCGTCTCCAGAGGTTCCATGGTCAACCCGTTGATGCTCGGCATCTTGGCCGCCAGAGGCAACAAAGCTTCACCATCGTCGGAGTCCTTCCTTTTATGCCACGGCCACTGCATGTCTGCGTATGGCGAGGCAGTAATACCTCGGTCACGACCTTGGAGTAATTGCAGAAGGCCCAGCGCCGATCATCTGTCAGTGTACGAAGCGAAAAGGAGGCATGCGCCCAAGCGAAAGGGTATGTCGTCGGATGTCAGAGTAGGTTCGATTTCGGAGGACGAAATGTCCTTAGTCGCCAAGGTATCAATTGCGGGGAGCTTGGTCCGAAGACATAGTTTCGCGAAAGCTGGTGACTGAGTGAAGACAAGCGGACGTCGTGGTAAAAGATGAGAAAACGTGTGCCTTCGGTTGGGATAGCAGATGCATGGCCAATCTGGTACCAGGGACAGGGCGTGCGGCGTGCCAACGCGACGCTTAGTACGGCGGGTCCGTGGCTGTTGTACAGGGGGCCCTGGAACGAGGACTCGGGAACAGTATCGCCGCTCCGCCCATCCCCGTGAACAGCTGCTTGAGTGCCGTAAGCAAATCCAGACAAGGGCATGCACGATATCAGTTACATGTCTCATGGTTGCAACCTCAAGATATCCAAGGCATACGAATACAAGTGAATATTCTAACTTGGCTACTGGATGCCAATGCCCAGTGATGCGGCTCTGCTCTGGACTGGGGAAAAGAACATGGAAACTTTCATCATCAAGGCTAGTGGCACCGAATAAGTTTTCTGAGTACCTAATTTTGCGGTGCAAGGTGAGACCACCATGTATCTTTGGAAGCCATAATCACTTACTGCATGCCATAATTAACCAGGGCCTCCAGGTCCCAAAGCATGGTGATCATGTTGGGGATTCAAATTGGAGACAAGGGGCCTCCAATGATATCTCGAGGGCTTACACTACCCAATTTTGGTTTCATCTCATGTGTGCTCCAAACGGACCTGTAGCAGTAGGAACTCCTCGCCTCGAGATTCCTCAACTCAGCTTATAAGGTAGTTGCTGCAGCTCAGATGTTTACCGCACATGAATGTTTAGTTGTCGGTGAGATGAACAAGGTATCCGAAAAGGACATCCTGTTATACGTACAGAACCTGAATGCAAGGTAGGTACGGATACTCCAACGGGAACTCGAGCTGCATGTTCTGCGGTCCTCGACTCCTTGAGTGGTGGTTACCATGCACGGTGCCTGCCTCGACTTACAGCTTCCTTGTTGGTAAAGCTCCGGTCCTCCTCGTACCTGAAAATGATTAGATAAGGCGTGATAAGTTGGTATCCTTGCCATGTATCGTACACACCGCCACAGTACGAAAAGATACCTGTGACCTGCCGCTTCCGGGATGGTCGCCAGGTCAGCGAGTTGATGATCCAAGAGCGGAGCAACGGTTTCACGTGATGTGGCTGGTGCCACCAAATTCTGCGCGGACCAATCCCTGCCCAATCCCAGCCCCGTCAATTTGCGTCCACCGGCACGGCGTCGAGAGAGAGAAGACCACCACACCTTGACTCCCCCCCCTCCTGCTCATTTCCTCCATCTCCCTCATCGCTGCTCATCGCGCTCTTGCTACTATTGCTATCGCTGCAACTTTACACTTCAGCCTTTCGCGATCATCACGACTTGCTTCATGTCACCGCGCCTCGTACTCCGCGCGTGTTAGACTTCGCCTCGACCGCTACATCCCCAACGCGACCCGATTCCCCATAACAACGCGTTTTCGTGTTTACGAGAGCTTCCGCAACCACCCCTCAACCCCGGCGCGCGTCGCTGCCTATATACCTTACGAGCAGTAGCTCTTGCTTCTTGCCTCTCGCATCAACACCCTCGCGTCAAGAACCCTCGTCGCCGCCATGTTCTATTCGGAGACGCTCCTCCAGAAGAGCGGGCCGCTGGCCCGCGTTTGGTTGTCCGCCAACATTGAGCGCAAGCTTTCAAAGACGCACATTTTGCAGTCCAACCTGCCGGACAGCGTAGAGGCTATCATTACGCCCGGCCAGGCCCCTATGGCCCTTCGTTTAAGTGGCCAGTTGCTGCTTGGTGTTGTCAGAATCTACAATCGCAAAGCCCGTTACCTGCTCGAGGACTGCAATGAGGCATCAATGAAGATCAAGATGGTGCGCTTCTTGCCTCTCGCCCAGATATTTGACGCGTTTTACTAACTTCTATAGGCTTTCCGCTCAAGTGACAATCACGATATGGCAGTCGCCAACCTCTACGTCAACAACCGCGAAGCGCTGCTGCTGCCTGACAAAATTACTCCACTAGACAACCTGGATCTTCCACCGCCTCCCGATGCGGCCTGGCTTTTGTCGCAAATGGACGATGTCACAGCTACGCCAGTGGGTCGCAAGGGGCGCGTCAGCCATCGCGACATCAACCTTCAGGAGGATTTCAACAACAGCCAATTTCTCAACCAAGCGGATACCTTTGACGACGAACTGGAGCTTGCGCCTATGGAAGATCTCGATCTTGAACTCGACTTTGGCATGGACATCGATGAGAGACCTACCCGCATGGATACGACTATCGAAATGGGAAGAGATGCGCCTTTGGCTCGCTCAGTCGAGGACGACATCTTCAGCGAGCTCGACATCATGCCGCGAGGCAAGGACCAGACCGAGCGTGAGCCTTCACTGGGTTTGAACCTTGACTTTGGCGACGACACCGTCCGCATCGCTGACGAGGAGGGCGACATCCAAATGGGTGACGACGACTTCCAGTTCCCCGTCGGCGATCAATCTGTTGTTCCGGGTCTTGCCGGTGGTCCTCTGGATATGCCCCGTGGTCGTATCTCTGAATCACCACTGTCAGAAATTGACCCTGAGTTCGCAAGAGAGGTTGAGGAAGAATACTCCCGTATTCAGCACACGGATCTCTACGAGCCGGACGAGGAGGAGGAGCTCACAATCATCCGCCATCCTCAACGAGCCAAGAAGAGGAAGGTTCTGTTGCCAGACGAGCAGACGATGCTTTCAAGCACTCACATCAAAGACCAACAAGCCAACCATGCCAACATCCTCAGAGCTCAATCGTTCTTGCCTAGAGATCCGTTCGTCCTGGCTCTCATGGAAATGCAGAAGAGTGGTGGGTTCGTCTCCAACATCATGCTCGACGGCCGCAGTGCCAGTTGGGCACCTGAGCTGAGAGGAATGCTCTCGCTCGAGGCTGTCAGCCGATCCAACGAGTTGAAGAGGAAGAGGGACAGCGGTATCGCTGATGTGGAGAGTGACAACGGTGCCACATCCAAGTCGCCGCGTCTGAACATTGAAGAAGACGACGCGTTCGCCGTCGAAGATGCCGGGCTGGGCAACCAAAGCGTGGCAGCAGATGGCACTGTCCTTGAAATTCCGGCTGAAGAGGAGGGCATCACTTTTGGAGGAGAAGACGACAACACTGGCCGACCCATTTCGCGTGAAGGAAGTCCCATGCCTGACTTTGATGAGACGGCAGCTCCTGCCGTTCACCCGCAGGACAGTGGCCCTGTCTCTATGGGCACCAAGCACGCTGTCCACATCCTCAGAGACATCTTTGGCCCTGAGGCCGAGCACGACGCCGACAAGCGGAAGAAGAACGCTGTCATCTTCCAGGACCTCCTGCCTGAGAACAGAACAACGAAAGCCGATGCCACCAAGATGTTCTTCGAATGCCTCGTTTTGGCCACGAAGGACGCGATCAAGGTCGAGCAGGGCGAGACCCTCGGTGCTCCTATCAAGGTCCGCGCCAAGCGTGGCCTTTGGGGAGCTTGGGCTGAGCGCGAAGCAGGCGGCGAGATCGCCGAGGAGGAGGAGCTCAACCAACCCGAGCCAGCAGCCGTTAGCGCCCCGGCCGTTGCGGTGGAGGCATAGATCGCTGCTCGCTTTGACGAAGACCACTCGATTAATGCATAGCTTTTGGAGGCTTGGCATGTAAAGTAACCGTTCTTTCTCTCTCTGTTGGACTACGTTTTAGGGTCGGTCCTGGAAATGGCACTCTGCCAAGTGGCGTTTGGAGTAAATTTGGGAGGCTGGAGAGATACCAGATGCTGTTGCGGCCTGGGAGGGTGGGAAAAGCATGATTTGGGTACCCGAGCCGCATCTTCGTCGTTTGGAGTGGCTTGTTGGCTTTTTTCTTTCTCTGCTGGAGTGCTAGTATAGCTTGTTTGATTGAGGCCATGACGGGCCTGTAAGGATACCTCCGTACCTAGTTAGCTGTCCCCATTGTCAATGAAGCTAGACATTTCAATCACCTCGTATCCTTGAGTGAACAGTCATATGGACTGCATTGTCTTCAAGTGTTCTGTGATTCCTGTGTCTCGAGCACGCTATTCTACTTGTAATGGGTCTTGCTGTACTCCATCACGGACTTGTGTAACCTAGGTAGGTGCAATACGTAAATGGGCTCGCTCTACTTCTAGTTGAGACCACCACGTTACTAATAAATGCTCTCGGTAATTGTCAAAAGTGACGTTGCTCTGTGCAAGACGTACACTATACTCGACTGCCTCTAATTGTTCGTTTTCTCGGGGTAGGCCGGCGCTACTAGTGACCCACAAAGCCGGCTCCGTCCAGCAAGACGTCCGACGGGGTTGTGGAATGTTCCACATCTATTCAATAGCTGTGGCATGTAGGTTTCGGCGAGAATCCACGTTAAGTGATAATCATTGAGAATGTAACGTTTCCGTGTTTCATTGATATCCTGAAAGTAGGGGATGGGCAGCGATAACGGCCACTCAATTTCATGGACCGAGAGATTTGCCATTTCATCCTCATACCATTTCATCTAGGAGCATTATATATTCATTGTGTCAACTTTCTTGGTTCAGCTGACGCCACACCAGCCTGACCGCAGCATCTCGCTGATCCCGCAAATGGCCTTGGAGAGGACGACATGGAAAAGTCTACCCGCCCAATCGATGAGCGGTTAGGTGATGCAACAGATGCGCGTTTGTGAGTCTCAAGAAGGTATCTAGCCTGCGGGGTGCGTCTTTCCCGCGCCTCCAATGATCTAGAACACCGATGTGAGGCAGGAGCTCATCAACTTGCCAGCAGGCGGCATGTAAGCCAGAAACATTGTGTAAGTGATGGATTAGGTCTGTTGATACTTCCATTTATCCGCCGAAGCTACTTCAATTACTTGACGCCATAAGCCAGGTAACTCTGCTAAGTGTTTTCAATTTGTCGGACATAACAGTCTATGGATCAACGATGTGAATACTTCGTTGATTAGTCAGGAAAGTAATGTTTTGAGCCCCACCTTTGCCATACTAAAGGTGCCTGGAGGACCTGCGCATTTGATGCGATACTGACCGTGGAGTGCCTGGCTGGGTTTCCTGCATCCTTCACCCACGGGTGGCTAGAAGTTGTGAACCAAAATGACAAAGACCTTTCATGACGTTGCTCTACTCACAAGAAGTGTCCAAGACATGGCACGTTCGGTTCTAGAGATATAACATCCTGTCATTGAAGCAGACACTCCGGCCACGATCATGTCAATACACTTCAACTCATTTGATATGCGGGCATTTCGATTATTGCTACATGTAAATAGGACCTCAGAGGTGATTTCGGTTTTCGGCCAGTGAAGTACAAGCGAATAGTGTCCAGGTGATTGATTGGCATCGTCTGCCAAGTGACACAGACTTCCGTTACTAGATAGATGACAACGATGTGCTTCTTCACCGCTTCTCGGCCATGGGAGAGAACTACCTGTTACTTGCAGATGTGAGTGACCCACGAAGATGTCTGTAGTTGAAGCTCTAGTTACGCCAAGTAAAAGACTATGCCAATGGTGAGCGGCAGCCGTCGGCTGTTCAAGAGGGCACAGAGCCGAGGTCTGTAACTAGATTTCAGCCCTCAAGGATGTATCCTATGGCTGGATATAGGAGAGCTAGGCTACACTTTCCATGATGACCTCCTCTTGGAGGTTGACTCGAAGACGAATATCCTCTCAGATGCTCCTTTGTGACGTTTGGCGGTTTGATGGCTGATGGTTCATTATGATCGACCTACTATCATTGTATAGAGAATCCTATCAGACGCGAGAAGTTGCCTTCGGTTCCGCGCCTGATGACCCCGGGGAAACTGATTTCAGTACTCTGGCAACTCGTCCGATGGTGAAATGATTGGCATCTCCCTCATGCAAGCCTTCGGAGCATTGGGTCTTTGTGTGATACTGCAGTGAGCAAAGACGACTTCTCCTCTACATAAATGTGCGTGACGTAGAGTATGACGAATCACTCTCGGCTGCATGAAAGCCAGCCACTTACCTCTCACACTTATGTGCAATGTAGGAACTGCCCAGATGCTTGCAATTTTCCGTAGCAGAGATGCTCTATGAGATTGAGATCCGGTGTGAGGATACATGCATATGTGTAGTTTCGTCAAATTGTGAGAAACGTCCTCAAACACATTAAATATATCTGAGACCTAAAGACCAGCCTTCTAGTGCAACGGTGCCTCCTAGACTCTTTCGCCAATGCTATCCCCACTCATTACTATGTGATTCGGATCTCATTCTATTCTGCGGCCTCATCAATGCCTGATAGTCCTTACTCCAAAGGCTTCTTGCCCACGATGGAATACCTAGTAAGAAGACATTAGCACATGTGTATCACACATACAGTTCTCCTCCTCAACGTGGGCCACACATTAAAGCACCCATATGAAAACAAATACTCACACAAGCCCATAAGCATGAATACTCTCATCCCTCATCTCCCTCTTCACATCCACCAAAAACGCATCAACATCCTCCTTGGACCATCCAAACGCCCTCGTAAACGGCGCCATCGCGAACCCTTCCAGCCCAGCCATAATATTCTGCCCGCTCCACACCCCCAACTCCCTCAACCTCCTCCCTTCCTCCGTATCCGCCGTTGGCCACCCGTTGGTAGGCCACTTGAACGCGCGGACCTCAACGTCCACGAACCCGACCTCAGGATCGCGCATCACGTCGGCCAGGGTGGGAATATCCTGGTATGGACGGCCCAGCTTCACCGAGGCGTCCTGCAGGAGTGCGCAGTACCGTGCCAGTGCCGAGGTCGTGGGGTCGAGGGTGCCGTCGTCGCTGGAGGGGCCTACGTCGACTTCTTGGAGTTCGAGGTAACCTCCTGGTGTGAGGTTGCTGTTATGAGAGAGTGTGTGTGTGAGATGGTCTCAATTTGTAGCCTGGAAGTTGTGTTCCTCTTTCACACAATTGAGAGAGGTTTGGGGGAAGACTCAACTCGTAACAATTCTTCAGGTACTCCTTCCAGTCTGCGATGCTGGAGGTCATGAGGCGGCTGTGGATGTAGTCAAACGGCTCGTCAAACACCCATCCCTCTTCAATGTCATCGATTTCAAAGTCAACGTTTGGCGGTAGGCTAAAGCGAAGGCGTCAGAAAGACCCAATGCCAAAATGAGCAAGGGGGTAATTTCAAACTCACAACGTAGGTTGATTAGGAGAAAGATCAATCCCAAGGACCTTGCCATTTGCCAACTGTCATCAGCAAACAACCCCCCCACGACTTTCAGAAGCATCAAGCCAGACTCACCTCAGCCTCGGGATGCTCATCACCAAAATCAATAGCCCAGATCCCCGTCCCCGTCCCAACATCAAGGACCCTACCGGGGACTTCAGCCCCTTTTTGGCATGGCGGCGCGAGGCCGAGCCTATTGTCAAACGTAAGGAGGAAGACGTTGTGCTGGAGGTCTTACATAGGGCTTCTCGTCAGTTTCCAGACGCATGGGAAAAGGAGGAGGGACGCCGCTTCAAAGATAGGAGGAAACTGCCGAGCCGAAGTGCTGTGCCTGTATCTTGCAGCAGCAGCAGCAGCACCACCACCACCAACCCAATGCCGGCGGCAATAGGGAAAAGAACAGAAAGACTCACCTAACCTCTCCTGCTCAGCCTGATCGTTTGGAAGAGTGTATTCTGCAATTGTACTGGTCAGGAACAATACCACCACCACAACCTCTAATCCGAACTATCAGGGCCTCCCACTTACTGCCGTCCTTGTATCGATGATACGTTCTCCCGTTCTCCATCCGGTACTCCAATATGGATTCACTCAGACTCAATCCCGACGACGACAAGCCCTGGAGCAAAAGAAACCAGTCCGGCACGGTCAGTCTATCATCTCTGGGGACAAAGGTACAGAATATACATTGAGGGGAAAGGGCGGGGATTGAAGCCGAGGAGAAAGAAACTCTCACAACAGGAAAAAGGACAGAGAACTCACAGGGACTTCCTCGGAATGTCCATGTTCGCAAGTGGCGTGACCACATCCCTCACCGTCATCGTCATCGTCGCCATCGTAAGACTGTTGCCGCCGCCTCGAGGGCTTGCTCACATCATCGTCCTCATTGTACCCATACTCCTTCATCAACAGCCGTTTCGAGCTCTGAAACAAATGCCCAGGCTTGCCGGCCTCTCGTCCACCAGGCTCTGGGGAATTTGACATCTACAGGGGCGGAAAGAAGGGGGTGCGAGTAGGAAACGTCGGTAGCCTGATTTGAACGTCGATACTTCTCAAGAAAATGAATTAATCGTAAAGGTGTAATGAGCTACCAAAATAGAGGAAAGAAGCGCCGCCTAGACTCAAATTCACCAAAGAAAAGCAGAGAAGAAAGTCGTGTCACAAAGTCCAAACCAACTCCTCTCTCTTCCCTCCATACCCGCATCCTTCGAAAGTCTGCTCTCCCCTTGCCCACCCCCTTGGACGCAAACCCCTCTCTCTCTTCCCTCGTCTCAGGGCCCAGGCAAACCCCCCAGGCCACAGTCACACACACACAGGGCAAACATTTACGAGCATCGAACTAGGGATCTAGGAAGGGGGGAACAAAGTCGTTGGAGTAAGTGAAGGAACCAACAGCATATGCACGTCTGTAAATTGCAACTGTCAAATCGGGAATGTGAAGCGGCGATGGGCGGAGGAGGAGTGGATCGACAAGCAGCAGCGCAGACTGCAGAGCCCGCCGTGCCCGCCAATATTTTCCCCCTCAGGCGCGCTGCGGAACGAGACGACCGGGGGGTTGACGAGCCGGGGGGAAGGGTTGTATGCAGGCCCGGGCCGGCCCCCGGGTTAGTGGGTGAAAGGACAAGCTGACTCTGTTGGAGGTTTGACAAGCGCTTGGACGAATGGTTAGCGCTTCAATGACTGTTCGAAGCGAGCTTGCTCGTTCGATTGAATACGTTGAATCACTATGGGCTAACTACTTGGACTCATGAGTGCTGATGGCCGTCATTGATGAAGCGGATATGCACAGTAAGGTGGACCCAGATAGCCCAACTCGCTTCCCCGACAATCACATAGCACTTCATCGATTTTTGTGTCAGAAAGGTTTTTGGTATTCATCCACCATGCCAATAGCGAGAAGTCCGATTGAAAGGCTTCCAGCCAGGCACAACTACCTCAAGCCAGCTGGATCAGTGCTATTCATCCAGCACTCAGCTTCATTCCCTCGGTCGCTCACTCCCCTGTCATCTTCAACACTGCGTCCGTCTCCCACGCAGAGTAGCCTCCTCCACACACAGCCCCAAACTCTAAATCATCCGAAAGTGGATGACATGGCATCAAAGTACGTCGCCAGCCCGCGGCTCGTCCATCGCCAAGTAAGAAGAACCTTGTCCCGTGGTTGGCCATTCCCACTCGAAGAAGATGCAAAAGAAAAGGGCCAAACAAATAGTTTGAGAATGCCGCGCCAACAAATGCGACGCCTTGTAAACATGAAAATTGGAAAAGTCCGACAACTGAAAATTCATCCAAACAAAATCTTGACCGTAGTCATTATACAGCTCCGTTTTGCTCCTCGGTCATGAGTTGAAAAAACAGAAACTCTTTGTATGCCCGAAACTCCAAGTGGCCCCCCAAAAAATTTATCTCTTTTTGGTGTTTCCAAACAAACGTCCAGTAGTTTTGCGTGTAAGAGGCAGGGATTAGCCATCCAAAGCACATCTTTATCGGAAACTCAAAGCAACGCCGCCTCGAATGAACTTCTGACTGCATTAGTCTTTAAATAGAAGTCGCCCCCAGTGCAAGGGGCCGTTGGTGCTCTTGGGCAGGTGTGCATATGCTCTTTGCCTTCTGTCGTTATTGTTGTCATTTCTCTCAGACGCCACTCCAGCCGTCCTTGGTCGGCTGGTACGCCTTGTATCCTGGGTACGTGCCGCCGCTGCTTTGCGGGGGTCGCTGTTCGTCTTCGTCCTCCATATGTTGGTTGCCACCGCTCGGGCCGCGGTTGTAGTTGTATTGTTGCGGACGGCTGTAGCCAGAGCTGAAGTCAAAACCGCCGGAGTCATGCAAGTCTGGAGATGCCATGCTTTGATCGCCGGTGTAGCTGCGCTGAGGGGCAAGAGGGCGAGTCGACTCCGAAGAGGGTTGACGCGAGTTTGCTCCGTACTGCGGACGGCCGTAATTCTCGTTAAGGAACTGGCCTTGCTGATTTTGCTGGTCGAAGCCATAGTCGTTCTGAGGTGCGGGAGATCGCCGGTAGTCGCTGGGAGGGGGTGGAGGGCCGCGATAACCGCCGGCTTGAGGGCCGGGAGAGCGGCGATATCCAGCCGGGGCGGGACTTGGTCCATCGCGAGGTGGTGCTGTGAAGCTTCGGGGTATCGGTGCCGGGCTGGGACCGGTACGGGGAGGACGGCCCATGCCATAGCCTCCCTGCTCGTAGCCGTTGCCGAAGCCCTGATCGAAGTCTTGCTGGGGACGAGGATACGTCTGACCTCTCTGGGGGCCGTAGCCATTGTTGTTGTACTCTTGGTGCGGTGTACCTCTACCTTGCATTCCCATGCCTCCCGCAGCTGCCATTCCTCCGGCGGCCATGGCCCCATTTCCGTATCCTTGGTCTACGCCGAAAGAAGACTTTGACTGTCCGTACGCGCCATCACTGTAGCCGTTACCCGCCATCTCGTAGGGGCCCGCAGGCTGATTAGCGTTGGTGAAGTAGCCGCTGGGGCCAGCCTGAGGATTCTGGCCATAAGGACTCCTGTCACCCGGCATGGGGCTGTTCGGGTGGGACATGGCGTTGGGTGCCATGAGAGGCATGTTCTGTCCATTCGGATTCGGTGATGCCGCCGGCTTGTTCAACTGCTCTAGCTCTACCTCCTCCTCGAGCGCCACCTTCTTCGAGCCTGCACCCTCCCAGCTGGGCATCGCAGGGAGCGAATCAGCATCTGCCGGGTTAGCACTTGATTTGTTCATCTCAAACTCGGCATATTGAGGTGGCGCTGCGGCTCCGGTGGCCATCGGTGCTGTTGAATTCGCCTGATGTGCAGGCGCGGTGCTGGCATTGTTGTAAAAGGGGGCCATGGGCGCCTGGGATTTGTATCCCTGATTGTTCGGTCCATACGAGTCGTTGTCGAGATGCTTGTGAGGTGTTCCCTTGGGAGTATCGCAGCAACCGCAGCAGTTACCACAGCATTTCAAGCAGTAGCAGCACTGGCAGCAGCACGACAAACCGCAGCAAGCGCACCGGATGATGCACCATAGGATTGAGAAAATAATCAGGCCTCCGAAGATCATGACTCCAATAACGGGCCACCTGCGCAAGTTAGTACATGAGAGATTGAGCGAACCTGTGACCGAGACCTACTTGCAGAAGTTAACGGACATGCAATTGTCCCAACTAGACAGCGCCGTCTTCACATCGTTGATTGAGTTTCCGGCGCTCTCTACTGTGTCTGTAATTCCGCGACTCTGAATATTCGCAGCCATGCTTGATACGACTGATCCCCACACTCCTCCCCGGAGACTCCTCGCCATAGCGACATCGATCGAAGGCATCTTGAATGATTTTTGCTTTTCCTCCAACAAAGAACGTAATTCTCGGTGAATTACCCACAATATTTGGGCACGTCGAGCTTGGTTGGTCGAGGATTATTGATGTGCTGAATTAGGAGCGGACTATTGCTCCATCATCTCATGGGCTTGATGTTTCGTTGTTTGATCGGCTTGAACGGTGATCGGCGGACCGTTGGAGGGATAAGGCGAACGGCTCTGTGGTACGAGAGATCGTCGTAGTGCAAGTGTAACGGGCGGCCGGATTCGCGCAGAACGATCTCACGAGAAGCCAAAATGGCAAATGAAAGTGGTAGGCGTGAACAGAAAAAGGTCGAGCCTCGAGAGCCGCGAATGGTAACAATCGAAATGAATAGTTGCCGCTGTGCTGCCGGTAAATGAATGCAAGTCTTGCTGTCGTCACTGCCTATGGGAAGGCAAAGCGGTCGCCCCCTTGCGTGGGTGGGCTAGTGAACGGGTGGTAGGGGACGTGTAGCGAATGATAGCGACAAACGAGCAAAAAGCCCAGAGGCTTTCGTCTCAAAATGGCACTGAAACTGGGCGGTGCAAGTCAGCAAGCACCACAACGTCCAACAGGGTGACCCCGAAAAGTAGGCGATCCGGGGCTAACAGATTGGGTGTCTTGGTCTTATTGCTTGGTGACGCTGCTGGGTGCGAGTATTGAGAAAAGGGGTGGGTCGCAATTCGTGTCCAAGCTGTCGAGAGACACGGTTATCCCAGGTAGGATGGAGGCTGTAGCCGGAGGGGGGGGGGGATCCTTTTCGTGAGAGGTGTTGAGGATAAATAAATCCCGGAGTGGCGGCGAGAGGCGGAGTATTCGTATGGGTTTAGGGAATGATTGGAATTCTGCTCTTCGGCTTCGCGAAGAGAATAAAAAAAAAAGGGTAAGAATGAGAGACACGAGGAGCACCGTCAAACAGCCTCGGGAAATGACCAAGGAGATGGGACGGAAGGGAAAAGGAGCGAAACGGCACAGGACGCAGTCTGCCGGGTTGTCGGAGGAATATGCACCTCGGGAGGTTGTCAAGAAAGAGAGTGACAAGAGGCCGCCGTAGATGAGATGAAGAAGAGGATTTGTTTCCCTTCCAAAGACCAAAAGGTCAGTAGAGCAGCAAAACGAGAGGAGGATTTGCAACGATGTGTGGGAAAAGGAAGGAGGAAGGGGAAAAGATTGACGTGACGCACACAGAGTTACTTTCTCGGGAAAGCCACGAGGGACGATCAAAAGTGGCAGTGGTCACTGGTGGGAACTTCACTGGGAAGGAAAATATTAGCAGCTTCCATTCTCCCTGAGGTACCTAAGAGAGAGCGAGCGCGACGGGGACGTACGCCGCGAGCTGAGCACAGGGAGATTTCCAGAGGGAAATTTGAATTGCGATCGAGCGCCATGCCACGCTCTAGCGGATTGAATATCCCTGCTCAGACGAACTTGAGTGGGGGAAGCGGTTCCTGACTTCCCGTCCCCCCCTTCTGCTGCTTTGCTTTTGCTGCGGCTTGTTCAGTTGCAATGCTGCGTACGTAGTGTGTAGGCGCTGCCTGCTTGGCTTCGCATTCTCTTTTCTGCCAACGCCCGTGTCCACTTCCACCTCAACTCCAAAACGGCTGTCTGGCAAGTCCCTTGTAATCGCGCAAGTGCCGTTTTTCCCTCAAAAAGTTGAGAATCAGGGGGGGTTCCGGCTCGGAGATGATTTTGGATTCGTCGACCACAATCTTGATTGCGCCGATGAGCCGTCCCCCCTCCCCCGGCCGATAAGTGAGGTACTAACTAAAGCAAGGCAAGGCATTCTTAGTTAGCGAGTATTCACTTACAGCATAGGCACCTATCTGTCTGCCGCCGCGTGCCCACCTCACGCACTCACGCAGAGCAAAACCACCTGTACCAACCGTATTGAGAACGAGACAACCTGGGGACCGAGGGACCGCCAGTAGTAGCATGCAGAGTCAAAATGATGAAACATGGTGTTCTTTTCGTCCTCAGGCACACATACAGCACATTACGACTTGGCACTGGCCAAAGCGTCTTCTGGGTCTAACAAACCCCGTGCCCCCGTGACCCCTGCCTTCCTTCCCTCGCGTTCGGCTATGACGGGAATACGTAAAAAGCCAATGATTATTTCCAGCCACACCACTTACTTGCTCAGCCACAAACACCCGCCACACTCACCATGCGTGTGAGTGATGCATCGACTCGGCCGAGAGGACGGCAGAGTCCACCCGGGCCTTGCCGGTACACTGCAGATTCAATACGTCCAGGTATCTTGGACGGGAGCAGGCATCTCTCGGAGACAAAACCCCCCTTCATGTCTCAGAAATCCCCATCGTCTCTGGCTTCGAGAATAATTCTTGGTCCCCATTCTCACCGCTTCCAAATGAATATCAAGATCAAGCTAAATGACTAGGGAATCATACCGACTAGTCCATCCCTACTCTTCCACGCTTCTAGTTGTTTCGTAGGATCGAAGACGAACGGACGCGGGCGCACAGGATGGCGTAGGATCGCAATATCACTGCTCCGAGTAGCTCACCTTCCTCAGAGGAGACTCTCCGAAGACTTGATCTTGGGGCAGGGGCTCCGACACGGGACCAGAACCCGCACGTCCTCAGAAGATCCGTCTGGACGTCTAGGAGGGAAGGAAGGGTAATTAAATTCATAGCTGCAGCCCAGTCCAGCGCAAGGCTCGTCTGATGTAGGAAGCTAAGCTAGCAACCTGACCTGTGCGATAACATAGATCCAACGACCTTTCCATCGATTGAACGATATGTTCAAGTTGTGTAGCTTTTCTTGCCAGGAGTGCATTCTCAGCTTTGCATCCAAGCCATTGGGTCGTTGTATCAGGACGTCTCACGACATTGCGGTGTCAAACTGACCCAGGTCGAGGCTGTTAGATACGTGTAGGCATATATCTCATGTACGGGGTACTTGTTGATCACCACGCTTCACAAATCTGTCTACCGCAAGTAAGCATCGATAATGTTAGAATTTACTATGGAATAATTTTCCAGAGTCTACTCGACTCGTTATTCAGACCAGGCTCAACCCTAAATCTCGACGTCATCATACAACATTGGCTAGCCATCTTGTTCGTTCTTCCACCATGGCCCCTATCGTCATAGAGTCCATCCAAAGAAAACCTGCCAACGCCTAACCGGAATGTTTCGCAATCAAGGTATCATCTGTGTGTTCGCAAGTCGTCGTACTCATAGCAGTCAAAGAAGTTTCACGCCTCTCCGCCTCGAACCCTTCCACACCTCAGGAAACCCCACATCATCATCATCTTCATCCCGTCTACTTTCCGGGCGGCGGACCAGCAGGCGGCGCGTACGAATCGCGCTGGTAGGCGTTCTGAGGCTGCTGCAAGTGAATACCCTCGTTATGACCGCCGTAGTATCCGTCGTTGGGGTTGAACGTGGTGCCGGTGTACTGAGGTTGCTGCTGCGCCTGTCCGTAGGCCGGCGGCGGGTTCTGGTAGGTGCTGCCCGGTTGGGGGTAGCCCGCATGCCCTTGCTGCTGACCATTGTAGGGCTGATTGTAGGCGTAGGTGCCCTGCTGGTTGTGCTTGTTGTTGTTGCTCATCCATCCGGTGCCGTAGAAGGGCTGAACGCCACGCTTTCTGCGACGACGAGAGTTCATGCAGCTATGTAGATCAAAGGTTAGCCATGACGATCGAGTGCAATAGAAGGTCGTGCCGTGAGACGGGAAATAGCACTGGGGGAGTACCCTAACAAGATGAGGATCAGGAGTGCGATGCCGACGACGACGGCGGCGAGGACCCAGCGTCCCCACCAGTACCATGCGCCGCGCTCATAGCATGCTCCATTTCTGTAGATTTGGCCCGAGCGACAGATGCCGTTGTAATATTGTCTGCAGGATTGACGTTAGCGTCCGGAGGGCATCGCCGGGGGTGTTGATGTATGCAGGGTCTCGCAGATCCATTTGGGATGGCATGCAATGATGGGCAAGGGGATAGGGCTCACCTTTTGTCGAGTGTGTCGACGGGATAGGGCAGGATGTGAAAGTCGCCTGCAGTGTCCGCCATTTTGATGGCTGCGATGTTGTCCCTAGTTGGGAAGGTGATTCTTTGCGACCGTCGATGGAGGGTAGGTTGGATCTTAGCAGGCCGAACTTGCTATCGAATCGTTGGTGGACAGGGTTATGGTGTGGCGGACAAAAAAAAGAAGACGAGATGTAAAGGGCAGAGAAAGCTGTCCGAGGGGAAGCTTCGTCCGACTAGGTATTGTACTTCTTGTCTGTGCTTTAGACCAAAGGCGAGAACCCAACAGCTCACTTTTGCGTGGCGTTTGCTATGCTTTTCGTTGGCGGGGAGGGAAGATGGTGAGTGATGTTCAATGACGTGATGGCTTTTTTTTAACGTCCTGTCCGTATACGAGCGAGATCCGGTCTAGGTAGTCGGGAGCTGGAGAGAGACACTCGGTAGTGCAAGTGCTGTGCACAAAAATTAAGGTGAGTTGTACCTGTGGTGGATAGGAACGGATAGGTAACGTCGGTAGATTTGGGTGGGAGGATTGCAGCCTATTTGGGGTGCAATGCGAGACAACCAAGGTTGAATTGATCAAATAAGAGTTTTGGGGGGTTCTGTTATGTATCCGTATCCGCAAGGTAAGGTAGGCGACAGTGAAGCGCCAAAAGAGAGAAGAGTCAAGACCTTTAGGTTTTTTTTTGATTAGGTACAGGGTTGATTGATGCAAAAGGCGTCTTGAAAGAGAGAAAAAATCAGACGGGGGTTTAAGAGGAAGAGGAAGGGGGAAAAGAGGGATCCAAGTTATATTTCGCCCGACGGCGTCATGAAGAAAGCCAAGCAAACCGTCGCCAGACAAAAGCGACGTCTTGGAGGCTGGGCAGTCACTTGGCCCCAAAGCCATTGCGTGGCCTCCCTCCTCTGCCCAGACTTGCACACTTGATCCCCCGGCGAAGCTTCCAGTGATGCCCACACCTTCCTCAGGGCGTAGCCAGTCACGATTCACCACCGTCACCACTCACAGTACCTTAACTACGGTAGACTCATCGTTGGTGGTACGGAATACCTGCATTATACTTCCCATTGTCAGCACTCAGCAGCCAAAGTCCCCTTCAACCACCTTTACCGCCGAGTCACCGGCATCTCAAGGGAATGGAATGAATGGGCCCCCCCGTCCGGTTAGTTTCCCCTCCGTTCCCTCCGATGTTTTGTTTGGACGGCATGCTTTTTCATCTGGATCTAGGTAAGGTAGTGTAGGTATCCCTCTCGCGCGGACACTCACCAGCATCACCAAGAAGCCAACGGTCCTCCTCCAAGACACGAACCCATCAAAGCCCCATGCAAGGTACGGAAACCAGCCGGGGATCCTCTCCTCTTCCTCAGGCCATCAAGGGCCCAGTACTGAGTTCACCCAGTCCCAAACTATCACCAACCCAACACGTCGCCCGACAATAGTTCCCATCGGGGCTCCGGCATCGAAAGTGGCTGTGCTCGCCTTTTCGCTTTTTTCGCCCTCTCGCCAGCCAGAGTTCCTCTAGAGACCCAACCAACGCCCAGTAGCCTACAAGGTGAATTACCGTGGTACCATCACCCTTGTGAACGAATCGCAAGAGAGACTCACACCGTTTCGGTAAACGAAGAAGCAAAAGAACCAGAGCAAAAAGAAAGAATGGGGCTTCTAGGGCGGCGCCTGACATCACCGGCACGAGCGAGGCTTGGCCGTCTCCATTCGTTTGCGCGCATCATCTCACCCAAGGGTTCCTCGTCCATCTGTGGCGATGCCACGGTAACGTGACCTCCCCAACCAAGATACCTGAGGTGAGGTGAGGTGAGGTGAATAGCCTTTCCTTCTTCCTGTGAACCGCCGCTGGGAACTGGAATAATTGCTCACGAAAAGCCCAACGTGCCTTATTAACGGGCCGGCCTTCGCGGCCCTCTGAGAGCCATTCACCACAACCAACACCATCCCCCCCACCGAACAAACTGGGCGGTGCACGCCTCGCGAGCTTATTCAAACCGTTCCCACAAAACATATCCTCTTATTTGTCATTTCTTCGTTGTGCTACTCATTCGTAGCTAAGAAGTCATCCTGTCATCTAATTCAGAGTCGCCGCCCTCGGCTTACCTCAGTATCGTGGCATTGCGGCTCCCCTCAACATCCGTTTGCGCTTTCCCTCGCAAAGCCTGTCAATGACCCGGCCTCACCGGCGGCGACATACCGGGGGTGGATCCGGGCAAAGGAAGCTGAACTCCCGCCGCAGCAGACCGATATCTTCCGGTCGCGATCTGCGTCAAGGTACCTCAGATCATAAACCACAGGGAGAACATACTTCAAGGTGTTCCTCTACTTTCAGCTGGCGTGCCCTCCCTCGCTCATCCTCACCCCACGCGCACCACTGCCAAACACAACCTTAAAAACCGGTGACCCGCGACCCGCGAATCCCGGATGTTCTGGAAGAGACGGGAGAGCTGTAAACAGCAGTGGCACTGCCGCACTGAGGGCTGCCGACGCTGAGGTGGTGCGGCCGCTCTCCCCACCTCACTCCGCCCAGAGCCGGCAACCCCACTGCCTTAAGGCACCCTACCAAACGGATACCTTACCTGACCTCATGCTCGAGATCCACCACGCTGCAAACAGTACTCAGCTCCTCTACTGTAAAGAGGTTCTTCCTCAGATGCTTGACGTGGCACCGTCCACGTCTACGAATGATTGAGAAATACCCCTCTCTTGGGGGTTTCCCCTTCGATCAACGATTCCACTACGAAACCCCGACACCACAGACCACAGACGAACAAAAGATCAACGTTCATCCCAGACCAGACATCGCGGACCATCCAGCTCAGTGCTGAGCGCATATGCCTTGTCCTGATATCTTGCATGGTAAGTCGACCCGACCACGGGCTCGATCGACTGCTCCTCCCGTCGCCCATCGCCAAGAACTGTTTCCAAAACATTCGGACACAACTCTGCTAGGTCAATCGGCCAGATTTGCCGCGCACTTGGGACGGTCTCAAAACCTTTCCTCCGCTCCGTCACCTGAAAATTTCCGCGACACTCCGGTGACACCTCCCGGCCTTGGCGACAAACTGTCCAGCCTGCACTTATTTTCTGCGTGGTCCCGACTGTGATATCTGCGAAACCACAATATCTTGGGATAAATTATCGCTCGTCAAAGCTTCGAGCAAGTTCTGTGGGATTTCGAGGCCTGCTCTGGACATCAAAAATGTGTAGTCTTTCTACGGACATATGGACCCACCAGCGCTGGTCAACATTGAGGGCATGATTCCAGCAAACGCTGTGAAACACAACCGGTCGACGAATAAACGGAACCCCGGATTTTCCTCCGGACTCGGCACTGGCTCTCGCGTCATCCCCCTGTGATCCCTGACCTTTTCCCCAGTCCTTCAACAGGCAGACGAAGAACGAGGAGCAAAAATGCGTCGTAACGTGATGGCACTCCCCGAGTGACGACTGCTGGCCGCAAAATAACATAGAAACCGCATAACATATGCTCAGCATCCAACTGAGTACCTCTCGTGACCCGTAACACCGATTCGTCGTAACTTTTAGTATTCCTCATGCCGGACTTTGTCGAAAATAACCAGATTGAGTAACTCCCCTTAAACGCCGTACCGCCGCTTATGTTGAAGAAAGTATGCGTGTACTTGAAAGAACCCCCTCGCTTATTTCGGGAACGTGAATCGAGACGTAATCTTCTCGGGCTCCTTCTTGCCAGGCGTCGCCGTCGACTGCTGCTGCCGCGCCGCGAGGTCGGCAATCTTCTCCCGGGCCTTCATGAGGCTGCTGTTGTCCTGCTGCTTGAGCTTCGCGCGGATCTCGTACAGCGCCATAAGGGTTGATGCGCGATCCATATCGTCTTCGACCTGTTCAGCACCCATCATGTAAGCTCTCTGTCTCGTCCCAAGTTGCTGTTGTTGGTGCTGTGAGGTGGTGCTTCGTACATCTGACTCTCTCTTAGGAGTGCCGGGGATGGAGCCCTGGGCCGAGTTGGAGCGCGACAGGGCGGGCGGACTCATCATGATGCGACGGCCAAATTTGTCGACGCGGGCAGGCGAAGCGGTGCCAGTACCTGTCCGCGAGGTCTGGGAACTGTGAGTGTGGACGCGGCGGAGTTCATCGGTGGGCCGCTTGGGCAGCCCGGCGGCGGCGGGGTTGGCGCTTGTCTTCTCAACGGTCTGGATGGCCTTGTTTGCAGTGACAAGAGCGGCTGCCGCGTTTGGTTCCTGTAGTGGAATGAGGTCATCAGCACTTTTGCAGAGGGCAAATGATCGAGTTGCTAAAAAGTTTATTGCGGATCTTCTTCCTTCCCCAAGAGCCCCTGCAGCCGCCGAAGCGCCCAGCGTAGCGCATCGCAGGGGAGAGTTACATGGGCAAGTCAGAGAATGCGACCAGGACGATAGTCGACGATGGATAGAAAATGGGGGAGACAAACAGTTGCGTTGAGGCTGCTCAGGTCGGCAAGCATCTGCGCCAGCTGGAGGCTCTCCATGGCGACTTTTGGCGTAGGTGTGCGGATTGTCGTTGGTGGTGGTCTCGTGTCGTGTCGTGTAGTGCGTAGGATGGAGAATGCTGTCAATTCTCAATGCAGTGTTGATTAACGGGCTGGAAGTGGATGCAGGCAGTTAGCAGTGAATTTGGCCGAGAGAGTGAAAGTAGGTGGATCTGGGCAGGGAATGGACATGGAGCTTAGAGCATAGAACCCACCGACGCCGTCATTGCAGGCCAGGCTAAGGTAAGGAGACTTTTTGACTTTTAAAGGCCAGGTACCACTGGCCACAAGTGCCTTACAGTAAGGCTCTTTGTGTCGGGTCTGTGAGAGATGTCAGAGGTGGGGGAAGAGGGACAGAGCGGAGGGTGCGTGAGCTGGTGTTGAGGGCTGCGCTGTTCTGTGTCTGAGTGTGTGTGTGTGTGTGTGTGTGTTTTTACTGAGGTGTGATGATGATGATGAATAGGAGTAGGGTAGGTGTTCACTCGGTTGTGATGTTGATCAACAAATATTGGAGAAGTGATCAGGCTGTGTGTGTGTGTGTGTGGAAGGTGACTTGATGTAGGACGAATGCCACCTTGAAATGTGAGGTGTGATGTGTGTGGCATGGGGAAAGGATACCTACGTACGGGGATATGGGGAAAGATCAAAGACATCAACATCTACCCCGCCGGAGACAAGGTAAAGGGAAAAGATCCAAGTGGCAGAAGGCAGATGGTTAGCAGGAGAGTGTCTTCATTGGGCCCTTTCTTCACCATCGGATCCGGTGCTGTGGTCTGTCACTCTTTACTTTGTCTCCTCGTCTCCTTATTAGGCTTCAAGTCGATGATCAAACCCACGAAAGCGAGAAGGAAGGAAGCGGGGTGAGAGAGACACAGGGCACCTTCCCCCACACTGGGCCAATTCAGCCACATTGAGCAACCCCAGGCCCTTCCCTGTCCGCGCTGTCTTTTGGCCACTCATGCGACTGCTGGAACATCTGTCGCCTGCTCTCCCCGACCGGTTGGGCGGGAAGTGTCTCCCCCGAAGCTTCAAGTCGATTCCATCCAATCGAGTACAGGTTCAATCCAATCCAGTTCCCAGAGTGCCAGATCTCGCGTGCATTGGACTGCTCTCTGTACCGACCGTTGCGAGCTCTCCAGTCCATCCAGAGCTGCGGCCCCCCCCCTCTTCTCCTGCAAGCTGGAGCTTCAATGGTGGCCGCCGATTGACGCATCCGTCCTCCGAATCGCCTTGACCAGATTGGCAAGCCTCCGTGCCTAGTGCCGGCACCTCTCCCGACGCACCCAACTTTTCGACCTGTACAGAATCTGACTAAGCATCCTCAAGTCCCCCAGGCCTTCGTTCCCCGGTTATTCGGAGAATCCGACACTGACTCCGGCATCGCTTCGGCATCGTTTCCGAAGCTCGTTATCAACCTCACGCCCTCTCATAAACCAACAGACCTTGGCTCCCACAAAAATTGACACTCAAGGAGACGTAGAACACAAACGCCAAGATGTCTATGGTTTTCAGACGCTCAATGGCTACCGCCGCCTCGTTGAAGAGGGCCGGTAAGGTTATGTGCATTGGCCGCAACTATGCGTGAGTGATTCGTCAACTGCCCCTCGAGTCTCACAAGCATCGAGATGCAGGCAGTAAGAAGAGAAGACATCACTGACGAGCAATTCATAGCGACCACGTCAAGGAGCTCAACAACACTCGCCCCAAGCAGCCCTTCTTCTTCCTCAAGCCCACTTCCTCCATCCTCCTCCCTGGAGCTGGCCCAGTCCTGAGGCCCAAGGGCGTTGACATGCACTACGAGGTCGAGCTTGCCATCGTTCTCGGCAAGCAGGTCAAGGATCTCAAGGCCGATGACCACAAGGGCGCCATCGACGCCATTGAGGGTTCGTCTCACTCACTGGGGGGCATAGTTGCCCCCTTCTCACCCTCACAATCACTGACACCAACCCAGCCTACGCCCTCGCCATCGACATGACGGCACGCAACAACCAAAACGAGGCCAAGAAGAAGGGTCTCCCCTGGTCCATCGCCAAGGGCTTCGACACCTTTTTGCCCATGAGCGACATCATCAAGAAATCCGCCATCCCCGACCCCCACGACATTGAGCTCTTCCTCAAGGTCAACGACGTCGTCAAGCAGCAGGGCTCTACCAACCTCATGCTCTTCCAGATCCCCCGCATCCTGAGCGACATCTCCAAGGTCATGACTCTCGAGGCCGGCGACATCGTTCTGACCGGAACCCCCGCCGGTGTCGGCCCGGCCGTGCCCGGTGACGTGATCCGCGCTGGTCTCCGTGTTGGCGGCAAGGAGCTGGCCGAGGCCAAGATTGAGGTTGCTGTTGAGGAGTCTCCTAGCTCGTACGAGTTTGCTGAGACATGAGTTGTGGTTGATGATGAGCTTTATGGACGTGGCCGCATCTCTAGAGGGGGAGGGGGGGGGGCTGAGCGATTTATCTGCAATGTTTTACGGGACAGTCATGTTGGATCTCATTAAGGGGGCCAAGGTGTGAACATCTCAATCTGGATCATCATGATCACATGTACTTTTAAATCATATAGACCGTCTGCTCGCCATCGCCTACAACAAATACCCAAACTTGAAAAAAGAGAACACACCGCACCATCTCTCTACCACTTATTAAGAGGCAACAGAGAAACACATCACTCCAAGTTAGGATCCTTAATCGACCCAGGCTTCGGCGCCGCCTCAGCAACAACACCACACTTCTTACACGTCCGCGCCCCCTCATCAGCCTTGAACGCCTCAACAGCAGCCTTGATCTGCGTGCCGAGATCGGTGCAGTGGAAGGCCGCCTCGTGGACGACGTCGCGGCACGACTCGCAGTACCAGCGCATGCGGTCGAGGGACCCCTCGGGCCGTCGCTGCTCAAGGACGACGCCGACCGTGTCGGCGAAGCGGACGGGGTTGTGCGGGGTGTTGCCCGGCAGCAGGAACATGTCGCCCTCGCGAATGATGACGTCCTTGAAGACGCCTTCGTCGACGACTTTGAGCATCATGGCGCCCTTGTACTGGTAGAACCATTCGGGGGTCTGGTTGATGTGGTAGTCTGTTCGGGCGTTGGGGCCGCCGACGATCTGAGAGCCCCCCCGGCGTTAGTTGAGATTCAGTGTCGGGGTCAGGTTGGAGGGGTGTTTGAGGGTTCGGGATGAGTTGAGTTTTGCGGGGATGTGCTTACCATGACAGTGAAGTCGTCGTTATAGACGCAGTAGTTGTTGATTGGGGGCTTGAGGAGGTGGGAGTTTTCTTCTAGCCTGGTTGCGTGAGATAGACATTAATACGGATTGAGCCTCATTGTGAATAGCCTCATATTTGCATTCTAAACAGGCCAACATAGCTTGAGTTGGAGACTCACCACTTGGGCAGGTTGACAGGGGGTCCAAGCATGATGGTTGCTTGTCGCGTCGTGAGTCACTCGAGCGTGTTTCGTGTGATGAGGAAATCTCTTTTCTCTTAAACTCCGCCGTCAATGATTCGATTATTGTGGATTGTTGAAGTCGAAGTTGAAGATGAAATCGGGTGGTAAGGCTACGTAAGAAATGGTGTAGATAAATTGAATCTCTCCTCCATCTCCTCCGTGGCGAATGAGATATTTAGGCTTTGGATGACTACTACAACTCGTTGAATGAGGCGTCTTCCCGTACGCTGCATTTATCAGCCGCCAGAGCTCTCATTCCGGACGGGCCCGTCGGCGCATCGGCGGAGCCACTGGAGAGAGTTGCGGGCCGCTCACAGTCCCAATTCCTTATGGCGGGTAAAGACCAATAATTTACTACAACATGCCAGTACGTAGTATACGGGAACAGAGAGATATGAATGGATCTCAACTCGTACTCATCGCTTACAAACTACAACGTTGAAGTCCGGAATCACTCTTTGTAGTTAGTACAGCACGAGCTCTAGAAGGCGATTCACCGGCACAGTTAGCCGTAGATAGGCAGTTGGTAATAGTAGGTCATAGACTGAAGACTCCGAGCAACCGAGAAGGAGCGGCGACAATGACCCCGACCCCTCTCACTGGAAACAACCCCGCCATACCAACAGGTCCCAGACTCCTAGGACTTTAGTGTGTGACCCAGAGACGATTCCAATGAGAGCATCAGAATGTCACTGGCATGGAAGCCACCTGGCCAGTCCCATGTGACGCCTGGCACGTCTGAGAGAGGGGACCACCCGCCCCGCCCTACCCGTCTCGTCCAGCGCCCACTTACCCGCCTCGCTGGTTGTCGATCTTACAATCCGCCCCCCGGGAAGACGGCGTCTCGCAGCATCAGTGCATCACCACCTTACAAAGCTGCATGCTCTGCTTCAAGAGGTCCAGGCTGGGGCAGAATGGAAGAAGAAAAAAAGAGACATTTCGGACGAGTCAACGCCTTAGCCGCCGCGATGGCTCTTACAGGCCTTTCCTAGCACCCCGCCCCCCTGTCTCTTGACTTAAGGTACTGTACGTTTACAGCCCCTCGAGGACAAGCTATCTCGCCTTAGCCCAGCACGTCAGCTTCCCCCGTCTGGTTTAGTTTTGACTTCAAGTGTCTTTGTTGTACCGTAGAAACTCGAGCAACTCGAACTTGCGCTAGCCCGTGCCAGCCCTGCTAGCGGCCCACACTAAGCCCTTTCGAGGGATCAGTTTTATCCGATTATATAATCGACTAAACCGTATACGGAAGGCGGTAAGTGATTATTTTCCATTTTTTACTCCTACCCAACTGCCCACTTCCACCGATTACATCACCGATTTGACCACCAATTATACTGTCAATTATACCTCCAATTACACCTCCACCACGGGCCTCGTCGACGTGCCCACGATGCCCTCACGACGGGCCCTTGCCGAGAAGGATTCGAATACGGCAAAAGTGCCAATTACACCTCCAGCAGCTAAGCGCCGCGGGCCTGCTCCTACCCCCATCAAAGACCGGAAATATACACCGCGAAGTGGCCCAATCAAGCGCCGCCAGCACCACTATACCCACGATACCAAAGTCAACGTCCTGATGTTTTTAGAGCATCACCGCGTGAGGAAGCTCGACGAAGAGTCGATTTGCCCCCCGAGGCTGCGCCAGGGCGAGACCGAGCTCCCAGGGATATACAGACGTCCCACATACCAGGAAGCCGCAGATTGGTTCAAAGTCCCTCGAAGCACGGTTATCTCCTGGTATCAGAACCGCGAGTCAATCGTCAATCGGTCCTCCAACTACGCCTACCACCCTCAGTGGCCAGAGCTCGAGACAGCGCTATACGGCGCCTTCCGCCAGCGACGAAGTGAGGGAAAGCTCGTTAGTACCAGTTGGTTCAAAAGGACCGCTAAGCGGATTTTCGCCCAGCAGAACCCGAACAGCAAACATCTTTTTATTTTTTCCCCCGGTTGGTTTCGTGGCTTCCAGAATCGTATGAGAATTACCCGACGTCGACTTACCAAACAGGCAACGAAGTTACCCACTGAGTACTTCAAAGTTGTCAACAGCTTTCTTTCCTTTATCCGACGAGTTAATCAAATGGCCCTGGCTAAGGTGAAGCGGTCTAACGTCGGAGATTTACTCGGAAGTCCAGCCCGTCGATTTCCTAACTCGCGAATTCTCAACCTCGACGAGACCCCAGTTCCTTTCGAATACCTAGACGGTTACACATACGACGACGTCGGGGCCAAAACCGTGGCTGGCAAGAGCGACCGCAGCGGTTGGGGCAAGCGGCAGGCCACATTAATACTCTACATCTTCGCCGACGGCATACAACGAATTAAACCGAAAATAATATTCCACGGCAAGCCCGCAGAGGAAGGGGGTCAATTATGGAAAAAAGAGGGCCTATTATACGCAGAAGGAGTGACAGTTGAGTTCAACAAGACTGCCTACAACAATGAGTACTTGTTCAAAAGATGGATTGAAGAGGAATTGGTAGCGCTGACTAAGGGAGACGAGTACCTATTGGTAATGGATGTCGCTTCCTTCCATAAGACAGATTCCATCCTTGCGCTATTACGTCAGCACCACATCACACCCTGCCTCATACCGCCAGGGACCACTTCCCTCCTCCAACCTCTCGATACCGCAGTCAATAAGCCCTTCAAGCAGTGGCTTTCAGAAGCAACCGACGCTTACGTACTCGACGAGGAAGAAAAAGCGCTGAATAAGCAGGAGGAGCTCAAGTGGGAGACGGGTATGAAGAGAATAATGGTCACCAAAACAGTCGAGACGGCAGCCGCTAAATTGGCCCACGAGAAGGGCTCAATGGTCAGCCAGGCCTTCCTGCAGTGCGGAATATCTATTCGGCCCGATGGCAGCCAGGTCGACGAGATCCGGATCAAAGACGTGCCCGCCGAGGCCATCGATTACACTGGGTGGGAGCTCTTCGACGTAGAAGCCCACATTGAGCAGGAGACGCTGCAAGAGGAGATTCCAGACTTCGCTGTTCTGAACGACGGGTTAGAGTACATTTTCACAGCAGAGGAAGTCCGTGATGGCATCAATGGGCAGTTCGTCGACCCGACAGTCCAACCGCCGTATGAATAGGGGCCCGTTGGAGGCAGTGGGCCAGGGGACAGTCAGGGGCTCGGTTGCTTACGTACGACTGCTTCCAATTGACACTTTTGCCCTTTTTGCCAATTCGACGAGAAAAGCTCAAAACCGACGAGAAAGCCAAAATAATTATTGAATTATATCAATTGTGGGTCCGGCCTCGACGGCGAGCTCTCATTGGTCAGATCGATCGAAATGTTAACCTACGCCAAAAATAGGTGGCGGCCGCATTTAACCACTTTAGGCAGTATTACGATTCTGCCATAGCGCTAGCAGGGCTGGCACGGGCTAGCGCAAGTTCGAGTTGCTCGAGTTTCTACGGTACTCGCCTATGGACAGCTTGCTACCGACCTCTTCCCTACACCGACACAAGCAGTACAAGCGTGCTAAAGGTTCGGGAAGGTAAGGTTGGCTGGTAGTCGATAGTTAGAGAGGCAGCGCAAGAAGGGAACACCCCGTCTCAGAGGCTGGGAACCTGCGCACATTTGAGCGAGTTTCCATCTCATCCCCCAAGCCACGGGCCGCCACCCCTTCTTCAGCCTTAGTCGTGAACTTGCAGAATAGCTTTGTACATATTCTCCGGTAAAACATAACTTTACCATAGATGGCAACATATCTTTTCGCATCCTTCCGCAATTCTCACTGTTTTCCTTCCCGGCAGTCATCAACCGAAATCGTCGCTAGCTCCCGCTTCGTTATAAGATCGCTGAACGATAACCCCCTACCTACCACGGTACCACCCCCGCGAAACCCGTAACCGTTTATCCAACCTGGAACCGACAACCCCCCCGGTCCCGCATATCTCACTGACCGACCGACCGACCACGCACTGGGCAGACGCAACCTCTCCTTTTCAACAACAACCACCCATCTTGAAACCATACCGAACCGAAGCACGCAATATTCCAACCTACGTGCAAGAAATTTTCATATCGACCTTTTGACAACGAAAAACCTCCCACGAGAACCACCCCGAATAACCTACACTATGGACCACGCGCACATGGATCACTCAAAGATGGACCACTCCGCCATGGACCACGGCGACATGGGAGGTCACGGAATGACAGGCGGCATGGGCGACCGTTGCAGCATGAACGTACGTTGCTTCACATACCTTACGACCATACCTACGCACGCCATGTGCTCCCCCCTCTACCTCGTTCCCTCGGATTCCTCGCGAAATCCCCTGGCGGCGGTCACTCTAAGCTCTTCGCAAGCCGTAGAGCTCCTCTCTCTCCTCCCGCAAATCCGCTCCCTCGCGGAGGCTCCATGTCACAGATGATAGCCATAGCTCAAAGCTAACCCGCGCTTCCCTCTTCCAGATGCTCTTCACCTGGGAAACCAAGAACCTCTGCATCGTCTTCCGCCAATGGCACGTCCGCTCCACCGGCGGCCTCGTCATCTCCCTCCTCCTCGTCGTCGCACTCGCCGCAGGCTACGAAGCCCTCCGCGCCGCATCCCGCCGTTACGAGAACTCTGTGAATAAGCGCGTCGACTCGCTCCCGAGTAAGCACTTTCCCTCTCCCCTGGCCGCTGCCATCACATATACATATATACCTACATCACACACTTCCTCTGTATACCAAACACGCACCTTGCGTCCATAATCATACACACACCCATGCTTTCCACCCTCCGCATACCCATTTACACACTACCATGAATGCTGCGCTTCCCTACCATGCGCCCCTCTTCACGATCGACGTAGAGGGGCCCTCGGGCGAGTCGCATACATCCCCCACTCCCCCCCTTCGCATCAAAATGTGATACCGAACACAAATGAGCTAAGAAGTCTTGTGTCTTTCGAGGCGTCGCTGGAACCGTTACTGAGACAACCCCCTTCCTATGGACAGGACGCGAACAGGCAGAGGCCAGCAGGAGCGCACACCTCGTCAAGGCCGCCCTCTATGCCGCGCAGAACTTTTACGCCTTTATGCTCATGTAAGTTGTTTTCGCCGTCTATTCCTCTCCTCTGTTTTGCCGAAGTTGCAAAGTCCCCCCTTCCCAGTGTTGCGTGCTACGAGACCGCAAATGCGTATATGGGGAGGGAAGACGGAGAAGAGGTTCCTCTCGGGATGATGTAGGGGAAGAAGCGAACTGACGAGAACAAAAAGGCTCGTTTTCATGACGTACAACGGCTGGGTCATGGTCGCCGTCGCCATCGGCGCATTCGTGGGATACGCCGCCTTCGGAAGCTCAACTTCCTCGACCAAGGACAATGCATGCCATTGATAGCTGATTTCCCTCACCCGCGTTCGCGCAAGGGCCTAAGCAGGCCTCAACAACCATAGACATACTTTGTATTTTCCCTCGCACAATAGCTTTCTGTTTTTGGATATCAATGGTGGAGGGGCGTTTGTCGATTTCGATTTTGGTTTTTTGATAGCATTAGCTTCCGACTCCGTACAGGCCGAAGACAGGCGGCGGCGGTTGAGTCTGGCAAGACTAAAGAGAACCTTCCCTCGAATAAGGGGGTCAGGACTCGAAATACACATTACATGCGAAAGCAAATATTCATTCATCATGGCGGCTGAGGCTGCTCTAGCTGCAGCTGCAGCTGCTGACTCTATGTATGTGATTTCTCCATCTCGAGGGCAGGCGATGCGTATAAACACCCCAGAATCCCGATTCTCCAACGTCACACGCCAGAAGAAATCTGTGAATCCCATCGTTAGATCTCAGTCAACCCGCGTGTATGTCTTTTACATCTTCGCAGGCTCCGCCTTCTCCCCCCTCCCATCCTCCGCGGTCGTCGTACTAGTCGCGGTAGTCTCATCCCTCTTCCTCTTCTTCTCCACCAGACTCCCCTCCCTCTCCGCCTGCAAAATAATCTCCTCATCGCCAAAGTGCTCGTTACACTCAAACTCGGGATCCTTCCCGTACGCGATCCGCGCACAGTCGACGAGCATATGCGCCGTCAGACCCCACACTTTAAACCGCCCGCCACCCTCTTTATCTTTTTCCTCTTCGAGCTTCTCGGCGAGGTTACTCTGCGGATGATCCACCTCCATCGCGTTCCCCGGCGTCGTGACGCGCTGGTCGTCTACGGGGACATAAAAGTTGTGTACGCGCCAGGGGTGCTCTTTCCATTGGATCCAGCTGCCGTCGTACCAGTGGCCCGGCGGTAGAACCTTGGACGACAGCGACGATGAGGGGAGGTCTGCGTCCTTGGCGCGAAGGAAATTCTGAAAGGGCGCGGAGAAGACGGCTGCGACTTCTTTGGCGTCCAGGCGCGGGATCATGCGCTCCTCGACGAGCGGGCTCGGGTCATCTTCGTCCGGGTCCTCGTCGGCGTGGAGGAAGGCGACGCAGGGGCGGACGACGAGTTCTGTGCGGGCGAGGTTGTAGGGGAGGTAGCAGAGGGGTTCGATCTTGAATGGTTTCGGGATGCGGGCGTCGTCCATGGGCAGGCCGATTTCCTCCCATGCTTCTCTTCTTGCGATTTCGTCTGTTGCGGGTGAGGAAGAGTTTTGTGGTCAGCTTATGCAGTTTCGCACTTTTTCTTGATGGCATGGGTGGATCGTTGGGGATCATGACTTACATGGTGTTTCTTGCAGCGTATCCGCCTTGCCTCCAGGGAACGCGGCGTGCCCGGAGAAGCTACGCAGGCTGGCCGCGCGCATCGTGATGACGACGCGCAAGTCGCCCCTGCGGTCGGCGTAGAGTAGAATCAAAACGGCCGCTCGGCGGCTCACTGGGAGTCGGTCCCAGAGCGGGAATGCGGGCGGTACATATCGTCTCAGGCGTGCGATGGCCGCCTTGGAGCGCATTAGCATCCTATTTGCGCAGAGATACATATCTGGTAGAGGTGTTTTATGTACTGGATCGATAACTATGACAAAAGGAAAGGAAAGACAGAACACGACAATACACAACAGGTGGGAGAGAAAAGACGCGGGAAAGGAGAGGAAGGGCCGAGAGGTATCAAGTCATGAGTTCATGGGGTGATACAGCGCTTGATATGCGGCGACATGGTGATGGGCAATAATACAGAACAACGAAGGGGGGTAACAGGGCGTGAGAATATAGCTTCACTTTGGGGAAGCATAATACATGAATGGTGATAGGCTGAAGTACACACGGTACAGAGCGAGATCGGGCATGACTGCAACGCTGCATCTAGGTCGCATCTACCCCAACAACAATCTACATAGACACCTAGACTGGAGCGAAGAGACTCGAGAAAATCAACTAACCGCAGAGACTGAGTTGAGGGGAGCCATGGCTCCAGCATCCCAGTAGCTCGTAACCTCGTCGTCGTCGTCGAGGATCAGGATACCCTCTGGGTTGGGGTTACCGTTGTCGTTGGTGTCGTCGTTGTTGTCGTTCGTCTCGCTAGTAGCAGCAGTAGTGGTGGCGGATATACCTTTGGGCGCGGCACCCGACGAACTCGCAGCTGCAGGAGCAGCAGTAGTAGTGATAGTAGCGGCGGCGGCGGCCGGATCCTTGGCGGCTGCGGCTGCTGCGAGCGTGGTGGTGATCTCGTGGACCTCCTGATCCGTCGGTGGCGTGGCCTCGTCTAGCTGCTGCTGATGCTGCAGGGCTGGCGACGCCGTCGCGGTGGTGGTCGTCGTTGTAGTGTTGCTGGTGTTTGTTCCCGCTGCGTCTTCGGAGAAGGACGGAGGAGAGGTTGGGGCCGGCGAGGGGTCCGTCGCGGCCGCTTGGCTCATTTCTCGGTCTTATCTATCTGACCGGGAGTGGGAGGGTCAGGTCAGGGGAGAAGAGGTGCAAGTTTGCAACTCTATCTGCGCGCCTATGGATCGAATGAGACGGAGATAGAAAGGGGAGAGGTAGATGAGAGGAAGGGGATATGGGGTGTTGGGGTAAGCGTGTGCGTGTGAGTATGGATAGGAGCTCCGGTTAGAGGTCCGGACGAAGGATGACCGACACGAGGAAGCGAGGTCCAGGGAAGAATGCAGCGTTCAAGCGTTCAGCGGTCGTGCGCGGGGGACTCAGGGATGGAGGAGGAGGGGGCAGCGCGCGTGTTCTTGCCTAAAAGGTCACGGACGTGAGCCGTGGTTGGAGGAGGGTGGATGACGGAGTACTGCTGGTTGCTTACACAAGGTAAGGTAAGGTCTTTTAGATTGTGTATTGTAGTTGGAGAAAGGAGGAGAAAACCCGAGGGCACAGAAGGATCAGCTTGCTGCGAACATGTCTTGGGGGAAGTTGTTGGAAAAAGCGCCGAGCCGAATTGCGGGGGTGGGGTTAGTTGAGATATCCCGAAGAGCCAAGTAGCCGGGGCAGTAGGTATGGAAAATGGCCCGACATGGAAGAAATCAGTCATCAGGTAGAAACTGGAGCCATGCCAGAGATCTTTTCCAGATCCAACCTGGAATTAATGGGATATCACTTCTGCCTGGAGGCTATCATGTTGATGGCTCTCATTGGACCGGCAAGCTTGGGGAATTTGATGAGATACCGGAAGGAAGGAAGATACAATCAAATGTCACCGGGTACCTTATGACTCCCAGGTACGTCTCGGCGGGTCTCTCACCTGAAGCTCGGCAGGCCGCGGCACGGCGAACACGGAGGTCCCGCGGAGCTTGCCATAGGTAGACCAAACCTGAGCTTTCCTCCGTAATTGGCCCAAGTCGACGTCTTACATGGGAATGCGGGACCCCTTCCCGCTATTACTTATCAATTGTTCTATCAGAGGTGGGTCCGGGGGGAGGAGCTATTCACGTCACACGGCTCTAGGCGCATTCAGACACTGGCCGGATTCATCTGCGTTTACTGTGTAGTAGGTAGTTGAGATTACTTTCTTCCATTCCCTATAGATTGTTCTTGGTAGGAATGTCTATCTAGGTGGTCATCCGGCATTTTGCCAGGTTTCATAGGTTTGCAGATACGTAACACGTACACTGCCCAAAACAACGACAATCGCTTCTTCGCTTTTCAAAAGGACGGATAGGCAGGCAGACCAGTGAACAGTCTAGACGCCCCCCTACATGACAGACAAACAACGCTAAACATACAAACGCCGAGACATGACACCATTCCTTGTCTTCCGGTTCAAACCAGCTGTTCCCTCCTTGACGCGGAGCGAAATGGTTCGCATCCCTTGTTGGTACCTTACCCAGCGTGCTAAGCAGCGCGGGCAGTCCGCGCCCCGAAACGCCACGCCGGCGCCGTCCCACAGTGCCCGGCTTGCACTACTCGAGCGTGCTACCCTCCGGTATCACCCGGATGCTCTGCCGAAGATTCTCTCGCCGTCGCTCGTCCTTCGTCAGGACCATCGAGTTCGCTGTCCTCTTGAACTGAGCCGCTAGGCCCTGCATCGAACGCCGACTGCTCATCCTCTTCAGTCCAGGATGCGTAGGTGAATCGGGAACCGGGGTAGCTGCGGCGCTGCGAGCTTCCGACGTCGGCGGCAAGTCGGTCGCGGTTACGCCCTCCGAAACCACCCTCCTGTGCTCGCCGCTCCATCTGAAAACGCGCGACAGGGCGTCCGAGTACTTGACCCGCAGACGATCGTCGTCCATTGAGTGTGCGTGCATATCTGGGTGAAGCGACTTCAAAGACTGCTTACCTACGGTAGAGCCCGTCCCAGAGCCCAACGATGACGGTGACTGGGGTGTCGTGTTGATACCCGTAGGTGGCCGCTTCCTACCTGACTGAAGCACCTTGGCCGCGAAGCTCAGCCTGTTCTTAGGCGGCCGGATAGAGCTCCGCCCCGACTCCATGCTGTCTCGTGAAGATCCTGCAGTCTTCTTCGCCGAGTTCGCAATCGATGTCGCCGTCGCATGATAGAGGTCCTTGGCCCCCACGTAACTGACTTCCATATGGTTATTTCGCCGTGCGGGAAGCGTCTCGAAGTGGTGCATACCAGGCGATCTCAGGCATCCAATCTCAGAGTCCCGACGACGCGGGCTCGCTTCATCAAAGTCCAATATCTCTACCCGAGGCGGTACCGGAGACGCGGGTATCCACGACGGATTATTCCTCCGCGAACTGGGACTAAAGTCCCATTCACTGCTTTCCGGTTCCGAATCGTCATCGTAGTCGTCGATTAAGCTAAGTGTCCGAGCCGGCTCCGAACTCGATGCGGGCTTCTCTGAGCTAGGCTTCTCTGTGCTGTGGACACTGCTAGACTTGTCGGGTGTCGCTGGCATCAGCGTTTCCGAGACCAACGGTGAGCGAGGTGGCCGAGTGGGCGTTGGAGCGAAGCCATTAAAGTCAACATCCAGTCCAGTTATTTGTTTGATTTTGGCCGATGATCGATGAAGAGTACAAGGGCTTGTTATTGGTGTAGAGAGACGCCGAACAGCCAGTTTCCTTAGTTCTGTTTCGGGCCGGCGGCTCTGAGGCGAGCAACTCCTATGTTCTGATCTTGGTGATATAGGTGATAAGGGAGTCGGACTGTGCTGAATCAAAATTGTGCTGATCTCATTCTCCAATCTCTCTATTGTTTCGGATCTCTCAATGGATTCCAACCTCGAAGGAGACGGTGATGGCGTTGTCCTAGCACGACTTCGCGACCTCGAAGAATTTCTTTCGGTCGACTTTGTTTCGATGGACACAGCTGAAGTGACTGACATGGCCGACATGACAGAAAAAGCCGAAACTTGGCGAAAAAACCCTGGGCGAAGAGGAGGCAGCGGCGGGAGAGGCTTCTTGTCGTAAGTGCCTCTCGGCTGCTGCGGAGGTAGCTCGCCTCCCGGCGGTATAGCAATCTCCAGACCGGGTGGAAGCTGGCTGGGAATGATTCGAGGCTCCATTATGGTGGACATCTCGAAGAAGAGGCGGGTTTCGTCGATGTGGTGCGGCAAGAAGGAAGACGAAACAGAAAAGTGTCGCCTAGGACGAAATCCGGGATTCTGGCGCAATATGTCCCATGCCACTGGTAGCCACCGGTTCGAATGACAAAGCTGATGACCGAGACACTTTGATCGGATGCGGCGAGACGATTTTCTAGAAGTGAACTCGAAGTTCTTTGTCGGATTTGTTGACTGAATCGGGAATGGCTAGCTTCGAGCCAATGACTCTGTTGACAAAGAAGATTTATATGCAATGTACAGGCCAAGCGGTATCTATCAGCCTCCGTCAGGCAAGGCCGCTTCGGTTCCAGTCCAGAAAGTCGCAGTGTTTAGAAACGTGCTCTTCCCATGACATGATGTGGGCGGGAAACAGAATTCCAAAGAAGTTTGTTCTCGAGGGGGGCCCGGATCACTGTTTCTATATTAGAAGCAGACAAAGTCCCTCAGGCGCCCGCCATGCAAATCGGATATTGCCATGCTGGACGTTGTTTGCCAACCAGATTGAGCCACCTTTACGCCATCCAATGAACTCAATTGGTGGCCACACCCATCCCGTTACCTTCTAAAATCAGTTTGCTTGTTTGTTCGTGTTTCCCCATGGTAAGAAATGTCGTTATTCCTCAAGAACTGCCCCCAGATCTTATCCTTGCAAGTTGTTGGATCACAGGGCTGACGCAGTGATTATCTTGCTCCCTATGCCACCCCTAGCTTCCCACCTGATGAACCAGTTGCCCCATATTTGTAGACGCGGGACGGTAGGATCATGAGTCTAATCGACTTTGACAGGCGCAGAACAAGGGTTCTTCGGTGAGCAAGTTTGGCGTGTTATTGGAGGATCCGCCATGGATGCTTGGCTGGTATATCAAGGCTCGGGTAGTACTAGCTTCATCAACCGTCGAGAGACACTCAGTCATAGTAACCGCGAGCCATGAACACGGACAAAGAAGCCAAGAAAACTGTTGCGCCGCGTGCTGAGCGACAAACACGCTACTCTTCGCTCTGAAGGAGCGCCTCAACATTGGAAACTGGCAAGCCGTACTGTCTAGGGTCGACATGAGTGCATGGCGATGAGTGGCATACATCGCAGCATAAAGCCGAACGTCCGTCTTCTTCACCGGGAATCCCGCAGTGGCATTATACGGTGAAATCAACTTTTCCAGATGCGCAATGACGACGTTGGTAAGGAAGGTAGGCAAAGTTGCGCCTGCAGGCCTTCTTCAAACCCCTCTCCCATCACCATGGCTCCAGCTGGATGGTGCCAGTCGACGATTTGGATAAGGGAATCTCGGCCTCCCCCGCCGACCTCGCCGAACTTTGCAACCAAGTGAAGATGAATCTGCCAAGATAAACCCGTGGGGCTTCGTTAGTGACGAGCCGCTTTTCCCGGGACGAAGGCGATCTTGGAGATCTTCCGATGGCCTTCTGAGACATGGGGACTGAACCACCGTCTCCCACGTAGTCTCATGGGCCTAACTGAACATTCGTCTGTACATGCTGTTTTATGCTGCTATTGAAAGACCTCCAGAGCTCGGCCGTTGGAACTTGGAAGAACCGTTTGAAGGGCTGTATGCTGAATGCATCCGGCGTAAGAGATTGCACATGGCCTGACAAAACCACTGATTTGGTAAATATTTCGGCGTCATTCAACCGCAAACGGAATGAGATGTTGCGAACCCCTCGTTCTGCAGAGCAGGGGCGGGCCCGCTGCTTTCCTGTGTGACGTTGTCTTTGGAATCCAATTTTGGTGCCGGTCTTGACCCCATAGACCGGAGAGAGATAGAGGTTTCTATGTTTGGCAGTTTTTCAACGAGTTTATTCCATTTGCGACGCTGAGAACATGACTGTCCGATTTCGTGCCTCGAAGATCTTCATCACACGAGAAAACCCATCTGCGGGCTGTTCCCAATCAATCTGTGAGTCTCAGTGAAGTGCAGGCGTGTTCTCGGTCAAACACTGCGATGAGACAACGCAAGAGCCGTCTCACAATCCAAGAGTGAAGCTTTTATGATGAAGTCTTTGAGACTGAGAGGAGCGTGATCACTTGGCAGGTGCCATGAAGAAGTGGCGCATCAATTCTCCCCGACAGGACGTGCTTCGTGACGGGCTGCGGCCAGGTAACAAAGTCTCGACGATGCACCAGATGGCAAGACAAGCGACGGGCCGTGCCCCGAAGTTCCTCACCATAGATCGATCTCAATTATCGACGTGTTGAAAGTGAGCAAGATTCATGCCACCGGTGCAAAGACAAAGTCGGAGAGACATCTTCGAGGTGCAGAAGCCTAGCCCACAGTGGTCCAGCCCTAGCTAGTCGGTCGAGATTTCCCAAAACGAAAGACCTATGCAAGAAGAGAGATCTTTCTAGACCAGAGAAAATCCGTACGGTGTGCCAAGATGGGGCAAGAGATGATGGATTATCGGATGTCGGACTTCGGTGCCTGGAGTGATATTCTGCCCAGAAGGATGGCAGGAGGATCGCAACAAAATGCTGCTAGCTCAACCTCCTTTTTCGAAATCAATCTAAGCCTTTGATCCTCATGCGGGTTCGTGCGAAGGGCTGACATTCCGCAGCTAACTCAAGCACTGGCCCGTCCCGGCAAGTGGGAGCCAATGCCATCCCATCTCGCGTCTCGATGGCGTGCAGACCATCGGAGAGCTAGTCAAGGGGTTGTTCCCCCATGCTGCTCTCCCTTAACAGCGCCAGCGGCCTAGAAGGCGCCGGCCCAGTATCGAGCTCAGGACCTGATTTTGCTTGTCTCTGGCGTACGTCAGCTCTAGCAGCTGGCTTCTTTGGATCCAGCTCGAATAAGTAATAATTAGCACGTGTATGTGTTGTTGGAGGTCAATGCTGGAGAAGGCAGCGAACTGTAGCCTGTCATTCCGTATTGCACCACGGTTTCGTCCATAGCGTAGTCGCATGTCTTATTCCATCAGCCCAGCTGCTTGAACTACTCACCCGGGGTAAAACCTACTGAACTCCATCGCAAAACTTTCTTTCTGCATTCCTCTCATATTCTTCTGTCTTTCTCGTTGTTTGTGTGTGAAAATAGGCTCATGTAGCCGTCCCCCAGTGCGATGATCCGCCGATATGTGAGTCCGCGGCGACGGCCGTCGCGTTTTCGATTTCCCATCTGGCTTTGGCTGCTTCTCGCGTTGGGTGTGATAGAGTCTATACTTCATTGCAGAACCTTCAATGCGCCACGGCCAGCCGACGAGCAAGATCAGCCCTTCTACACGTCTTGTCGCGAACCTGATGTGACCGGCAAACGTGAGAATGGAGTTCTGGTGATGCTGGCGAAGAACTCCGAGCTCAAGGAAGCCAACCATACAGTCGCCTCGCTAGAAAAGCACTTCAATCATTGGTTCCACTACCCGATCGTCTTCCTCAACAACGAGCCATTCGACGACCAATTTATCGAGGCGTTGAACAGTACAGCAAGCGGTGGGGCGACATTTGAAGTGATCCCGCAGGAAGAATGGACGTACCCCGCGTGGGTCAACCAAACAGCCGCGAAGAGCAGTATCGTTGAGCAAGGGGCGCGGGGCACCATGCATGCAGGCCAGGAAGGTTATCACCACATGTGCCGCTTCTATTCGGGGTCAGTCATAGTCTCTTAAACCTTTAGATTAAGCTTACTAACTTCAAGATCTGCAGGAGTTTCTACCATCTCGAAGCCCTGCGAAAGTACAAATGGTACTGGAGACTAGAACCCGATGTCGACTTCCTCTGCTCGATTACATACGATCCGTTTGTGGAGATGTCTCGGCGTAAGAAGGTGTACGGCTTCACAATTTCCTTGTGGGAAGAATGGGACACGGTGCCGTCGCTCTTTCGACACACGGCCGAGTTCAAAGAGGCGTTCGATCTGGTGTCGTCGGCATTGTGGAAGGCCATGATGGAGCCCTCATGGCTTCCATATCCGCTGCGGCCGCTGATGAGCCTGCTGCCACACCGCGATCAATCTGGCGACGCCTGGAGCGGCTGCCATTATTGGAGCAACTTCGAGATAGCAGATCTCGACTTTTTCCGGGGAAAGCGGTACCAGGCTTTCTTCAAGGCCCTTGATGATACGGGAGGCTTCTATTTCGAAAGGGTGAGTGAATCCTCGATAGTCTTTACATTTGGTGTTCCGTGGTCGGCAAAGAATTGGACTTCGGTAAGAAGTCTGAGAGTTGAAAAAGTTGAAGGATATCGTTGGAGAATTGGAATGACATGGAAGCCAAGCCTTTGCCTTCCCTCTCCAAGACCTGCCCAGTCGCATCTTGTCCAACCATGTCCTTTCCCCCTGAGTCCAAACCCTTGGCAGCCTGAAGCAGATCACTAACCGGGATTTTGTGTCGCATTTAGTGGGGTGACGCCGCTGTACACTCGCTGGCTGTCGGCATGCTTCTCGACGCCGACAAAGTACATCATTTTGAGGATTTCGGATACAGACACGACGAGCTTTTCCAATGCCCGGCCAATGCACCAGACGGGCAGTTACCTGAGTCTCAGGCGCTTGGGAACGCGTCGTCATACTCGGCACCAATTGATGGAGGAATTGGGTGCCGGTGTGAATGCGACGGCAAAGTGAGGAGGAACCACAACGGGTACTGTCTCAATAAGCTGAAAGAGCCTAACATTGCGCAGCGACCGTGGTTTTCTTGGACACTGTGACGTGAGTTTGGAAGGGAAAGATGGTCGCGCGCATGTAGAGACACACAGAAGTATACCCATGTTTTGTTAGAGTACATAGAAGAACGATTCGTTGATACAGAAATCTAAGCCCAGGTCAAGGGATTCTATTCAGATCCGCACCCTTCTAGACCAATAACTCCAGGCACCTATAGTCACACACGTACATTACAAGGTCTATCTCATCAAGGAAGCTGGCGTAGCTCCTAGTCTTCATCAGAGTCATACTTGCCTTGGTAGTCCCCCAGCAAAATATCGTCCACCGCAAGCCCCGACGTGTTGTTCCGCAGCCACTCTGTTTCAACCCGGAAGAATATCCATACCCAGCGTCTGAAAACCTCGAGGGACTGCAACAAGAAGATGGAGCTCTCAAAGTCGGTAAACTTGTCCAAGTGCGCGTTCAGCTTGAGCGACCAGGTACACCGCAGCATCAAGTCCATCCCGATCACGCCGTAGTAGATAACAGGCTGCTGGAAAACAAGACGTCGGCGAAGTCCGAAGGGGTGTTCCGGGTTGTTGCGCTCGCGCGCCGACGAGAATAGCGTCAGGTCCCAATCCTTGGCAACATCCCAGTACCACGAGTAGAGGGAGTTTACCAGCACTGCCACCAGCCATGCTCTGTTCAAACCAGGTGCTGGCTGATCAGCCGGAACGCTTCGCTGCAGTGCGCTGAAGATGATAACGGGGAAGGCCGTGGCGTATTTGGTGGCGTTGGCCAGATGCTGACCGCCCCAACCGACTGACTCCTTGTAAGGCGCTCTTGCGACTCGGAAATACTCAATGATGCACTGCCTGAATCGTATGGCGAACGGCACTGCCATGATGAGCGGCACGATCACTGTTCCTCCGCAGTTCCGGTCTGGTCGCGCGGTCGAAGACCCGGACGGCGTGAAGAACATGCACAGCACCACGTAGAGATCCCCTAGGATCTTGGAGTAACTCGTCAATACATCGGCGAGCAGGATGTCTCCGAATTTTCCATCCTTGGCTTCTGCTATGCCTCCGATGCTGACGCGTCGCAGCGTAGCGAGGAATCGTGATCGCCCGCCCTGCGAAAAGTTGCGGATCGGGACGAAGAAGAGGGCCGCAAGGGCGACCAGGTAGGTCATCGGTAGCCAGTCATATTCGATTACGAGGGCGGGGGTTCGACGGGAGAAGACCCAGAATGTCGATATCGAAAGTAAGAAAACCGTCGAAAGTACGGTCGCGAGGCGGTACGTCGAGAGGTGATGCGCCGGTTGTGTCGGAGAGGATCGCGAGGGATATCGAATCAGGGAGGGCACATCGATCTTGACTTTGTGCAGGTAGTGGAGGTTGACACCCCAGCCCCAGACGGCTATGACATAGTCAGCAAGTCGGTTCCATCCGCGCGCAATGGCGACATACCGAGAACAATGATGAACCCTATGCGATAGGGTAGGGGAAAGGTCAAGCTAAACGAGTCGAGCTGCGACTCAACCTTGGGATCACCGTCCATGCTTGTTGGTGGAGGGGGAAAGAGGCATCGAGTGAAGAAAAGGAAAGGCGGACTCTATGGAGCCAAAGTTGAGTGCAAATGAGTGACGAGAATCCAAAGAAGATTCATAAGAATTAAAATCGGAGTCGCTCAAGACGTGTGTCGCAAAGCCTCGAGGTCGACTTGGAAATAATGATAGTTTGTCCCGTACTATTCAGGAGGGAAATTGTCCTGTACGCCTTACCTTATCGTTATCAAGCGGTCGGGTGGTCTGTGCCTCAGGGACCTTACGTACCACTACTACTGGGGCTACAATGACGTCTGGAGTAAATTTAGCTAACGGCGTTCAGATAGGTACAATCAATTTCTAGGGAACACGCAAGAGTTATCCCGTGTCGCTACCTGTTCTACGTGGCCATCAGAGTTTGAAGTTGCATCTTCATGATACATGAGCACAAAGTTTTTCTGATTGAAATTGATGGTCAAAGTTGAGAGAGAGGGTAAGTCTCGACTGCCTAATACGATACCTTCAAAGCTCCGACTCCCGCCAACATACCCTCGCCAGTCGATATCGATTCACGAAGGGAGGTTCTCGAGACAGCTATACTGAAGAGATTAAAGACTCATCAATGCTATTACACAGACATAACTCTTCATGCAGTGTTGCAATTCTGAGTGATTAACCCCCTTAACACAAGTCATAGGTAGCATCCTCACACCCCGCTCCTTTCTTTACCTCAGCTTCCTCAGATATGTGGCCAAAAACGCAGTCTAACGTGGATGTTTCCAACACTGAGGTGATGCCAGAAGTCGATGAGGGTAACTTTATCCATTTCACATGCATGCTACAGCATACGTAGCGAGACTTAACTCTGAGGGTTGAATCATGCTTCCACTGGAACTTGTGCTGGAGGCGCGGCGTCTTCCTTTTCCGGTCTGCGCCCAGTGAGGAAGTATCTACGAGGCGCTGTCAGCGATGTTCCGGTACACAACGGAATCTTCAGAAAGAAAAGAATAGCACTTACATCGGCCAGTAGCCATGAACGTTTCGGTCCTTGATGTCCTTTCGTACTCCCATGAGGAAGACGTTAACCTCATCACGGGACCAATCGTGACCACGGGTCAATGCAGCCATAGAGAAGCCCTCAAGACCCGAAAGCAAGTTCTCGCAGTTCCAAATGCCAATTTCCTTCCACTTAGGGTCCTTGGGCCATGGATTGATCGGCCACTTGGTCCTAGTCATCCGGACATCGACGAAGCCAGCCTCAGCCATGAGCCCTTTCAGCGAAGGAATGTCAGGGAAGGGGCGTCCCAGCTTCTCTGAGCCCTCCTTGAGCAAGTCAGCCCACTTTTGAAGGTCAGAATCGGGCTTAAGGGTTCCATCGTCAGAGGTCGGGTACAGGTCGATCTCCTGCACTTCAAACCATCCTCCTGGCTCGAGATTGCTATGAGTCGCTTCACGTTAGTTTGTCTACACATCGATCTGGCCTTCAGATGCCATAATCAGGGATGTCACGCCTACTTGTAGCAGTTCTTCAGATACTTCTTCCAGTCTCTGATGCCTTGAGTAATGACTCTGCTATGGATGTATTGGAAAGGCCGTGAGTATGTCCAAGGGTCTTCGGCATCGTTGACCTCGAACTTGACGTTGGGCGGAACGCTGTGATCCGAATGTCAGTCCATCTGTCGCACGACTAGTCTACGGTTATTTTAGGTGTTCGGATGGAATAGATACGTACTAACTAGGCATTGTCGGAGAGAGATCGATAGCAATGACCTACAAAATGCTTCATTTAGTCTTCACCCTGATTTGAAAGAAGCAGAAGTGATAGAAAGCTTTAGCATTGGGCTCAAATGAGGGTGAACACTTACCTCGGCCTCAGGGTGCTCATCACCGAAGTCGAGGGCCCAAATTCCACTACCCGTGCCTATGTCGAGCACTCTACCGACCTTGGAACCCTCTTCACATGGCGGAGCAATACCGAGCTTATTATCAGTCACCAGCAGCCACATAGAATGGACCAGATCTAGTCTAATAGTTAATAGAAAAACAGGGTAAGGATCTCAAGGCTCATAAGTACCCAGCCTCTCTAGCTCCCTTTCATCGTTGGGAAAGAGGTAAGCTATTCCAATGTTAGAAGTGCTGTAAGATGGATCACATCTTGAGAATCCAAGTTACCTCCATCTTTGTACTGGTGGTACGTTCTGCCGTTCTCAATTCTGTACTCGAGGATCGACTCGCGAAGGCTGGTGCTCGAAGAAGCAAAGCTCTATGCATGGGACATAAGCGAGGTGCGATGACCTAGAGATACCTTCCTCCCAACATAAGACTCACACTTCCGTCTGCCGATTGCGCGTCACTCTAGGTTCAATATTTGAATCAGCTGTTTGGTGCAGCATAACGCTTCACGGATACACCCTTACCTCTTGATCCGCCACGATCTCAACGTGCTGATTGTCTTGCGACATTTTCGGAGTATTCGTCGGATCACCGTTTTATAAATCCTTGCTACACGTGAAGAAAGGCGCCGTACCAACAGGAGATGATGGGGAAAGGGACAACAAAAATCGACACTGGTCCGGGGCGGTAGCTGTTTTTGTGGTTGACCGCGGCACTACCAACGGAACCCGCCCCTCTTCTTGGCGATGCAGACAACAGAAGCAACGAACCAACATGCATGGGCGCCTCCACCCACATTCATGTCATTGTAACTGTGGGTACAAGTTAGGTATGGCTGATTGTAGGGGGGCAATGCAACAGGGGATGATAACCTGCCTAGACTGTAACGGTACAGCGATGATAAGTCATTCTTACTGCTGCTAACCTTGCCTCTTGGGTGGGCAAGAGGAAAGCTTGTTTTCTTGATGCAACAAGTCATCGAAATGTAGTGCCAAAGCGAGGCCTTAAAGTAAAGTTGTCTTTGGTATCAAAAGGCAGTGAACTTGAGGGGGGTTAAACTTTGGTTTTGTGGGCAATTTTGAGCTATTCACGGGACGGACCGTACCCACGCCACTAACTAAAGCGAATTTTCCACTAGTCCCTGAGGTGGGCGTCACATCGTTCAACTCGACATGATATCATTGAAGCCGGTCTAGTTCCTCCGCCGTCTGTTTTGCAGTGTTGCTTTCAACATTACATAGCTTTGCATAGCTCTACCTTCAGCGTTTTCCTCAATCATGCGCTCGAGTAGATCAGTCCATTATTAGACAAATCCAAGTCAAGAGTTCAGACTCCGATAAACAACTTGGACGGAGGAGATTGGCTGGGCACAACTTCTGTTGGAAAGAAATCTTACACCGACCCAACTCTCCCAAAGCTTTTCACCGCCCTATGCTCCTTCACTTCAATCGAATCAAAAGACTGCGTCTGATACTCAATGTCCTCCCCTCTCAGATCCGTCCCTACTCTCAGCCACACACACTCAACTCGCTCTCATCGACTAGGATGAAGCCCTGAGCCGAACGTTGAGGAATTGTCAAGACCCCAGAGAGAAAGGGCATTCCTATGGCTTACGTCCTACGATGCAGTAGCTATGTTATATCAGCACAACGGTTTCTTTGGGCTCCATTTCTCACTGTCGAGGGAACCTACGCTGGCCACCATGCGTGGATGCTTCTATCCTTGATGTTGTCTCGTACATCTACAAGCAGCTCTTCGACTTCTTCAGGTGTCCAACCCAGGGCACGCGTTAACGCCGCCATCGTGAAGCCCTCGAGGCCGCCAGAAACGTTCTCTCCATGCCAGATACCGATTTCCTTATATTTGGGCTCTTTCGGCCAAGTATTGGTAGGCCATTTGCACAGACTTAATGACACGTCCACGAAGCCAATCTCCATGAGGAGGTCCTTTAACGGCGGAATACTGACGTAGGGGCGACCATTCTTCTCTGATGCCTCAAGAAGGAGATTGCACCACCTGATTAACGGATGCTCTGGCTTGAGAGTTCCATCGTCTGACCGCGGAAAGAGATCAAACTCTTGTAACTCGATCCACCCCCCTGGTTCGAGATGGCTGCAGTTCCCCGGGTTAGTATGCAACTCTCCAGGAAGAGCCACGAAAGGGCCAAGGTGGGCTACACGTACTCGAAACAACGACGAAGATACAGCCTCCAGTCACCAATACTGGAGGTCAACACCCGGCTGTGAATATAGGAAAAGGGTCGCGACCAAGTCCATTCTTCCTCAGCGTCGTCGACTTCAAATTTGACGTTCGGGGGCACGCTGTGGCGATGTAACTTATCAGGATTTGTATCTCGGAAGTCATGGCTTCGTCGGAGTCAACTCACTATATGGGGAGAGTTGGCGATAAGTCAATACCATATACCTGTGAATAGTCTTAGTCAAATATTGCGTGTTCAAAGAACTTGGCATATATAAAGAGGCGAAATAGCTCTTGATGTATGATGACACTGGCTGATAATCTCACCTCAGACTCAGGGTGTTCATCACCAAAGTCAAGGACCCAGATGCCAGACCCAGTTCCGACATCAAGCACCCGACCGACTTGGGCACCCTTCATGCAAGGTGGGGCCATGCCAAGTCTATCATCCAAAGCAAGAAGCCATAAGTGATGCTGTAGATCTAAGTCAAGTGTTAGGGGAAATGGCTCAACAAGACATGGGATCATTTGAAAGAAGCTACCAAGCCTATCTAGTTCCTTTTCGTCATTGGGTAGGTTGTATTCTGTAGCCGGGTAAGAGATAGTCTTTGACGTAGGGACTGAAGCATGAGAAAACATACTGCCATCTTTGTATCGGTGGTACGTCCTACCATTCTCGATGCGATTCTCAAGAAGTGACTTACGAAGACTGATGGTCGATGGGACTATGCTCTAGAGGACGAGGGAATGTGTTAGCTACTGGCCGCCCTCCAGTACAGGGTCATACCCCCTGTGACGCAGGCTTGAGCTTACATGCATATCTGCTATACCTTCCTGTTTCCATATCAATTAGCTCGCCTCTGACACAAGATCACTCTCCGAACCAAAGACGTCTTTCCCTTACATCGTCCACATCGAGATCATCAACGTTATTGTCATGAGCCATGGCGGCTGTGGGTACTGATCTTTCTGACACTGTTGTAATTCTCTCCCCGGGTCTTGAATTCAAGTCTTATTAACATGGTCTGCCAAAACTTTTAGAAGAATTAACAGTGGCGGGGGTGGACCGCGGGTCTCACAACCCTTTTGTGTGAAGTCCAATCCCAGCCATGTCAGTTTGCACTTTGGCGAACCCCTCTCGGCCGCAAGAGATTCCAACGGGCAAACCTGCGTATGCGCGTTGCTACTGCGGCGCAGACAGCTGTGGACCCGCTGAACATGCAGCGTTGGAAGGTCACCAGGTGACGAGGTCGGGCTGCAGACATGGGGGAAAATAGTGTCTTCCACTGAGTGGATAGCAATGCCTGCCACTCCAACTGCCCAGATCCTAGTTCACTTCATCCTTGTTCTCGAAGGCTTTAGGGCGGCTTTGGGCGACCACCGGCACTAGGATTCCGTTATCTGTGAATTCTATGCCGCATACGCTAAGTATTAGTTCCCATTTACATACTGAACGGGCCAGGGTCGGGCCTCGAATGAATGCCACCCCGAGAAAGACTTTGGCTACGGCCCTTTAGATGGTCTACCAATTTGTGGAAAGTCGCGAGACATTGGCAAGACCTTCAACTCCCCAAAAGCAGACCGCCCCAGGTCACTGCCTCCATCGATATCTTTCTTTGGGGCATGATCAAGTTCTGGCTGACTTCCACTATGTCAAGTTGTTTCCGTTGAGTTCCCTATAATATACAGATCTGCAGAGTTGATGGTGTCCTCGTTCGGAGCCGTAACATTGAAGGACTACTACAAGTCCCCCAACCCCATGCGTCGCCCTGGAGCCGCGCTAAAAGGACTGACACTAAGGACCATTAGACTCAAGCTAAATGCAACCTTCGTACAACCACGCAAATGAGATTCACGTCTCGGAAGCCTCGGTCTTGAAAATTCAAGCCTACTTTATAGAGATATGTGACACACTTGACAAGGCCTAAGATTTCTGCCACATCATCTTCATGTCCCGTCTAGCAATGGCAGACTCTATCGTTACGACTAAGCACTGATGCTCTCCTGCATGGACTCTGCTTTAAGAAGAACCTGGAGCCGGAGCTGGAGCTGACGGCTGGGCTGAGGGAGAAGCAGGAGCCTCCGGGGACGCCGGAGCTGGGGAAGCAGAAGTGGCCTCCTTCTCCGGCCTACGCCCGATGATGCAGTGCCTGATCAAAGTATTAATACATGACTTCATTCAACATAAAGAGGGATACTTGGAAAAGGAGAATGACGTCGGGGTGTATCCATGAGTCGTTCTGTTCTTGACCTTGTTTCGTACTTCCATGAGGAAGACAGTAGCCTCCTCAGGACTCCACTCAAGAGCACGCGTCAAAGCGGCCATGGTGAATCCCTCGAGGCCAGTCGTCGAGTTTTCATAATGAAGTCTTCCAATCTGCTTGTACTTCTCATCCTTGGGCCAGTCGTTGAGAGGCCACTTGTACGTTGTGATAGAAACGCCAACGAAGCCAGCCTTTCTCACGTTGTGAACAAGATCCTTAGGGTCGATGTAAGGAGGCCCAAGCTTTTCGGTTACCTCTGTGAGCAACGTGCTCCATCTCCGTGTTGCAGAGTCAGCCTTGAGGGTGCCGTCATCGGACGTGGTGAAGATGTCGAGTTCCTGCAGTTCAACCCATCCGTCAGGTGTGAGATTACTTGAGAGACATCGGGTTAGCTTGTATTCGATGGATCGTGCTGCTCCTAGTTTGACCAACAAAGATAACAAGAAAGAAATTTAACATACTCATAGCATCTACGGAGGTAAAGATCCCAATCGCTGATGCTCCAGGTCATGACTCTGCTGTGGATATAGTCAAAGGGCCGGGACCACGTCCACTCCTCCTCGACATCGTCGATCTCGAACTTGACGTTCGGGGGGACGCTCAAGATCCCAGATTAGTCTCTCCTTACAAGTGTATCAATTAAGTCTCTCGATGACTATCACTCGAATGGGGCGTAATACGTACTGGTCAGGGAGAGGCGGAGAGAGATCTATGCCAATGACCTATTCATGCCACCGTGTTAAAGACTGTAGTAGGTGAAAAGACCACAGCAAAGAGGGCCAATATGCTACTTTGATGGCACACTAAGTATCTTACCTCAGCATCAGGATGTTCGTCTGCGAATGCGATCGCCCAAATACCGCTGCCGGTGCCGACGTCGAGAACTCTACTGACCTCTGCATCTAATTTGCAAGGCGGAGCAATTCCAGAAGCGAAGTTAAGAGAAATAGCCCATAATTCATCTTGCAAGCCTGTAAAGAACTCTTAGTGGCATGCTGGCAGTATATTTGAGATGTTAGAGTTACCTAGTCTTTCCATTTCCCGCTCGTCATTGGGGACCGTGTATTCTGAGACGAGATTAGGGCGCTCCTGGGAGCAGAATCATCACTGAACATACTTCCGTCTTTATACCGATGGTAAGTTCGGCCATTCTCAATACGGTAGTGAAGAATAGAGTCACGAAGACTAGTGCTTGACGAAGCAATGCTCTGATCGCATAATGATAGATTAGATGGAGTATCCCGTGGTTCGAGTGAGGAGGCGATCCGAACTTACGCTTCCTATCTCTGAACGAGAATCAGTTTGCCAAGGGCACAGTCAGACAATTGACCAATTGTGAATGAAATAGCCCTGTCATTGCAGCAAGAAGCTATCACTGATATCTCACCTCTTCGTCTATGACAAGCGCAGGAGTACCGGCATTGTTTGCTGCGGCCATGTTGATAACATTGAGGAGAAGAGGATAGTAAGGGCGTCGATTGGTTTCGCGTTACTCAGGCTGATCGCTGCTTCAGACGAAGACGCGATCGCAGTACTACCTCGCAGAGTGTAGAAATATGAAAACTGGGATCATCGACGAGGAGGAATATTGTTGAGGGGTCGTCGATGTTCTTTGACGAGAACAGGCGATCTCAGCTCGTCACCCCTCTTCTGAACCGTGGTCCGGCGGAGGAATCAACGAGCAACGTGGATATGCATCTCGACGGTGCAGTTTCCCCATTACAGACATTTATGGGGTAAAGAAAACTATGGTCGAATGAAGAGACAGAGAATGAGACATGGGCATGTGAAGACAACTTCCAACAGCATCCTGCGATCTAACCACTTGCCACTTCAGTCGGCCAACCCTTGTAACTGCAGGATCTGGACTGCCCACTATCGGAAGCCATCCCGCGCCCGCGGTACACCAGCCCCTTACCCATGTCTGCGAGGTTTCGATGTCTCGATCAAGGGATAATACAGCTAAGCCATCATTTCTCTTTAGGTGATGAACTGCAATGACGCCCAATAAATCTCCGATACTGAACTGGGGTTCTTGTCAATCTGTCTATCCTCCAAACTGACTTAAGCCAAGCCTTTTTTTCCGGCAAGATCTTAGTAAGACATGAAAGTAGGGTCACTGAGTTGGAGCTGGAGTTGCTGGCGCAATCAGGTCTTGAGGCGGGGCTGGAGTGGCTTCTTTCGGCGGCTTCCTGCCCACAAGAGTGTAGCTGTGGAGAGTTGTCAGTCTGAGAAGACACTCTTCATGAGAATGACCCAAGTTCAAGACAAACTTACATAGGCATGTATGAGTGGATTTTCCTGTCCCTCATGTCCTTGCGAACACCCACAAGGAAAACCTGGACCTCCTCCTTCGTCCAGTCGTGCCCCCGAGTCAAAGGTGCAAGAGCCATGGCTTCAGCGGCATCCACGAAGTTGTGGAAGTTCCACTCGCCGATTTTCTTGTAGTGCTCGTCTTTCGGCCATGGGTTGGAGGGCCACTTGAAATCCTGTTGGGCGACGTTTTCAAACCCAACATCAACCATGGACTCCCTTATCTCGGAGATAGGAGCGAATCTGCGCCCAAACTTCTCCGCAGCTTCTCGAATGAGGGACGTAAACTGCGCCAGGGGCTTCTCAGGAGGTAGAGTATCATCATCAGCTTTGATGACAAAATCTCCTTCCTGGATCTCAAAGTAGCCGCCTGGGACGAGATGACTATGAGATGAGTAAGCTTAACAGCTCTGACGGCAAGGCTTCGCAACGAGAGAACTCCAGAGGCAGTGATGAATGCGAAGACTCTCAGAAATCAAGACTCACTCATAGGCTTTCTGAATAATCTTTGTCCAATCCGAAATAGATCCGTTCATGAATCGAAGGTGGATATAGTCGAAGGGCCGAGAATATAGCCACTCCTCCTCAACATCGTCGACTTCAAACTTGACATTAGGAGGGACACTTAAGCTCCATCGTTAGCAGCTTGACGGGCTTCACTTGGGAGAAGTTACACACGCTCGTGGCTGAATGGGTGACAGATCGACGCCTAGCACCTAAACCTCACTGTCAGACTTTTTGCCTTGAAAGACTCTTGTGAATACCAGCACTAACCTCCGCCTCTGGGTGCTGGTTACCGTAGTCAACGGCCCAGAGGCCGGTTCCGGTGCCAAGGTCAAGAACTCGGCCGACTTTTGCGCCTTCGTCACAAGGAGGAGCGAGTCCTAACCTCTCGTGGAATGTGAGAAGGCAAATCTCGTGCTGCATGTCTGACAAGTCCAGGTTAGGCGAATATCAAATGTAAAAGGATATCCCGGGATGGGACACTCACCCATTCTGTCATTCTCCCTGTCGTCATTAGGCCACGCGTATTCTGTTACACGTTAGAAGATCGTTGGCAACGTGATTTAATTACACGGATCGTAGACTCACTGCCATCTTTGTATTTATGGTAGGATCTTCCATTCTCGATTCTATACTCAAGAATAGAGTCCTTCACACTAGTGGTCTCTGAGCGAATGCTCTCAAGATCCTGTTCGCTATCGGAAATCTGAGTTCGATGTTCATCAGCACTAGGTCACCAAATTGCGCGATGTTTGCACGGATCCGTACTTCGTCTTCAGCGACTAGGTGAGCCTCCGGATCGCCTTGTGCAGCGGCCATGATCGTCGTACTTCAAGACTGTTCTGTGAAGTGTCTCTTGGTGTTATCAAAGACTCTGGTTAATTATGCCTGGAGATTTGAGAAGCGAATTTCAGCTGCAGAAAGGCATGAAGTGATTATGCGAAGTTTTGGGAGATGGCCGGACGAATCAACCCCTCTTTGCCTGTCAAACCAACTCATGTCCTGCCAACCGCGGCTTGCCCACCAACCGCAGTATCGACGTGCATGTCGCATGATGCAGACGAGCGGCGGCGTTGCCTCTTTACAGACCGAAAAAAAAACTGGAGATGCAGCAGGGGAATGGGGAAGACATCCCCCGCCGCGGGTCGCGGGCACAACATCCGCCTAGCTAGTGTCTCCTATTCTAGCCGCACCAAACGACTGAAAGGACCAATAGTGAACGCACAATTGGATATCAAATTGTTTCTAAAACGTGGTACCAGATCTGATCCCCGAGCCTATGCTACTAGGTCGATATTTGGCTCCGTGAAGTTGACCTTGAAAAGCACTCAAGCTGGATCATCAAATACAAGGAAGATTTAGGCGAAGTGTAATTAGAGACTCAGAAACAATGCTGCCTGCTTCTATGACATGAGACATCATGGAAGAGTTAGGACGCCATACCATCTCTCTAAGCTGCCTCATATCGGCTAATATTGGAAAAGAAAAGCGCCTTGAGTCACCAGCTAGCTAAGAAAACCTCGGGTTCACTGAGGTGAAGCTGAGGCCTCAGCCGGAGTGGTCTCGGTGGCCGCTGCTGAAGTCCCTGCTTTCAACGGCTTCCTGCCCACAAGCGTATAGCTGTAAAGCTTGTTAGATACTTGACATCATAAGCGGCCATGATTCCATCGGGACTTACATGGGAAAGTAAGAGTGAACCTTGGGGTCCCTGAGATCCTTGCGCACATCGGCGGCGAACACCAGCACCTCCTCCTTGGACCAACCATGCACCCGGGTAAGGGGCGCCAAGGAAACGGTCTCGACCGCGCCGCCAAAGTTGTGATAATTCCATTCTCCGATCTTCTTGTACTTGGGGTCCTTAGCCCAAGGATTCGTAGGCCATTTGAAGACGGTCAGCTCTACGTCTTCGAACCCAACCTCTGTGAGGACATCCTTCAAATCAGGAACGTGGACCAGGGGTACGCCCATCTCTACGTAAGCTTCACGGATGAGGGCACCAAATCTAGACAGGGCCTTCTCGGGGGGAAGTGTCCCATCGTCGGCGGCTGGTGACATGTCTGACTCCTGAATCTCGTACCATCCGCCGGGCGTGAGGTGGCTTTTTGGTTAGCAATAGTGTCAGACATCTTTTGTGTGATTGAAACGTCGTGAGAACACTTACTCGTAGGCCTTTTTGATCATCTTCTTCCAGTCACTGATGCCGCCGGTGATGATTCGACTATGGATGTAGTCGAATGGCTGTGAATAAAGCCACTCCTCCTCGATATCATCAATCTCAAATTTCACATTGGGCGGAACGCTGTGAGAGATAGACAGTCAGTCTTTTAGGTGGCTCTTCACAGCTAGCCAGCCTCTTGTTCCTAGGGGATAGACATACTCTGACGGCTGGACAGGAGAAAGGTCCATGCCCAGCACCTACAACACGTGTGGTTGTTAGCTATTTTTCCGATCATCACAATCAAAGTTAAGGAGTAGGTTACGCCACATGGAAGAAAGACTTACTTCAGCTTCAGGATGAAGGTCCGCAAAGTCGATTGCCCACAGTCCAGTGCCCGTGCCGAGATCGAGAACACGACCAACTTTCGCGCCAGGCTCACACGGTGGGGTCACGCCAAGCTTCCCATCCCACGTGAGATAGAAGATCTCATGCTGCATGTCTGGAGTTGACTGTTAGTGAGAAGAATCCAGTGGCTGGTTATGGTTTGCTTTACCAAGTCTTTCGAGCTCTGTCTCATCATTGGGAACGAGGTATTCTAGTGAGGCTAGTCAACATCTGGACACAATCAAACGGTGCCTGTTTTGCTTACTGCCGTCCTTATACTTGTGATATGTTCGACCGTTCTCTTGGCGCCACTCTAGCATAGACGCCTTGATGCTTGTTGTCTCTGACTGAATACTCTGTGTGAAGAGTAACATGAGTAGGAAGCTCAACGTAGGGAAATGAGCTTGACAATGGCTTGGTACTCACCTCGAGATCCGCTCCGCTGTCGGTAACGTCAACCTACACTTTGCGTCAGTCGTAATTCATTTGACGTTCCGAATCTGTTCCGAATCTGATGTTTTATACATACATGGTCTTCAGCAACAAGCTGGACCACGTTATTCACGATGGAAGCCATGTTCACAGGTGCTCGTTCGCGCAGTGAACAGAACGTACAATGTCAATATTGACTTCCAAGTGAAAGCCTAGCCAAGGGAAGAGCATGAATCTTGACGAGAAACCAAAGACATTCGGGTAGCGGGGGAGGCACAAGCTTGCCTATTTGTTGCGACCAAAGCATTCGACTGTAACCCCCTCTTTCCGGCCCATGCTCCTGAGCAGGCCAACAGGTAAAATTGCGCATTGCATAATGCAAGCACAGCGGCCAAGTTGTCTCCATTCAGAAGGGAATTGTGGGACGGAGAGGGGACTGTTGTTCGTTGTTTGGTATCGAGGCGCCCAAACCCATGGTAGAGTTGTTGGACGCAACGCCCGACCTTCTGAATCAGTCCGGAGCCGAGACGGAGGTCCGAGTCACCCCGGCTTCAGCCACAGAAGTGATTTGTTTCTTGTCGTTGACGAGCCGGGCGAAGATTGCAGAAATCCCACTGAGCACGATGGTTCTATTTCGATGTAATAACCCGAGTAGAAACAAAGTTGGGCGTTGAGGCGTCTTCTTAGTCTTTGATTATTTCTAACTATTTGTTCCAGCTTAAGAGAATGGCAATTTTCCCAAAATGCCAGTACAATTTTCATTCCTCCTTCGTCTGAGGCTTCTGTCCAACAACAGAATACTTGAATTGCTCAGATCAGCATGTACCAGTGATCATATGAGAAAGAAGGCTTACATGGGAACATAGGTGTGATAGCTCTTGTTAGCTAGGTCCTTCCGGACCTCAACCAGAAATGCATCCACCTCATTCTTAGTCCAATTGTGAGCGCGCGTAAGAGGCGCAATGGAAATAGCCTCCAGACCGGCATTGCTATTCATGAAGCCCCAAGCGCCTAGTTCCTTGAACGCAGGATCCTTGGGCCAGGTGTTGATAGGCCACTTGTACCGGCTCAGCGTCACGTCCTGAAAGCCCACTTCGGTCATAAGTGTCTTCAAGAACGGCACCGCGACGTACTCGCGCCAAAAGATAGCCGCGGCTCCCTTGAGGAGGTTGCCGTACTTGGCCAGGGGGGCAGTCGGCAGGGAACGTCCCGTCGTCGGCCTGAAACTCCATCTCTGGTTCCTGTAGCTCGAGAAAGCCGCCAGGTTGTAGGTGACTTATAGGTAGGCATTAACAGATGGTCATCTATGAAGGGCTCAAGCAAAATCACGTTTACTTGAAACACTTGGTGAGGTACGCCTTCCAGTCTGCGATGCTTGACGACATGAAGCGACTGTGTATGTAATCAAATGGAAGGGTATACGTCCACTCCTCGTCAATATCGTCGATTTCAAACTTCACATTTGTAGCCACGCTGGACAACATGGCCTCTTAGTCCTCTGTTGCAACAGCTTCAGAGATCCCGAAACTCACATGTCTGGTTGTGTAGCAGATAGATCAACGCCGAGAACCTGCTTACAGTTAATAAGCATCCAAAGTCTGCCGTAGCTTTCCAAACTTGTCTCGGCTTCACGCTGATCGTCGCCGAACTGAATAGCCCAGATGCCTGTGCCCGTGCCACCACACAATACCCTGTTGACTTTGAAGTCAGGCTGGCATGGAGGTGCTAGTCCAAGCCGGCCACCAAGGGTTATGAGGCATATGTGATGTTGCATATCTGGCATCGTCAATCTTAAACTTGACGTTTGGGCTCACGCTGGGGGGATATGGGGTAAGCATTAGTCTTTCTCTTACATTGCCACATGCTCTAGTTAGAAATCGACTTACAAGCCGGACTTGTAAGCCGGAGAACTCGAGGATGGGAACCGCCCTTCGCGTGCCGCCCGGGAAGTGGATCTAATTTTGCAGACGGAACCGCGGGGTGAGAACCCGGCTCCGACCCGATCCCCGTTGACCAGCCACGAAGCCCCTCCTGCTTTGTGGAGTTAATACGAACACAGTTGCAAGCGAACGTTCTTCGGTGCTATCCCAAACAGAATATCGGAGTAAGTGCACAAAAGTCGTCGGCGGTGTATTCTCTTTGTCACGGTATTTCAGACAAGAACTTTGGTGGTCACCCGAAGAATTCAAATAGTCAGGATCCAAATATGATTCATGAGGACTAACAACAGAGTATGCGCTTAAACCAAACCCGTATTGTTACAGCCCTTTACAGGCCATCTAGACCTAGTCCGATTATACATGTTTCTAGCTCCAACTCCTAGCTTAAACCAAACAAAACAAAGGCTTACATCACTCCTTTGGGAACAACTCTGCCGAAATGTCCTTATCCCTTCTCTGGTGATTCGTCCGGCTCGAACTGCTACCAATGACGGTCGGTGCGTCGCCATCCGTGTCCGGGTCGTATTCGGCGTCATCCGCATGTTTCGCCTTCTTGAGCTTCAAGCTCGCTCCATCATCCGAATTCGCGCCCTCCTCGCTTGCGGAGTCGGCATCATCGTACGGGCTCACACCTGCGTGCCTTGAGCTCCAGTCGGGGTCCTCCTCCGGTAGACGCTCGTGTTCGTGCTGGGGCTGCTTGATGAAAGAGTCGATGATATAATACTGCATTGCGTTCATAACGAGCGGGAAGAACATCATGACGAAGAAGATTTGCAGCTGCTCGTTGCCCTCGGTCCACCGCAAGGCCCAGTCGCCGACGCGCGAGATCCACGGCAGGAGTAGGAAGATGATGAGGACGCAGAACTTCATGCCGAAAAGGCCGCAGAAGTAGATGAACGACTGTTTCAGCCACCACCAGGCGTTGGGAGGTGTGCCATAGTTGCCGGACCGGATCGACTCCTCGGGCTTGCCCAAGGGTGTGTACGCGACGAGGCCCGTCAGGACCCGGAGAAGTACGATGAGGATGGGAATACCGATGGTGGTCTGCATCACACATGAGTACTAAATCGGAGAAGAGAAGAGGAGAGAATAGTTTGCTTACATCAATAGCGAGATTGAGCAGGTAGAAAGAACACGGGTTTGGTGTGTAGTCCTCGCCGCGTCTCATCAATCTCTGCGCGTTCGCCGTGGTTGCGGGGTCCAGTGTCACAGAAAAGCGCCCTGACGTCAACATTGACATGAAGATGTTGGCGATGTGGACGAGAACCGAGCCAAACACCTGCTTCGAGACGTCGAAGAACCAGATCTTGACTGGACGCTGTGGCCGCTCTCTCCATCGCTTGAATACCAAGGCCAGCAAGGCAAGGCCACCCAGGGCGGCCTGGACGATGAGGGCGAAGGAGCCAAGCAGGCTGCACTCGCCGTTGCCACCTTCCTCGCCCTGTGTTACAGCATCGGTGGCCGTGGCCGCAGCAGCGGTGCTCGCGACGGTCGCGATGGCGCCGGCGAGGGCATCTGTCGGTGTCGCGATGGGGATCATGGTATTTGCTGCTGCCTCGACTGCTGCTGTTGCTGTAGCTGCTACGACGGCGGCGAGTGTAGAAGGAACATCTTGGGCGGCGGTCGCTATCAGGTAGGGTGGCGGAGGGGCCATTGGCCTGGCCGGGTCGGGGGGGTTGTTGAAATGGGACTAGCAGAGGGAGGGACAGAGAGTAAAAGGGCGGTCTCGTGCGAATGACGGAGTGATGTTTGGTCGGAGGGGGGGGGCGAGAAAGTGGCCGTCGGTATGTGGATGACGTTCTTGGGGCGGGAGAGAGAGGGTCGATCGCTTTAGGTCGAACAACGGGTTTTTGGCTGACAGATTAGGAGCGAAAGCGAGACAAGCGCATGCAACCGCGTTGTGGATTTGGGAGGTACCGTAGGAAAAAGGAACAAGTTCCAAAAAAGAGAAACCTGCGAAGAAAGGAAGAAGCAACACAAGTAATAAACCTCCGAAAGGTCTGGGCGAGGAGGGATGGTTAAGAGGGAAGAGTGGGAAAAAAAAAAAGAGAAACACGGAGATAGAAAGAAGAGGAGCGGACAGGCAAAAAAGGTGATCGTCGTCGGGGATTGATGGGCCAAAAGGCGGGCTGTCACGAGGCGGAGTAAGGAAGTGACATGCAGCACAGACTTGGGAGCTTAGGCAACTGCTTTGGTGCTGATATTTTGGCACCGTAGCACCTTGGAGAAACAAGAGGAACGACGCAGGAGCCTTGGTAAGAAGCATAAGCCACGGTCAGTGAGCGGTCTGGCGTTAGATCGTGTCTGTTCGAGCACCTCAGGATGATGATGAGCAGACCTATTGATGTGTACGGAGTACCTGGTAAAGATGCAAATGGGAGAGTAATTGCATGGAAATCATTCGGGGCCGGGTCCTGACACAAGCTTACTTCTGATTGGGCTTAGCGTCCCCGCATACCTTAACACACCTGGCTTTGCCGCCTTGGGGGGATCCTCCATTAGTCACTTTCCCACGGCCCAGACTTGCCGTAAACTCGCCTGGAGCAATACTTCCTTGACCCTCATTACTTCGTACTAGGGGGGCGGATAGACGGAGTCAGGACAGGCACGAGGGAAGGGGGGGGGGGGGGGGGGGCACTAGCCAAGGCTTGTTGTAATGTTGTTGGCTTCCACGGTTTTACAGTTTGGAGCTTGGGGGCTCGGGTGGATCGAGGCGAGATTAGGAGATTTTAAAAAGGACAGAGAGACACCGCCGTCTGGACGGCACCGCGGGCGAAAGACATCACGAGGTTCGTCCTTTGGGTACCTACTTGTGCTGAAATAAGGTAAGCTCAGGAGGCCGCGGCCAACGAGCGGACGACGGACCGGAGAAATCACCGCCGTTCAAGGTCCACCATCCGACCTACCTACCTCCTTAACCTAGGTATGGTAAGTACCTACTACCACTGTTTCCTACTACTACCTTCTACCTATTCGTTCCATTCTACAGGTCGTATCTTGCGAAAGCCAAGAGACCTTTACCAGCCATGTGGCTGCAGCGGCCAATATCCGTCCCTAAAAACCATCTGCCCTGCCTGAAAAAGCCGTTGATCTGGGCAAGCCACAACAGGACAGAATCTGGCAACTCTCGACAGCCTCCTGCACTAGCATAAAATAGTAAACCGTAAACTGTAAACCGGCCTGGTGCCGAAAACCCCGATTTACGAGATTCACAGACCATTAGGCCCCTCCATTTCCCCTGTCTCCCACCTCAGCTTGATTGGAGACTCCGCCGACCACCGACCGATTTCACCCGCCGGAGCCACTGGGTCGAAAGACGGCACCATCTCCGGTTCTCTTGGAATTGCAAACTATCCGTTCCGAGAGGACTTGGACAACCTGCCTCATTTCCTGAAACGAAGCCCAAAAGCAGAAAAAAAGGAAAAAAAAAGGAGAAACCGATACGAGGTCAAGAAACACTCGGTTTGACATCCCGATACCGAAATCCTTTGATGTGTAACTTACTTGGGATTCCGCCATTATTCGGTCTCACTCCATCTCGTACACCAGCACGACTCATCGCCATCTATCAATAGAAACAACAGTCCTTTGTTGCTCTCCCACCCAAACCACTTGTCAAAGAAAAGTGACAAGAAAAAAAGCCACTCCGCTGTTGCACCAGATTCTTCAGCCACGACCTCGAGTGTCTTGTGCTCATAAACAGCCGCTGACGGCGGCTGGGCAATTTTTCTTGCCCACAAATTTGGCTTTGCCCAGGCATTCAACCCGTCCCGAGAAACTGGTTGCCCAGGGTTGCACAGGGCAAAAACAATGCCCCGTCTCACGGCACCTCATCTGCATGGAAGCTGTCATGGAACGTTGACTTTGGGGGGTCCGAGATTATCTCATCTGCTTGTTCACATTCCGATGTACCACGGCATGCGAACCAAAAGTCACCAAAACAATGCATCTTTAAAGTAAGTCCCCGAGGTTTCCATTCTCCAGCTCGGGTGGAATGGAATGTACGGGCACTAGTGTGAGGTTATCATGGAGTGGAATGTTTCAATTTTTTGACCCTTTCGACCATATTCTGGCCGCCAGTTGTCAAAGACAGGGTCTTTCTTTCATGGTATAATTACGGTAAGCGAGAGTCTAATATCGCAGTGCCCCCGTTCCAGATTCGCTTTTTGCATCCTATACGCCCAAATACCTCGCGGTAGCCAGAATGTTGCCATTGTGAACCCTTTCTTCATCCTGTAGGTGTACCCAGACAAAGAGGGGGGAAAAAAAACAAATCCAATCCATTCAAGAAAATAGAAAAGCTCTCAACCTTCAAGCTATCACCAACTTATCCAAAGCAACGCGCGCAATCTCTATAATCTTCAAGCAGTGCCGATTCTCCTTGCTATCATCCTTGCCCTGCGGAACCATCAAGTGCTGTTCCGTATGCAGCATTGGATGGGGGAGCCCGGCCGCCACCATCTCGTCAAGTTGGTCATGTCGGTTGTTTGACCGATCCTCCATCTGCTTGATGACGTCCCTGAGACCGAGGTGATGGTAAGGTATCGTAGATCCCGCCCCAGCTGACCTCTGGAAATCGTGTCCGTATATGTCAAGTTTCAACAAGCTCCTGACTGATAGCCTCCAACTATCTGGGTCCATCTCTCGATTTTCAAACGTCTCCATGGCGCCGCAGTCGGTATCGCGTCTGCCCAGTTCACCCCACAGCCCGCCGTACTCGGCGAAACGGAACGTGATGTTCCTCTTTTCTTTTTTAGCCAGAGAGGCTTCGTTGTCGATAAGCTCGAGAATCTTGGCGTAGGCGTTGGCTGTTGACGGGAGGATAGCGCCGAGCATCATCATGTTTTGGAATGCCTGTATCG